AGACTTTTTACAGGGGCGTTACAAGCAGCGAGTGACATGTTAAGAGCTATGTATACGACTTTTATTGCAGCTGAGTGAGATATTAGTGATACGATTAAAATAATATCGAAAACAATTTAAGTTAATACAGTATTGTACGAAAAACAGCTAGACGAAGCATTCCACTGACAATGTTGAGAACTATATAGGTTTCCCATCGCGATAGATATGTAGCTTTATATGTATGTTGGTTAGTTAGATGGTCTGGCGTTTAAAATGTGGAGGCGCGAGAAAATGGTGATTTGAGTGAAATAATTATTGGACACGTCAGTGTACATAACGATCGTTTCAATATTATGTTGTTGTTCTTGTTATTATTCTTCTCATTCGTCATGATGAAATCGCTTTTCTCTTCGAATACTGGACCAATTGCTTTGAAATTTTCAGTGGTTAAAGATTGAATTTTTTGCCAGAAGGCTATTACTTTTACTTATTTTGAGAATTACTGTGGACTTCAAGAGATTCGTTTTTTATGTGTCAGAATAAAAAATAGCGACACCTTGTGACGTGTCCATATATTTGAGCACAGCTCTCTTGTTTAAATTAAGAGTTTTATATCCGCTTAATCGCTAAGATAGAAATGATTTTGGAAATAATTCAAGTTAATACTGGTGGGCTAATAGCTAAAACATAGCTTGGATAAGACATGGCCATGTAACAGGCGAGGAAAGGAGTTCATTTTGCTGACAGCTAAGCCAGCGCATTTATTTCGATGGTCTCATGAAGTTTATGTTATAGGACTGCGGAACACCTACGTTCTTATGTGTCTGAAGAACCCATTACAATAAAAAGTTACATACAATTACAAATCGTCCTAGTATTCGAGATTTGATTCGAAAAAATATTCGATTCTGAAATCATCAGGTATTCGACAATGCCCAGCCCTTGTTATCGGTACTGACCTTAAATTCAAGGATGGGTATACTTAATACACTATATATCTTTAATTCCAAGTCGCGCCACAATAATGTTTTTTTTTCAAAATATTAATATATATGTAAATTAATTAGGCGGTCTCAGCCTCATAACTCAAACCGCTTTAAACTTTTCAATGTCATATTGTTGGAACGTTATATACAAAGTAATACATGTATTAATATATCATCATAGGCGTAAAATCGATAGATTTACGCATGAATTCGTATTTTTTGCCAATTCAGTTGAGGTTCTTAGACAGTCAACAGAGAGTCAGACGCAGGAAGCCGACATTTTTTACAACGACTCCAAAATCTAACTATGGGTCGCGACCCACTGTTGGGTCGCAAGAGGAATCTCAGTGGATCGTGAAAAGATGTAGAAAGCTTTGATTAATTATACTGGTTATTAGGATCGGTGGCAAAGCAAATTTAAAAGCAAATTTGGGAATAAAACGCAACTTTTTCAATTTTTTACGTCTAAAACTATCTGAAATTGAAATAAATGTCAAGTCTATTATGGAAAATAGCAAGAAACAAGCTCATCTTTCTCACTAGCTTCACTGAAAATTCAATTTGAGAAAATAAATTTGTTTCCTCCATCAATGTTTTATTAATTTATTAAAGTTAAATAGGTCTCCGTAAGCTGTGGTAACAAATAGTGGGTCTCAACTCTAGAAAGTTTGGGAACCACTGCTCTAGACAAGTGGTTTTCAAACTTTTGAGCCGCGCCCGGCAAAGTCTCGCGCCCCACCTCGAAGATAACTAACTAACAATGAGCTACAAATATAAGTTAATAAGGCGAAATATGTTTTATTAAAAAAAATACGTGGATGGGACGTAAATAATGAAATAAGTGTAAATTTGAATATTTGAAATAAGGCGGAAAATATCAAATCTATCTAATATTTTTATCATTAATTAGCTTAACGCCCTCTCAAAAACGCTTCTCTAGTGCAACTTCGCCATTGCGCAGTACCACCAAACCAATTGCGCTGTAAAATTTCATTCTCGCGCAGTTCGAACATTACGTTTTCAAAGCGTGGTTCGTCATATTTTCCAACGCCTAGCTAGGATAATAAATGTGTAATTTGTCAGAATTCTGGTAATATATTATACTATTGTAATATTTCACAAAGTTTGTAAATCTTTTAGGACTCATGCTTTGTAAAGCAAACATTTGCTCAGTGGAAAATTTTCCCTTTTCTTGTCAGCAAAGAGTCGAAATGAAGAAATTTTCAAATCAGTCAACTTTTATTTAGTCCGAATTCGGACTTGCTTGTAAACTTTCTAATAATCCACAATTTCGGACAGAAGCCTGATAGACAAGGCCAAAAGCGGATCTTTCGCACAAAGCCCTTGCCACTAATGCAAAAATGTGAGATTTGAGGAAAACACCCCGTCACGTCTTCAAACCAGAATATCGGTCGGAGACCGAAGACTTATCGATCGAAACTGCGGTTCCGATTCATGACTCTATAGTGACACCGCGTGTCCCATCACTAATTAATTGATAACTCGCTAATTATACGACATAATTCATCCAAAATCAATAGGCTTCTAGTCCGAGATATGATGAATGCTCATGCAATTTGGAGGAGATTCAACCACGCCTTCGTGATATATCACGTGCATCTAACAGAGAAACAAACAAATACCTATCAACATACTTACCAATCGAAAGATCGATAAGTAATAACTAATTAGTAGTTATCTAGTTGGGGTTAGTATTAGGGTTATGAATGATTGTCAGCGCAATCTGCACTCCTAACCCAAACTGGATAATTACTAATTTTCTTATTTTGAGCCTTGGTGGGAGTGTTTATAAAAGATCCTCAAAAACTCCAATTTAGGTACTTTTATTTTGTTTCATTTCCCCAGTCAAAATTCGATATTGTATTCGCTACTAGCCGGTATTCAGTTGATGTACCTTCACTCTGAAGTGCGTTTTTTTCCTATATTTCTTTATTTTGTGTATGTATCGTTCGTATTTTCCATATGGTAAAAAAATGAATTACTGATCATATAGTAAAATATAAAAACATCAGTTTGTGTATCTTTATGTGGTGCTTGTTTATAGCCATAGCGATCAGACAAAAACTTCGCTTGCAAATTGCGAGGACGATTAATAAAATATTATCGCAATTTAATATTAAAAATGACTCAAAAATTGACGTCTCTGGTGCAAGGAAGCGTATAATTATAGGAAATAGGCCATCGGTTTCTTTTTCTTTGACTGTTAGAAATATCAGTAAAATTATTTGGATTTTATAAGTATCTTTGATGGTATTGCTTGTGTAACATTGAAGCAGTATGCTTCCCAACTTTTCAATTTAGGGAAAGGGGTTCCAAATTTGAGGGGTGGTAGATATTTTGGTATCAACGACGAAACTATTTGTAGCTTATAAAAATGTGTTATGTATTTGACTTACCATCTTAGAGGGGAATTTAAAATTTCAGCGAGGAGGGGGGCTAGGGAAATCAGTGCATTGATTCATTAATATATATTGACATCCACCTTAAATTTTAAATGGTTCTGGTGATTTCGCTTTTGGGATGTAATATAAGCATTATAACAAATATTTAGAAGTTTTTATTTATCAGTTTTGTCAGTTATACTTTGGTATGACACAATTTGATAAGAGTCCGCCCAATAGCATTTTTCAGTAAACAAAACACTAGTGAACCAACTAGAAGAAGCGGCCTAGTATTACGAAAGAGGAACATAATTATGTTTGTGACGCGGAGTTACGATGCCCACCATCTAACTTAGGAGGGATAACATTTGGTAGATTGTGCCGAACATGGAAGATTTCGGTTATTTGAAAACAATAGTAGCTTTCTGTATATCTGTGACCACTTGCTCAAAACATTGCCAAGGGTGGAAAACATCATAAAAAATGACATGTTCCAGATTCTAGAACGCTACCACAGGACAGGCTCCCTCCCCTTTTTTTAAAAACAATAAACACGTTTAGTTTACGAGGACAGAAGTTAAACAATACTATACACGATACGATTCTTAGGAAAAACAATTTTTTTTTCACATAAAACGCCTGTTTATCTCAATTATTTTGACGCCTGGTCGCACATAGCTATGCGAGGTCAACAAAAGGCAATTCGCGTGGGTGCAAGCTGAAGTGGAATTGAAAGATAGGCATTTGTTGATAGATTATGCTTGTACAATGCCGCTCTAGTCTTTCGCTATAATTATTTATATTCTCAGTAACTCTTCATAGAAGGTAGCAGGTAACTTCCCACTAACTTCGTGGGAATTCGAAATACTCTGTCGAAATGTGAATTTGTCAGGCGATTGGTCTTTACACTGCAGTTCTATCATATTTTCTTCTACATCGGATGAATCGTTTGTAGAGAAGCAACGATAGTAAGACAGAAAACGTCGGGTAATCTGTGAATCGATCACATATGGAGAAAAATGTACAATGTGTGTCTCACTGCAAATGCCACAAAATCGCGTTCCGAACAACACTGAAAGTTTGCCTCTCAAAGATATTATGGGGGTTTATGTATCAAGGGTTTGTTAGACAAACATAAAAAAATGTTTGTAAAAATTGTATTAATAGCATTAAAAAATCTTTTAGATAACGTTAAATAAATTCTTTCAAAGTCCCATAATGTTTTTGCAATTTTCTATCGTCTGAGGTACAAAAATTGTGTTTTTTGTCGAATAGACCGATAGCTTTTACGAAATGGTAGATTCAGTAATGATGGATCTAAGAAAAGGCTAATTCCCCTGATAACCGCTGTTGTATTATCTAAATTTTCTGTTTTTGTTATCAAGTTGAACTGCGTCATCGAGGTTACATTTACGGTAGGGAATTCTACAAATGCTAATTAAAATTGAAACTTTCGATTCGATAACGGAATCTCACAAATGTTTCTCAAGTTTGAGTCAAGTCTCATCCACTTTTGACAAAGGATTTTAGTTTTTGAATCAATGCAAGCGAGAGGCGGCCACCTCCCCACATCAAAAAAAAAATAGTCGACGGGCGATTTTAACAAATATTAAATATTTTCAGATTAATATTCAATATGCTATAAGTCAAGTATAGTTCAAAAGCATTTAGCTATAAACTCAAAAACTATTTATATATAGCACCAATGGTTAGGTGACGTCAACAATGACGTCATCAGAGAATGTAAAGGAGCCGAGTCGGTTATTTCTTCCTCTACTCGGAGTATTTATTGTAATTTATCTGATGCTGGGAGCGATTATATTCTCCTTAATAGAAGCACCGAACGAGATTGAACTGAGAAAAATTATGAAGGAAGAAATTCGGAATATGTCTTTAGAATTGAACGTTTCTTTGGAAAAACTGACAAGTCTTTTTCTTCAATATGATTTATTGGTCTTAAACGGATATACAGCGAGTGATTTATATTATGAAGAATCGCACACTAATAAATGGAGCTTCATTGGCGCGTTTACATTCTGTGGAACCGTGGTTACAACTATAGGTGATGAGCGTTGATTTGTGGTATTTTTTTTTCTTTCTTCACAAAAATTTGCTCAAAGCGAGGACACGCAAACTCTCTTAGAAGTAATTTCTGTTTCTATCTATCTATGTTTATTCTTCTGTGATTTTCACAACTACACTCGGAACTAAATTTTCTCAACGAGTTTTCTTCCATCTGCATCAATCAGCAATGACAAGCCATTTTTCGTGTTTATTGAGTTTCTATCAGTTATTCTATATTCACCGCGTTTAAAATAAAAACCCAGTAAACGAAAGTAAAAAGGATACCCCCGTAGTATGTGTGCCAGGTTAGGGTTAGGCCATAATTTTATTCCGATTTTCCTTATTTTAGTTCTATTGCGAGTTCGGGGACTGTCTGTGTTAGCCAAGTGAATATCCCCCTGCCCATAGGTTTCAGTCCCTTTACACAACTTGATGTAAAGTAGGCGAACAAAATTAGTTACCTCCATATTGATACACACACTTCACCATGCAAAAATGAACCATGGTCAAAAAACTAGACAATTTACTTCAAGAAAATTTTGTACTGGCGGGGTTACCTAGCGAAGAAGGTCCTTGCTCCTGGCCCCCAGTGTATCGCTATGTCACCCCCTAGGTCCCAGTTTGAGATATCCTACCCTAGTCTGTATAACCCTATCACCCATTAAGATTAATAGAGGATGCGGCATACATTGTATTTTACCTCGAGATGTCAAACCTGTAATCAGCGTTCTAACCTCAGGGCCACAGCGTTCAAATTGAATTTCTTTTCCAGGTTTCGGTGTTGCAACACCCAAGACGACAGCTGGGCGAATCGTTTTCATAATCTACTGTCTCCTCGGATGTCCCGCAGTTTTTCTCTTTTTCAATACTTGGTTGTCAAGATTCATCACATATTTCACTAAGTTCATATCATGGGTCAAGTCAAAGAGGAAATCAAAGCCAAAGATAGTTAGAAGTAAGTGCTCGTATTCAATGACGTATTTAGCGTATAGCAGACACGGCTGGGCTGCCCAACTAATCTCGGTTCTCCCGAAATATGTGAACCAATATGGCGGAACCGGAACGTAGCATGTATACCAGGTTAGGCCATAATTTCAGGTACAAATACTATGGAAGTCACTTGGCTAGTCCCCGAAATCGTGATGGAACTAAAATAAGGAAAATTGGAATGAAATATTGGCCTAACCCTAACCTGGTATACATATCACGTTTCGGTGCCCGCCATCTTGATTCACATACTTCGGGAGTATTCTAATCTCTAACCAAACTATGGAACAATACTGAAATGACAAGAGTTACAGTAGGTAAATGAATTTATGGTGGTACTTACCCATAACTTGAAGCATTTCAGGTCAAGACGGTCAGGAAAACACTTGTGAAGTAGTAGTCCATCTCACATAACTAAAGTTATTGGTGAAAATTCCAAGTATTCGTATTTTGTTACAGATAGATTCGGCCAAAGAAAAAAGAGAGAATCATACAAAGCGTCGCCATTCCACGTTCTTCTAGCACTGTCATCAATCACACTTTTCATTGTATTTATGACGTCATTAATGTATCACGTGATGGAATCTGATTGGTCATATTTAACATCCTTTTATTACACCATAACGGCGTACAGCACAATCGGATTTGGCGATCTCACTAGTGGCCAGGTAAAGTATATTGATAAGAATAAGATATCACTTTTGAACCCACACAGGGTTGCGATAGCAAGCGTATTTCCAACGCTTATCACGATGCACCATCTGCAGACGAAGGGGAATGGAATGAATTAATTTTTCTAAATATGGCGCCAAGATTTATGTTCATGGCGCAATACAAAATTTGCCGTCTTGAATACAAAATAAGGCGTCATAATTCAGAAACGTGACATTTCGTCCTGGTTTCTTGGATTTTCAGCAATTTAAACTTTGATTCCTCTCTAATTTATACTATTTAATTTATATTTAAGTATTTTGTATCGAAGATTTCATTTTTTAAAATTTATTTTCTTTCAGGAACATTCATACCAAAACATAAATCGATATCTTTATCACATCATAGACGGGTTACTATTGGTGATCGGATGCTGTTGCGTGTATTCCCTATTCAACATGATTTCGTTATTTATCAAGCAGTTCGTCGACTATTTGATTAATTCTTTAAAGCGAAAGTGCTCGAGTATGACGTCAGATGATGACGATTCTGACGTTTCTGGTGACGACAAAGATATGTGTGATATCAGACTATCGAATGGACGTAACCATAAAGACGTAATCGTTTACGTAAAAGACAATTTAAAACATGTTGGACACGTGTACAGTGGAATATTAGCGAGTTCAATACGAAATGATTATTATGGCGAGAGTATAAATAACGTAGGAGGTCATGACGTCACAACTGAAGTTGAGCCTCCAACCTCGACAAATGTCTCATTTAGGATCAGTGACGAAGTAAACTCTGTGGAAGACAAACGTGCCGATTCCGACAGCGAAGATGAGAAACCCGGAAATGGCAGAAGAATGTGGGGGGCTTTAAAAACAACTCTGAGAGTAACGAATTCGCGACAAAAAATCAGCAAATCTTATTCGAATAAGTCGACACTGCGAGAGACAAATTCAAATAATGCTCATTCATCTACTAATTTTTCAGTAGCGAACAAAAATTCTCGCTGGGGCGCAGCGAGGCGGCATTTTACTGGAAAATCTCGTAAAAGTACCAAACGAAAGAAAAGCGTTAGAAAAAATCGATCCGTTCGTTTGAACAATTCAATTTTCACCCCAATACGCCCTTACGGCGATTTTGCTTCTCCAGTTTTGCGAGCGGGTTTAAGACGATCCACTAGCGCCCCCGAGCGAGTAGGCTATGACTCGCGTTTACAAGAAGGCACTTATTATCGGGTCTCCAGATCAATGTACGCGAGCGATTTTCGAAATGTCCAAACCAAGAGAAAGTCAGAGAACTGGGATGAGACTAATGACGTATTTCCACTATCAATAATGCAAAATCAAATGGGTATGTGATTTTATGAGGCCTTCAACACGTCTATAGTCTGACACGATAATTAGAGAGAGTTTCGCACAGAATAATGGAACTTTATTGGACACGAAATCAACCTATGGATCGTTTTGCTATTATTCTGTTGCTGGTCTTATTCTTCTTCTTGTTGCTATGCGAAAATTGCTTTCCTCATTCACTAAAGGATCAATTACTTCGAAATTTCCAGTGGTTAGAGATTGTATTTTTCGCTAGAAGGCTTTTACTTTTATTCATTTCTAAATTTTCTATGAATCCTATGAGATATTTCATATTGAATTTGACTATATTTTTATTTTCCCCATGGGAACACAGTTTTTAATCCGCCAAGCGGGACGACTGTTTCCGATTTGACTCACCGCTAAGCGAAACTAGGGAATTAATTGATACTGGCAGGTACGGTACGAAAAGTACTCTCTTTTGGTCTCAGTGTCCATATATTTGAGCATCGCTCTCTTATTGCAATTTTCACAACGTTCAAATTCGACCACCTTAGATACGTTTTTATTTAAAACAGTATGTTCGAAAAATAGAGGTCATTTCATGGCATCATAATTTGGACTTTACATAAAGCCTATGTTCCCAATTTCCAAATACTTTTCTATGTCTGTGATTCGTGTCCATGAAATAAATTGTGTTTAAACAATTATACATAACATGAAAAAGCCCACACTAAATTGTGAGAGTTTTATTGTGAGAGACTTACTGATTTTTTTTAAATTCATTTATTTTTTGTCGAAATATATATCGTTTTTCTTTTTTACAAATAATATTTATTATAACGTTTATTATTTATATGTGCATTTTATGGAAAAGTTGCATAGCCTATTTAGTGAGCCATGTCTTAAAGATATGTAGATTTCTTGATATCATGCCCGATACCATTTTCACCTCTAGACCAGTAGTTCTCAATCCTTTGTGGCCAACTTGTTGCACGAAACTCTCTCACGCAAGATAAAATCTGCAAACAAAAAAATCTTTTTCGTAGAAATATAGAGACTTCCACTTACAGCATCATCATTCAATCAAAGTTTAACAAATTTATCAATAACTCTAGCAATTTTTTATCTGTTTGCGGCCCACCTAATAATATTTCTGTGGTCCAGAAGTGAGCCATGGTCCACTGATTGAGAACCGGTGCTCTAGACACAAGAGGAATGCCGTTTTTTTGCATTGGTCAATGTCAATATTTTTGCTCGTTTGCCAGACTATATTGTCATCGCGGACTCGATCACAATTTTCAAATCTGGTAGCTTGCGACTGTTGAAAACGCCTTGGTTATTTTATATTGTTTCCTATTTCCATAATTTTACCTATTGCTTTCGGTACAGTAAGATTTCTTGGAATTTTTACCATTTAGATCAGCCCAAAGCAAGCTAACTTCCCAAACCAATGATGCCCTTTACTTTCTATCATTCACGTCGCAATGAGGGGGGGGGGGCTTTATTTTTCATCATTAAATTATCAAAACGTAACGTGGCTGAATGTCCGATATAATCAATCGTACCAATCTCTCTCAAAGTCAATTTTATCAACTATAATCATTTTATGTCATGGTTTAAACACTGGCAGTGATTGTCCTACATCCATCTTCCAAATTTCAGGCACCCCCTATTCTGAAAGGGGTGACACCGCACTGCAATTCCAAACGAGAATAAAATTGTATTTAAATATCCGGAATGTGGTTTATATACCGGTGCAAACGGACAGCTAAAAAAGTAACACCTTTTAATAAGCTACAAATAGTTTTATCATTGATAACAAAATACGCAGCACTCCAACATTTGAAAACACCCTTCTAAATAAAAAGCTGAGAACATACCGAACACTGGCAAACAAAAAGTAATGTTTGGAGGAAAATGGATTGATATTCCACGTTTAGTTTGAGAACCACTGGCTTCGCCATTTCATCTTGAGTGGATGAACAGACTGAATTACCTGCTTACCTATTTCTGTAAATTATAAATTTGCAATATTGTGTTTTGGGAGGCATTTGTATCCTATTCCTTGCGAATTTAAGAGGTTTTGTGACGCCATTTTTCTATTTACTTATTTGATATTGGCAAGTGGGTACTCCCGTAGTGTGTGTACCAGGGTAGACCAATTATTCCGATTTTCTATATTTTAGTTCTATGAGTTCGGGGAATGTCTGTATTAGCCAAGTGAAAATACCCCCTGTCCATAGGCTTCCGTCCCGAACAAAACTAGTTACATCCCCATTGGTACACACACGTCTGGAGCGCCGGCAAATGAGTTTTACCATTTCATAAAAGTGTCAAGAGTAGGCTATTGTTTTAAATTGTTTTTGCACATCACGACTTTTTGCTTTTGATATATATATTAAATATTAAAAATAATTTATATATATATGCAAATACTGCAGTTATGGGTAATTTTTCTTGCAGCGACATTCATATCATGGGATAAATCTTTGTATACAGCCGTTGTCGCTTGAAGCTGTTCTAAGCCAGTGTTTCAAGTCTTGTACCCGGCATTTGTTCTCTATTTATCACACTTGTTCTATGCTGGGGTAGATATATATTGCTGATATATATCTATCTATAGATATAATAGTTAGAGTAAGCATATAAGGTTGGACTCGTATAGTATGTTCTGAGTCGGAATAGATATAATACTTTGGCAGAGGGCCGAGGTGAGATTCACACAATCGGGACACAACGTTTTTGAGAGACTGATCCATCAGAGCACTTTCCAATTTTAGTTGAGCGTAACCGCGCTTCCATATATTTGGGCATTGCTTTATTAATTTCTAATCACCGACAAGAACACACTTTCTCATCGTCATGGATGATAAACAAACAGGCATTCTTTTTTAGTGGCATCAGTGCAAGTGTATTATCTTTAGATTAAGCAATTCCCACGCGGAAGATAAATGAGGCCCAATCAGTGTTAACAAATCGATGTAATTTGCCGTGATAATATTTCCTTTCCTCCGCTCTACATATATACGATAGCCTACTGTGCTTCCCTTTCCATATTTTTCCCGAATGAAGTTTTCCCGTATATAAATTCGAAACGTCGGCAAATTAAATCGTTTTGTTAACACCGACTGTGCTTTATTCATCCTCAACATAATTATGCCTGGTGGCAATCATGCGCTATTTGAGCGATTACCACGTTTACATCAAAATCAAAACTGGTATTTCGGGGTGAAAGGAGTCGCGAGAAACCAATCTGGTTGTCAAGAAGCGACACCCGTGATTCATATATATATAATGATAATAATCAGGATAGGATTCGCGATAAAACAGTTGTTCTAAACCGAAAAAAAAAAAAATTGTGGGGGGAACAATGGCACAAGAAACGCGATACGGTAGCATATTATGTGGCACTACATCTATTTTTAAACCTTCGTGCATAGTTCAAAGTATTTATTATATGCAGTAACAACGTATTAATTGCGTGCAAAATCACGAGAGAATTCACCGTCAGAGCTGAATAGCTTTTATCATCGCTTTAATCATCACTTACCACTTGGGAAGCTCCCGTGTACCACTAGTGATACGCGTACCACAGGTTGAGAACCGCTGTTCTAAATCTTTTTCAGTTCACGGACCGGTGAAATTTCAAAACAAATTTTGCGGACCGGCGGACCTTTAAAATTAACCAAAAATGTCATAAACACAAAACATTATCAAAAGAATGCAATTAAGACAAAAGTGGGCGGTGCAAAAGAAGAAAATCCAACGATTTCGTCAGCTTTGCGGGTTTCATTGCGTCGTTTGAAGGAATTTTGGCGCAGACTGGGCATATTTGTACCTCCATTTTACTATCAATCCTCGCTAAATTATAGGCCTACTGTCAAATTACGGAATGTGCGAACTGCGAAGTTCCCAATCAGGTACCGTACTTTCAAACTGCTCCATTATGACATTAGCCACCGTTATGACCTAATTAACCGGTCATAGACTTAACGAACATCCAGCCGTTCAGGGCCTGAAATGGGCAGAGGACCTCTCACTAATTTTGGTTGTTAGACGAATATCGCGTACTACGAATCAATAGGAGTTAAAGAATCACTAAATTAATGGACATGTCGCCAATACTTTCCTTGTAATAAATTAATATTGCAATATATTCGGCGTACCGGCAGCAAGATGGTCGCGGACCGGCGGTTGAAAACCACTGCGATAGACTCTGAGCGTCATTGACCGTTCTTCCGGTGCAATGTGAGATTTCAAGTACGTGGACTCGCGGGACATCTAATTTAGGTTGTTTCATTTACTGCACTTTTTATCTATTGAAATATTGTGTTGGATTTGAACCCATATTGATTGCAGCCCGCCATCTACAAATTAGTAATGCCTCAGTCGTCCTCGAGTAATTCATCAATAGGATTGGATTTACATATTTATTCCGGGAGAGAGGAAGGTCGATAAGACAGATCAATCATAGTATCATACGGCAAACCACGGCCTCTCGTGTGGTTACCAGTCCATGTCGGGTTTAGGATTATTTAGCCAGTTATTAGTTTCAGATGCATTGACTTGATGGTGGAGGAACCGCAACCGACCAAGCGGTTAGGTGATCCACCCTACTAATAGGCTATCTTCACTATTGTCAGTATCGGTACCTCAAATTCGTTTTTCTTGATCTTAGACGAATTGCTTCAAATCTCGGGTCGGCTGACATTTGCCGGCCCGTAAAGCGCTACCATAAAAATATACATAGTCTCAATGGTCGACTAAAACCTCACTCATACATGAGTCCCCTGTACTTCTACTGAGTGAGGGCGCGTGACTTTGATTGAGTAAATTCTCTTAACCGACTGGTGGTCGTAATTGCGAAATACGTTCATATTAAGATGCCAGATAATATTGTAGCCAATATTTTGCTAAAAATTAATTAATTAAAATTTGAAAAAGTAACAGTTATAAACATTTAAAGAATTGATTCCATGATCAAATATTCCACAGATGCTTTGGTTTTGATAACTTTGGAAGGGTCGAGGAAATGGACCTGGTCACGCATGACCTGGCGTTTTTTCCTCTTTGCTCTTTCTGGCAAGTTCCGTGAATAAAAGTTATTAAATTCTACTTTTTTTTTAAATTTTTTTTAATGAAATGGGTCTCTATACTTCATGTTTTCTTATACACTCAGTTAAGGAGTACATGAGTAAACGTCAAGCCTGGCTACTTACGGAAAACGGTAACAAGGTCATACGCTAAGGCTGTAAGAGCAGCCGCAGTTCGCCACCAATCTATCCTTCAGATATTAAGATGTGAAAGTTTTAGTTAGTTATTGTTATAGGGTGAGATCACATATTGTACAGTTAGGCCTAATCCAAAACTGTCCATTAGGTACGTTTTTAATTTCAACTCCGTAGCTGACAAATTAAATTTTTATAATTCTGTAATTACTGAATTAGGACAGGCAGACAGGGTTCACACATTTCTGTACCGGTATTTATCCCGGGGCAGATGAAGGGTCATGTCGGACACGGACCACGGTACAGCGGTATTTCATCCGTTTTTCAGATTCATGCTTTACAGCATTACCGTACGGTACCGGTACCGTTACCAGTCCAGCAGTCCATGTCCTGATCCTGATCACGGGTATAGGCTATGAGATTGGTGTTTTCGAAACCATGGACAGATGGATGAATGGCGGAGTGAGCCGTTATCGATCAGTGGTTATGTGAACCATCCTACTATGACGACAAAAGGTCCAGCAATAGGGTCTCGTGTAGTTTCGTACCTAATGTACTTCTAGTGGGCGTAGCATAACAATTTTTTGACATGTCAAGCCTAACCCCCACCCGACTACGCCATCCAAAAATTACGTCACTACGACGTCACAATCACGTCATAGAGCTTGCCAGATACACGTACGATCGCCCGAAATGGCATCGGTGCCGACGATAAAGAACTGACTACAGTACGGCACACTATACAAATCGGGTGACATTGTCCCGTTTCAGAGAAACCCATTTTACAAATGATCAGACACCCCTCCTTCGGGAGACGCCTGGACATTGTTGTTCCTCAATATCGGTAATATTACAGTATAATGAAGTTGCGCAAAATACTACAAAAAAGCGCAAACGAGGGACGTCTGGGACCACCTCAGATGCTTCATATCGCGCCATGCTCAATAATAATCTAAATTAATCGCGGCTGTCACATGACCAAAATTGCCGTTTTCTGCTAAAGGCTCTCCAATGCATTTTCCCTTTGTAAATCGGATTATTTTTCCCCAAGGAATCCAATGATGACGTTACCAGATTGCGCTTTTTTGTAGTATTTTGCGCAACTTCATTATACTGTATTATTACCGATATTGATGGACAACGATGTCCAGACGTCTCCCGAAGGAGGGGTGTCTGATCATCTGTAAAATGGGTTTCTCTGAAACAGGACAACTATTTCCCGATTTGTATAGTGTGCCGTACTGTATGGATTGAATTGACTTCGAATGGCTTGGTTACCAAATGAGAGTCTGAGATTTGCCATATGAGACAAATTTTTTTTCAACTCATAATCGGAGTCTATCAAAGTTACTGCCGACCACTTCCATAAAGAAATACAGCGAAGTAAGTAGTGTTAGTTTAGTAGGGCGAACATTCTATTTGTCTCTTAAAAGAGGACGTCGGGCATGACGGCAGTTGGGTCAGATCGCACCATGCTTGTCTTGATATTAATTTAAATGAATTGTCTCTTGACTGCTACGGAAGGTTTTTATTTTCAGTAAATAGAATTATTTTTTTCATAAGAATCCAATAGTGACATTTTTAGGTTGTGCTATCTTTTAGTTTGTTGCGCAGTGCCGATTTGACGTGTTGTGCTGATATGGAGTTCCAGACCCTCTTGTAAAAGAGGGTTTTGCACTCACTGTTATACTTTATGTCTTTTAATCTGGGGGCCGTACTGTAGTGAGTACCGATAACTTCGAGATTGATTATACTAGGCATCTCTTTCTCATATGTTTTCCAACTTTATATAGGAAATAGATATTACCTAACAATCGAACTTAAAATATGGATGAGGAAACTTGGTTTTCCTTCTGCGATGAAAGCGTGCCACATGCTGGTGCTATGGAGCAATTGGAATATCATGCCTCATTGAATGCAGTACTGGGAATTACAAAAGAAAATACGATAAAAATTTTCGATGAAAATTCTGGTGTTACTCTACAACAAGTAATTCATGGTAAGTTGATTTTGGCAATATCACTAGGAAAATCCCTATTGTGTATTGAACTGCAGTGGGTGAAGGCCAGTGGTTCCCAATCTTTTATTGCCCCTGGCCCCCTTCCAGGGACTTTTAGCACTCATGGGCCCCATGTTTATCATTCCAGTGATATTTATCAAGTCCATGTAAATGTAATATCAGTTTTGTGCCCCCAACTAGTCTGTGACTATGAACTATGACTATGAACTATGAAAATTAATATCGTGTATTGTAGAGCAGTCCCTTTTTCCTTGTTTACTTCTTACTTTGGATCTGTATGTGGCCATTACCACAAGGCTGCTTGTATGAGATAGTATTGAAGTGATACATAAGAATAACATAATCACTTACTTCAAAATAATATCTATATTTGTTAGCTTTCGTTAATTCAATGGCTTCTAACTGGGGGCCCTTGGCGCCTAAGTGGGCCACAGAGCAGTTGAAGGGGGGCCGCAAGGCTCGTCGCAAAACTGATTTTACTTTTCACTTTACAAAAACACTCCCCATTCTTCCTATTTTCAATGCTCGATAAGGTTATTTGACAGGGTGAGCATGAATTGTTTAAACATAATTGGATTTGGAATCTACCAATCAAAATAACACTTTAAAAAATACCACTGGGATGATAAACAGAGGGGGGAGGGGGGGGAGTTGGCATGAGTGCTGAAAACCTCTGGAAGGGGGCCACGAGTCATAAAAGATTGGGAACCACTGCGTTAGATAATAGTTTGACTTATTCAGGCAAAACAATATACCAGTAGCACCCATTAATAAAATAATGTTAAATTTGTATTAAAATAATCACAGGTACAAAACCGAAAAAGAGATTGAAATGTTGCTACCATAAATCAAAACGAAGCGTTGCAATAACTGACAGTCAATCGGTTGGATACCGGTTTGATAATAACGGAATTCTTCTCATCAACACCGCTCTTCAAACTCCTGTTTCTGCAAATACAGATGCAGTGATTCTTGAACTACCAATTTCTGATGTAAGTATTCTTTTTTGTGGTATTCTCTACCTTTGGCTGATCAAAATAGATCCTTCTGATCAGTGATGTCAAAATACGATCTGAAATATTCAGAATATTCAGAATATATGGAATTTCGATTACTGTATATTCTGGCATTTTAGCAAAGTTTAAAACTTATTATAAAAGGTTGCCAAACTAAGAGGTCGGCTTATATTATGCACATAAGTCTGATCACACTAAAAATTCAGCTTTTCACACATAACCCTGATCATGAAATGCCATTATGCTAACTTAATTCCAACATCTACAACCGTACGGTAGTTACGGTTTGTAGGGTTGGCTTATATGCGAATTTTTGTAAATTCACTGTTTAAGGGCCGTTTTAGTCACTCAACTTATATGCGAGATAAGCTTATATGCAAGGATGTAACTATCCCAAATAGGTCTAGATTCAACAAATAACATATTGTAGTCAATATACAGGACGACCCCCATAAAAAACTGAACTTAGATTAGTTTAAACTTATTTTAAGATAACATAACTTTGGTCAGAACGTCCCAGATTACTGAAACTTTTGGGTACAAACATAAAAAAGCAGAAGTTTGAAATGTTAAATTAATTGTTTATGGCTGACTTTCGTTGAGGCAATATTAATATTTTTATTATTCAGGCTCGGCTGCTGACCAATTTCATTCAAGATAGTGATTTTACATCCTCGGCACAAGATGGTGGCAATCAGAAACCCAAGATTGAAGGATCAGATGTTGACGCAGTGGAGGAATTGCTCAGTATTTTGGTTAAAGAAATCAGTAATACAGATGAGAGAGATAAGATGACTGTGAGTTGTTGTAGATTCAAATCTCATTTCTGGCATCTGTGTTATATCTGCTGCATAGTTGCTTGTTTATATAGTTTGCTCACAACAAACCAGAGCTATCAAGTGCGCAAAAATTTGCACTCAACTCCTAGACATTTAAAAACATCAGGTTGACAAAAACTTTGACTTACGACTTCTGCTACTGATTCCAAATAAAAGGAAATTTTTAGCACATTGACGCATCGCATGCAAGCATTTTTTAATTATCTATTGAGAATGATTAGTTAGAAGAGATACTTTTTCGATTACCGGTAGCTTCATTTTAGAACTGAAATTCGCACGCTGGCCGCCTGTTGCTCACCCCTGATTTAGTCCCATAATCAAACAATTATTTTTTGTGTTTCAGCTTTCTGGCAAATGGACAACAGTGAAGATATCTCTTCCCTACTCTACTCTCAAATCAGCTTGCCAAACACTGTTTATTCCACACCAGAGGTAAAGAAAACTTTTTTTCACTCAGTAGTCAGTTTTATGTCTCAGGTTAATTTTGTTCGAATGAGCAATATTTATGTATTTTGATTATCATCAAATATCTGGCAACTGGCGAATGTGATGGCCTACACCAGTGTTTCCCCAGCCATGAATAGGTTTCATTGTTTTTAAGAGGGAATTTCACTTGTATTTTTATGTTGTATTACTCATAATTTTGAGTAATTTAGTGTTATTGTAATACATGCACATTTTATATACTGTTTAATGTGTCCAAAAGTCGGTACTCCCGTAGTATGTGAACCAAGATGGCGGACACCGGAACGTAGTTTGTTTACCAGGTTGGGTCATAATTTCAGGTACAAATACTACGGAAATCACTTGGCTAGTCTCGAACTCGTAATATGTTCCGGTGTCCGACATCCTGGTTCACATACAACGGAATACCCAAAAGTCTGCTATATGTACGCACTAGCTTATGATCCGTTATTCAAGATTGAATAGCAAGTGAAAGGTTATGTGTCGAAACAGGTTTGAATCACTGGTCTATTGGTTAGAGAGTTTTCTTGTTATTGTCGCAAGTTAAATGCCCGCCATCGTTCACCTAGGGCAGGGGTTCCCAAATAGAGGTTGCGACCCCAAATTGGGTCGGAGTGATAAGTAGGTATGGTCGCAAACAAGTCATGTGGTCAGTGGGGTCGCTGAAGTATGGTAGAGGGTGGATGTACAAAACATCTAAATTTTGACAAACCATGTTAAATTTAGCAGTTTGTACCATGGCTTACTGTAAAACGGTCATATATATCCATCGCTCTATGCTTATAAACAGAAAATGTAGGTGCTTATTATGACATAACTGTTGGTGGTTTTAGCTTATTTTACTTAATACCACCACATGACCAAACTCAAAAGTCCAGTGAAAGAAGCTCTAAAGTTTCATGAAAATATATATATATTGACCTGGGGTGGCACTGGACACTTGAAAGTTGTCTTTGGGGTCGACCTGAAAAAAGCTTGGGAACCCTGACCTAGGGTGTAATGGACCTGATTCATGCTGAACTGAAATTTTTTAGTCTTTCAAATAGTAGTAACTCTTACATATCAGGGATACATTAGCACAGTGGTTTATAACTTTTTATGGCTTGTAACCCCTCTCAGAGGCTTTTAGCAGTCATGGCCTCCCTTTTTTATTACAGCAGTATTTATCGTGTTATTTTTATTAGTAGATTCCGAATTCCATTAGGTTCAAACCATTTATGCTTAATAAAGTGAAGACACTCTGTGAAATATTCTTATCAAGAAAGGAAACTAGGGAGAACGGGTTGTTTTCCTGTAAATGGAAAAGTAAATTCAATTTTGCATCTAGCATTTTGGCCCTTGCTTCATGGGAACTACTGCATTAGCCTAATAGTTATTCGGAATATATTATTCAATTTTTGACAAATGATCTCATTTTTCTTCGTTTCAGACGGGTGCAATCGATAGAGAAACGATCCATGGTCCCAGGATATCATGAATCATCTCATTCTTCTTACGGATTACCGATCGTATCTTCTATGCTGCATCAACTGGTTCTGCTCAACCCATCAGATAACCCAGGTAACAGCATATTGTGTTAGAAATACTAAGCTTTATCACCAGTCATGGTGATAGTGTCTGTTGCTTAGCTTCAAAGCAAGAGGTTAGTAACAGGCGGCCACAACCCGGCCATTCGAGCCATTTAGTGTGGCCTTTGTCAACACTCATACTCTTCCCCATGAAGCATAAAATTCGAATCCGACAGTTCATATTGAAAAAGTCGCTCACATGTTTAAAATCCCAGATAATGTTTTTTGCTCTTGTCACTGTTAAATCTTTTGTCGTTATGTCCAGTTTCTTTACTGTACGGCTGAGCAGTATCCGCATTCTCTTTCCTTGCGTTTCCTGCATGGAAAAACTAAATTTATTTGTGTGTATCTGAAGTTGGTTATATGGCCCACCACCAAAAAATGTCACCTACCCCCGGTTTGAAGGGGGCTTTCTCGCTTTTGTGGACAATGCTTCATTAATCACAGTCCAGTGTTTTCAGTCACAGTCCATTTTCTCTAGTGCATTCATTTTTTTCAAATTCCATGGCATCACATGAGGTATTAGCACATACTTTGCTTGGATTCTGTGCTAGACGACTAACCACGACTATCGGCAAGCTAGTCCGACAGATTAATATGATTTTTCTTTCATCAAGGATGCCATGGACCTGTCATTAGGATGCCATCTCGTGAGCTGATGTATGCAGAATTAACAAGAAGAGCTACGTTCACAGAATGGCCACATTCAAAATACAAGTATGCATTTTGCTTATTTCCTAATTAAATGATAATTTTGTGGACAGTCCTGGTAGACTTAAACAATGTCAGCTTCGCTGGGTGATAAAAGTTCTCAGACTTGTACCCCATCTCATCTGGGGCTGAATAAATGATTCAAAGCAGAGATTCTCAAACTATTTAAGTCGCGCCCCCTTTTTAAAATTCGTCATTTCTCGCGCCCCACCTCAGAAATAACTAGCTAGCTATAAGCTACAAATATCAGATAGTATGGCGAAAGTATGTTTCATTCAAAAACTATGTGAAAAATATGTGAAAAAATCTTCTTAGAAAGTCTTTTGGGTGCTCCCGAAGTATGCGAACCAAGATGGCGGACATCGGAACGTAACATGGGTAACAGGTTGGGGTTAGGCGATAATTTTTTTCCAATTTTCCTTATTTTAGTCCTATTATCAGTTCGAAGACTAGCCAAGAGCCTCCCGTAGTATTTATACCTAAAATTATGGCCTAACCCTAACCTAGTACACATATTACATTCCGATGTCCGTCATCTTTGTTCGCATACTTCGGGAGCCCCGTCTTTTGAATATGTGTCTCTTTCTACTTTTTTAATGTTGGGGACCTCTTTTAATTTTGGCCTTTTCTCTGTTATATGCTTAATATGGACAACGCCAGCGACCCTAGGAATTTGTTCAATGTCTTCAATTAATCTTGGGTGGTCTTGTACAGGTGTTCGATTAGGGATATAATTTATGTGTTTTTTCCTGTGGAGAGCAATGAGATAAGAGTTCAATTGAACAAATCATGAAACGAGTCCAGGTCTTAAATGGGATAAAGCAGTGGATCCCAACTGGGCGCCCTTGGCCCATCTAGTGGGCCACATTGCACAACACAGGTGCAAATCTGATTTTACTTTCACTTTACAAGAACACATGCCATTCTTTACACTTTCATTGCTTGATAAGGTTATTTCACAGGGTGTTATTACTTTGTTAAACATGAATTGTTTGAACATAATGGGTTTTGGAATCTACCATTCAAAATAACACTATAAATACTATTGGAATGATAAACGGGGGCTAAAAGCGTGAGTGCTAAAAGCCTCCAAAAGGTTGAGAACCACTGGGAAGTAAGGAGAAAGGTCTTGTAATTCAATACACAACATCCTAGTACCTCTTCATAGTCTTTATTACTAGACGCAATTTCTATAAATTCAGTCTGTAAATGAGAACATGACCCGATCAAAAATTTGAATTCATATTATTTTATTTATTATTGAAATAGCGGTTTCCGTTTCTCCAAAATTGAAGGAGTACGAACATCATTAAATGTTCTGCTGTTCCAATTTATATTGTTTTATAACCATGGAAGGTAGCCTAGGTGGTAAAAATATTATGAATGTAAAAAATAATTAGAGTTTGAAAATCAACGGAAGCTACGGTAGGCGATATTTAATTAGAAATGCTCGGATGTTGGAACATCATACTAAGCATTAGGAATACGAACTCGTTAAATGTTCTGCTGTTCCAATAAATATTGTTTTATAACCATGGAGAGTGATTATCAGGAAAGCAAAAAATAATTGGAGTTCGAGACATGAGGTAAAAATAAACCGAAACACCACAACACAAAGATGACACTATTCAATATTGATGTCTCTGGCTGTTAGAGAGAGCGTTGTGTGTGGTGCGTGCCTAATTTAATCTTATGATTTAACGATGTCAACTTAATACTGACTAAGTGAATTGATCTTTATTAAAGTGTAGCAAATTTGATAATATTGGCACAACTAATAGATATTTGATTATATTTAAACACTATCTGTATATTAATACAGGGTGTTGAAAAAGCTACGCAAAATAAACTAAAATTTTACGTCATGGTAATGTTGAAAATAGTCGGTCGTGAAATGTTTAAATGGCATTTCACCGTAATTCAATACTGCTAAAAGGTGTCAGTCGTTAATTGTTTTGAGTAGGATTTCATTTTAATTTCTGTTAATTTTGCATTACTTTTTAACACCCTGTATAAACTCTCGGATATGGATGTAAACTTGTAGAGCCCCTGGGCTGTACTGCCCATGCCATAGGGTATTATTGAAATAGTGGCTTCCGTTTCTCCAAATCGAAGGAGTAGCATTACCATCACCTTGTTAAATGTTCTGCTGTACCAATCAATAAATATTGTTTCATAACCATGGAAATTAGCGGTAAAAAAATGTAGGAAAAATATTATGAATGCAAAAAATAATTGGAGTTTGATAATTAACGGAAGCTAGGTGGTAGAAATGCTTGGATCTCGCTAAGCGTTAGGAATTCGATTGTCATTGAACTTCTGATCACCTTGCGTGGGTTCAAAGGTTGAATCCTCTTGGGGATAATTAGGTGGGAGAGGATTTCTGGACTTCCTGTTGTTGTAGGGTAGAGCGAAGATCTGAAGCCCGAGCCCGACCCGAAATTCGTGTTAGTGTGCAGCAAGATTCTTTAATAAAATAGTTCTACACAATACTGGCAAAATATTGACTCTTTATTCCTATTGTTCAATTCTCTTATATAATCTTCATTATTTTCAGATATGCTCTTCCACATGCGATGGCAGAGGCAGGCTTCTATCACCAACCAGCAGCGGCAGGAGACGACAGAGCGATGTGCTTTGCTTGCAATGTTTGTCTTGTCTGTTGGGAACCATCTGATGAACCATGGTAAGAATTTTGATCATTTATTATTCATATTTGCATAAAACAATGCTTGAACCTTGTTAGTATCTTGCACATGTGTTATGGTTAGAATTAGGGCAGTGAATGGTCAACTGGTTACTTGGTTAACCAATTTTAGATGGTTAACGGTTTTACTTTAACTGTTAACTGACATATCAAGGTACAAATCTGCCAGTGTCTAAAATTTGACATAAAATGATCAAATCTGTTAAAATCAATGTTGAGGGAGCAGCATGGCTAGCGATATCGGACATGGCGCGGCGGTGTGGCTCAACGGGCTAAGCGTTAGGAATACGCTCGCCACCGCACCTCTAATTACTCTGCGTGGGTTCGCAGGTTCGAATCCCATGCAGGGATGGTTATGTGCGAGAGGATTGCTGGACTCCTCGCCGTCGTTGGGTGGTTCACGTAACCGCTGGTCGGTTACGGCTTCCTCCACCACCAAGTCCATGCTTCCAAAACAAACTATATAACAAATCCCATACCCGACTTGGAATGGTAACCGGACGAGAGGCCGTGGTTCGCCATATGGATAAGCCGTCTTATCGGCTTTCCTCTCCCCCTGGATAAATATGTAAATCCTATCCTCCTCCTATCCTATTTATGCGAACAAAAATGATGCGATTCATTGCCTAATTGTGTATGTTCAAAATCTTTTCCTTGTCATAATCCGGTTTTAATGAAGCAGATTTTTTTCTGAGCGGTATACTTGTACCATGATTTGCATTATAGAAAGTAAATGTATAATGAATTTGAAAAGTTTGGTTACTTCTTGTTTAGAACATTTAGGCATTGGTTTTATATTCCCCAGTATCAGTATGTCTCCCTATTTACTAGTCTCCCACTATTTGAATATCAATTCAGGTAGATTCAATTAATTTGTATTATTTGGATTTTACAGGTCTGAACATGAACGCCATTCACCATCCTGTCCGTTTGTGTGTTGTGAACCAACAGTTAACGTCCCGATCTCTGTAAGTTATGCTACACAACCTGCATTGCCAAACCCTTTCACAAACCTGGAGGGGTCAGAGGTCAACATAGCAGGGTCAGAGAGCCGGTCAAAGGTTATTCCCACACTGGATTTTATCACTGCTGGTGAGAACTCAAATATCATTGCAGCTGCTTCACGAGATGGATATCTGGCAACATGGGATGTCAGTGATATGATGCCCCAGGTAAGTTTTTTAAGATCTATTCTAAGGAGTGGAGAGCCGGCAGCTTAATTATGTTGTGAACCACAGCATGTCATTTGATTACGGTCCATGCCAGGGTATGCGATGTTGTTTGTTTCCGATGCATGAACTTGTTATGGTGAAGAAGCCGTAACCGTTTAGCAGTTACGTGCATCACTCTATGGAGTCCACCCACCAGTCCACTTACACATAATTTACGAGTGCGATGGATAGGGTTTTTATATTTGTCTGGGGATAGAAGCAAACCAATAAGATGGTCTGATCATATTGCAATTCACAGCCTCTAGCCAGGTCATGTACCCAGAATGTTCAGAAGTGAAATGGCTAGCATATAGTTAAGAATATGGCAACCGTCAAACACCTCCGTCACACTTCGAATTACTATGTATTTTATTTTTAATTCACATGCAACAAGATTGTTGGATTTCAACAGATGGAGTCAAGCAAAAGTTGTCATTAGATTAGTATTACTTACGTCAAACAGTATATCTTTAGCCCTTACCTAATAACTTTCATAACAAGGATGAAAATACTTTTTCTTGTTGCATTTCAGCTTCAAAGCATCTCATCAATTTGCAAATCAAGCGTCTTTTTCTCTCTACGACGACGACTCAAGCACGAGAACTTTCCAAATGCTGAAAGCTTTGTTTCAGGTATAATCATGGTAAATTTGTAATAAATTCTGTTCGTATGAGTAATTATGTGTTTTAGCTGTAGAATATTTCAAATTAAAATAGTAATTTTGCCATCTGGTTGTAACAAATTGGGGCAGTCCAAGTATGTGTACCAATATGGAGGTAACTAATTTTGTTCGCTTACTTTACATCAAGTTGTGTAAAGGGATGGAAACATATGGGCAGGGGGTATATTCACTTGACTAACACAAACAGTCCCCGTACTTGTAATAGAATTAAAATAAGGAAAATTGGGATGAAAAATTATGGCCTAACCCTAACCTGGTACACACACTACGGGAGTACCAAAATTGGTTTTATTTAATTCTAAACTGTACAAAATAAAAAATCTGATAACAACATTTATTTTACTTTTTGTATTCCAAATTCAATGTTTATGTATTTGCAATAATTATTGTGTAAACCAAGAAGAAGCTTGGTGTTGCATTTTTCTCTACACTTCTTATGGGGTCAAAGGTCAAACATTCATAACTACCTGTCAAATTAGCAAGTACAATTTGTGTTGGGTGTTTTGTGTTTTTGACAAGACACCAACAAACATATCACGGCACACTGCAACCTGTGGGTCAGGGCGTCACCATCCCTGCGCTTGGCTATTGCACTCACAAACACATATTGGTTTCTGTCACTGACTCCCATACTTTTATTTTTCTCAGCAAACTATTCCATGTCCAACCTCAAGGTTACAAGTCTTCATATACTCGACAAGTTAGCCCCAGAACCAGAATTTGAAGCGTGTGACCCCGAACAATATCTAATCACCACGGCAACGGAGGAAAATGAGGAGTTTAAAAAAAGTTACGAAAAATCAGAAATGAAAGTGACGTCAAGCGCAATTTCACCCATAATTGTGAAAACCCCCTCTATCGTAGTGGGGGTAACGATTGAGTTGACCCCGCGACCCTTTAGGGGGAGTAGCGTTCATAACTTGAGTAAAACTAAAATTGGGAGTAGGACAAAGAACCCTAGTAAAGCTCCCAAAATATCTACTGAGGAGAGGAAATCCCCTAACATCGATACAAACATCACACCTAGCGTAGAACACCCAACCCCAATGACAAATAATCCCAGCAATGCCACAGATGAATCATCTAATGCCACAAACACTTCTTCCGAAGTCATAAATAATAATAATGTCATGAATGTGCCCCCAGGTGCCACAGAAAATTTCTCAAATGCCATGGATGTCCTAGAACTGACTTCAACTGGTCCTATCGAAAATCTTGGTAATCCAGTAATACTGGAATTGCCAACCCAGAGCATAGATGCTGATAAAAAATCTGAGGTCCCCCCACTTGCAGAGAAATCTGACGATTGTTCAGAGGAGCAGAGTTATATATCTTCTTGTGGAAGGGGAAGTCCCAGAAAAGAACCCCCTCCTGCTTTGGAATCTCATAAATTCTCTCTCCTGCTTTTTCTGAGGACTGAAGACAATAAAGATCTAAAAAGGTAAATTTGGATTAGTTTCTATAAATTAGGGAACAATTACTGGTGAAATAACAGTAAAAAGTAAGGGTGGTAAAAATAAGGTGGTTGAAACTGAAGTGGGAAGAAGATTGACCTAGGGCCGCCCAAAGTACTCAGTAACAAACTGAAATCGGATATGAAAATAATTGTAATGGATTTGGACTCTGAACCCCTTCTTTTGAAATATAAAATAACACATTTTTCGGTACTCCCGAAGTATGTTAACCAAGATGGCGGACACCGGAACGTAGTATGTGTACCAGGTTAGAGTTAGGCCATAATTGTATTTCATTTTTCCTTATTTTAGTTCTACTACGAGTGCGGGGACTAGCCAAGTCACTCCCGTAGTGTTTGGACCTGAAATTATGGCCTAACACCAACCTGTTACACATACTACGCTTCGGTGTCCCCCATCTTGGTTCACATACTTCGGGAGTACCCATTTTTCTGTATGATAAATGGTAATTTTTCGTAGCTCGAAAACGCTTTTTAGCCCCTGGCTTCAAGACTCTTGGAAACCTGGACTCTTTCAGAACCCCCTCTATTAAATTTCTTGGCTATGCCCCCCGTAAAAAACCTTGTTCATCGTAAATATATAAACGAGAATATCAGTCAGAGACCGAAGACGTATCGATCAAAAGTTAGGGGATCCCCCAAAACAGCGCTCTTACTCCATAGTGACACCCATCACTAATTCCCATCCCATCACTAATTAATATCTCGCTAAATATACGACATAATTCATTCAAAATCAATAGGCTTCTGGTACGACATATGATCGAATGCACATGCAAAATCTGGAGCAGATTCAATCTCGCTTTCGTGAGACGGTCATCTAACAGACAGACAAATACCTTATATACCGATTAAAATCGATAAGTAATATTTCTATCTTTTACTGTTTCAGCACCTTGGGGTCCAAATCTCAGAAGCAGCAACTATCAATGTCCAAGACCACGCTTTTCCAACCCCAGCCAATGGAAGGAGTGGAAATATATCCGCCTCCTGATGCTCCGATGACCAATGGTGTGGGGTCTGTCTCTATCCCACAGAGTTTTCAAATGGTGAGTCGAATTTTCTATTTCTCGTGCTGAGAAGTCTGAGCTAAATTTTTGCATGTTTTCATTAGAGTATAAGCTGGAGTCTTATTAGTTATCGATCTTGATCAGTAAGTATGTTGATAGGTATTTGTCTGTTTGTTTGTCTGTCTGTTAAACACTTTCGTATGTTATGCGATATCACACGAAAGCGAGGTTGAATCTGCTCCATTTTTCATGTGCATTCATCATATCTCGGACCAGAAGCCTATTGATTTTGAATGAATTAAGTCGTATAATTAGCTAGTTATTAGTTAATTAGTGATGGGACAGGCGCTGTCGCTATTGAGTCGAAGAGAGCGAAGGATACACACCGCTAGATCGATAAGTCGGTCTTTGATCGCAATCTTTCCAGAGCTAGAAGTCCAAAAAGCATTTTTTAAGCATTCAAATTTAACATTTATAAAAAAATTTAAATTTTTTGTTTTGTGAAATTTGACATTTTTGCATTGATGCTGTTAGATATGCCTAATTTTAGAGTAAAAACACATACATAATTGGGTGCTCTCGAAGTATGCGAACCAAGATGGCGGACATCGGAACGTAACATGTGTAACAGGTTAGGGTTAGGCGATAATTTTTTCTCCAATTTTTCTTATTTTAGTCCCATTATCAGTTCGAAGACTAGCCAAGAGCCTCCCGTAGTATTTATACCTAAAATTATGGCCTAACCCTAACCTAGTACACATATTACATTCCGATGTCCGCCATCTTGGTTTGCATACTTGCCCCCATAATTGTGTTGTGCTTACTAGTTACTAATACATTCAGTCACAATTGTATAGGCCAATTTGCTTCCCTGATATTTTTTTGTGATGCTTTTGTCAGTTCCCATTGCTTCCTCTCTTTTTGGTACCTCATTGTTTTTACTATTCTTTTTGTTCTTCGTATGGGCCTCTCGCTCTGGAATAATGAACAAATGTAATTGGCTTACTGGTAATAATTTTTAATATTTTTTTCCATATTTTTCTTCAGGCGAACAAACAAATGATGCCCCTGATGGAACTTGCAATGCAACAACAACAGGCGTCTGATATCTCGGTTCCTCCAGTCCAGATGAATTTACAGGTTTGTATTGAGCAAGCTTGATTTTAAAGTAGCATAGCTCGTGTATCTATCAGATAGTGAGATCAGTGCTTGTCCCTTAAACTAGGGGTGTGCATACTGCGGCCTACAAGGAAAATTTGTGTGGGGCCCATAGAAGTGCCAATTTTGAATGGTGTTATGCCCGCGAAACGAGTTTCTAATCACCTCAATCTGGTATGTGCTAGCAATTCCTATCCCTTTGCATTGTAAAGCCAATACCTCGGTCTAATTTATTACCTATGACGTCACAATGCCCTAACAGCTAGCTTGTGTGAGGCGAACAATGCATATGCCGTAAGATCAATAACCAAATTTTTGTTGCTGCAACTACTGGAAAGCCTTGCTACATAAAGGTGCGGCCCGCGGCTTCTCCCAGTTATTTAGTTGAATGATACTCCTCAATAGATGGTTTACTTTAGTTGAAGGTTTAAGACCATTACAAGTAAACTTTATAAAAATATTCAGGGGCTCCCGAAGTATGCGAACCAAGATGGCGGACATCGGAATGTACTATGTGTACTAGGTTAGGGTTAGGCCATAATTTTAGATATAAATACTACGGGAGGCTCTTGGCTAGTCTTCGAACTGATAATAGGATTAAAATAAGGAAAATTGGAAAAAAATTATCGCCTAACCCTAACCTGTTACCCATGTTACGTTCCGATGTCCGCCATCTTGGTTCGCATACTTCGGGAGCACCAATATTCATAAATTGTTTTATAATTCCAGAACATGCCTCCATACCTTCCTCAGACGGCCGAAGAATTTGAAGAATATGCCCAAGACGTTCTCACTGAGATTTTCCCCGATGAAATGGCTGAAATGGAGAACGAACTCAATAATCCACACGGTGGATTGATGGTTGATGAGAATGCCAATATTACACTCCCCGATGAAGAAGAAGATGCTGCCTCTAGTGGCATAAAAAGTAAGTCGATTAGTTAATTATACAAACTATCTCAATTCATTTTTCCACAAAATGAATTCTGTAATTTCCATCTCTAAATCTATATAATCATTTTATCTTTACCAAATTAAAATGAAGTTTATTAGAAGGAATCAGGATATTGTGTATGAACCATGAGTCTGGGATATAGCTCTCTTGGGGAGACACGAGACAAGTCGGTAACTCAACTCGCCTGTAATCTAATCCCCTTTTCAAAGACTCTAAGTGACTCAGAGAGACTGTAAATTTTGAGCGAGTCTTTAAAATAGCGAAAGTTTACAATTATGTTGAATACCATTTGCTATGCATTTTAATGATGTATTAAAAGTATAGATATAGATTCTAGGCATATAGTTGGATCAAGCTGTGAGCGAGATTTTGCATTATAAGTCTTTTTACAAATGATATAATCAACTCTTTTTCCTGTTTTTTCAGAAAAATGCCTGCCAGCGACTATACTACAGCTAGTCCTGATTGACCATTGTGCAAAACCTGAGAAATCTGATTCAAAAAAGCAAATTCAAGTTATCAACAATATACTCACTACAGAAGATGGGTGCAAGATGGTTGTTGGGACTTGCCCAGAAGATTGTCTCAAGAGTGACATTGGCACGCCTCAAGAGAACCAACCAATCAAAGTTGATGATGTTGGTTCAGAAAATATGCCTGGCCTTGATCAACCAATCGAAATGCAGGATGAAGCCACACCCACAATTCAACAACTAATCAAAACCGATGAGGAGGATTTGGATAACTCTCAATCAATTAATGCAGAGGAAATTTTAAAAATGGACGACGCCCCAACCACACCTCAGAATCATACAATTGGAGTTCAAATCATGACCACACCTAAAGCTGATCAACCAATCATTGCCCAAGCTTTTTCCACGCCCAATGTGGATCAGCCAATGAAAATTCAAGAAGATGCAAAAATGGAAACTGTCGGAATTGAAGATATATCTTGTAATAGTCGAGGGAAATTGTTCGTTTTTAAGATTGAACCTTCAAGCAATGTGAGTTGTGTTTCACCGAAAGAGATTTCTTCTGTCGATAAAGGTTGGTTGCAGTTTTGTTACGAGATGTGTTCAGGGTTTGTTTTTTATAAATTGCCTATCTTTCGGAGCCTAATTTCTTTTTGTTTCTGTTAGAACTTTCATTAAAACCGACTTCAAATGCTAGAATATTTCTCTTCATAAAATAGTGGTATTATGATTTTATAGCTTTTCTCAGGGAGAGATATGCGAAAAAGGCTTAATCATATGGTGAACCACAGCCTCCTGTCTTGTTTGGTTACCAGTCTATGGTGGATTATAATTTCTGGAATGACCAGACCCCAGTAATTTTAGTTATTTTTACAGATCTTTTGGTAAAAATAGTTGAGGAGCCCTGCTCTAAGCAATTCCATATTATTGAACCATCAATTTGAATTTTCTCTAGATAAATCATGGATCTACTCTCTGATCTACGACCAACTCTTGATTCTACCGTCTGACTTTAATCAATCCTCCTACGAGGATGAGGATGTGGATAGCATGGAAGGAGAAGAGGATGAGCAATCAATGAAAGAGAATAAGGAGGAGCAAGAAGTGGGAAAAAGTGATGAGAGTTTGAGGTAAAATGAGATAGAATACGGTGGAAATTAAAAGTGCCTATTTTGAATGATGTGTAGCCCGCGAAACGAGTTTTCAATTCAGTTTAATCTGGAAGATACGAGTAATTCCAATCTCTTTTTGTTGCTTAGCCTATACATGAGTCCCATTTATTATCAATATCTATGACGTTACAATCCCCCAACAGTTATCTTGTGCAAAGCGAACAACGCATGTCATGAGGTCAATAGCCAAAATTTTTGTGTTAGCAACTACTAGAATACCTATGACTATGTTAAATAAAGGTGCGAGCAGCAGTTTGACCCAGTTATTTGTATCTGGCCCTCTGGTATCAAAGGTCGCGCACCCCCGCTCTAACCAATTCAACAGTTCTAAGCGAAATTATAAAAATAAGCTGCTTGTCTATGGCCTAGTTTGGAGTGAAGTTATGGAAATACTGAACAAAAAAAATCACAGCCAACTGTTCGATCTATGCCATATCGCAGGGGTGGGCACAATTTATTAGTATAGGAGCCGAATGCTGCAAGTCAGAACTTTAAAATAGCCGCAGAATTTGTAAATTTTTTATTATTGAAATACCATGAACAGGAAAGAAATTCACACAAGAGTCCAATAACAATAAATAGATAAACAAGGCAGCTATACTCAAATATATGCACAATTTGAGCTCATTTAATTTGTGTTTCTTTATAGCTGATTTACGAGAGTAGTCTCGTAAGAAGTTTTCATGATTCGTTTCATGGTGCCGTTGAACATTGCTGACTTTATTCTGACTTAGTAGGAAGATTAGGTCAGATTAAACACAAAGGTTTATTCTTCTGACTGGTAAATGCATATTCTTCTTACCATTCTGACTTGACAACTCTGTTTTTATCTTCGTATTTTCGTTTCTTAATTGATGACATATTGCACAGTTACTAACTGACCGCAATCAAGCTGCAATACCGCCGACGCATCAATAAACATTGACCATTGTGACGAAAGATTTGCTGACTTGACTGACTTAAATTCAAAATTCAACGCTACATCGATTTTCATACTAAAACATAATTTGTTTTAAATTAATCATTGACGAAAACTTCCTTTCAACTTTTAAGCGAGCCGCGGTGTGCCCACCCCTGCCATATAGGATGCCAGAAAACAAAACTGATAATTATTCTTTTGCAGTCCTACTCCACCTGGATCATTGTTTATCCTGGGATTGACAAGAGATGGTGAAATTAATGTTATGAATCTGGCAACCCTGGAAGTTGTTTTCAAAACTAATCCAACAGAGATATTCGCAAGTAAATATTTTTTTTTGCATAAATTTTACTTGAGAATTTCTCAGCGCTTCTGCATGACTCTTGGAGCACTTAGAATAGTTCTTACTCAGAAGTAAACATGATTCATCTCAGAATAAAGTTACTGCAATGACTTAAATGTGTCAAGAGTTACTGAAACTATATAAATTATGGCGCTCTATTAGAAGTAAAGGAGACTTATCTCTAAGAAAAGTTACGAACAGCCATTAAAATTCCAAAAACTACTGAGACTACTCAAAAATATGGGGGTGCATAATGTGCTTTCATTTTGAAATCAGAAATCAAAGCAAAATTTATTTTCTTACTCAGTGACTCCAATCAACTCTCCTGAAACAGTGCAAGAAGTTATATCGACTACTGATGTGGAACCAGAAAAGCAGAGCTCGAAAACTTCAACAATTTTATCTGATCCAGAGAAATTCACTGCTATTACTTATTGCTCTGGTACCGAAAGACTTTGTGCTTCTACTGACACTGGGAAGCTTGTGTTTTTGAAGGTAAAAGTAGATTTTTGTTTTGATACAGTATTTCTCCGAAAATAAGACCTAGTCTTAGATCGTTAATTTGTACGAATAAAGCCAATGTCAACAAAACAACATATTGTCATAACATTCACACTTTTTTATTGAATGAGAAGTGCGCGGCTGCTGCTCTGAACACGTATTTTCAAATGTTCAATCATATATTAGTCATGTTCAACACAGTTCTGGTAATTTTCTGGGCGCACTTAGCAAATCGTGGCTACCCCCTCAGAGAACCTTTGCAATAAAGCAGGGGTGGGCACTTTTTCGGGTCGCGTGCCAAAATCGGATAAATTTACCGACAAAATTCTTCCGCGTGCCGGCCCAAATTAAAAACATACCTTTGCTTCTTTCAAAGCAAACATACACAATAATAAACCTTTTAAACATGTACAGACAGAGAAAATATCAGTCCGCAAATAAACTTGATTACTTTTTTTATTCTATATCAGTGAGACCTTTGCTGCTGCATTAACGCTGATAGCTGACACTCGTTTCCGAGGCCTCGCTCGCGTGCCGAATAAATGGGCTCCCGAGCCAAGTTTGGCACGCGTGCCAGGGGTTGCCCACCCCTGCAATAGGGAGACGCGTCCATTTCATGGTTCATGCAGCATTTCAGTGTTTACCAGTAGCTTTGCTCAAAAAAAGCTTTATTTCAAATAGCGTATTCACATGACCTTAATTTGAGCGAATTCTCATCAACAATTTTACTATTCAGATTGGGAAGCATTCTCCCAGCATCACTAAGCCAGCAATTGAAGGTTCATCTCAGCCTTCAACTGCACCTGGAACTTCAACTGCCCAGGCCTCTGACCAAGTAGACGGGCCGTCCACTACTGAGACCAAAAAAACTAAACTCACTCCAGCCATGTTGATTGTCAATCACCCTCTGACTACAGAGAACCTGAAGAATCTCGTTCATCTTACAAAGTGAGTTATTCCTTGAAAATATTGTATGTGTGTGACTTAAATTAGGGGTGTGCAACAGACTGTCCTCTGACCACAACCTGCTGCTTTTGCCGTTTTGCCTGGTGTCTTTATTTCTATAAGGCTAAGCGATAGTTGCATGTTTGTGTGGCGCAGCTAGATGTGTATAGTTAGGTATATGGCCCACCGACGAAAAATATTGCACACCCCTGCTTTAAATGATTTTCAAACTCTGGCAACACTGTTCATCAACATTAGCAACGAGAATATCGGTCAGAGACCGAAGACTTATCGATCGAAAGTTAGGGGATCCCCCAAAACAGAAACTGCGGTTTCGATTCGAAAAATTCTGCAAACCCGAACTGGATTGTTTTGATTAGTTTTCAGCCAATATCAGAAATGTAGGAAACAATAGCCAACTCCCCATGTCGTCGAAATACTACTCGAGGAAATACTTTTATGAAGAATTCTGCAAATCCGAACTGGATTGTTTCGATTAGTTTCCAGCCAATAGCCTATTTCTGTATTTACCAATCCTATAGTTTGTGTTAAATACAACGGCGCTAACCCAGGTTGCGACGGCTATTCAAACACAGCCTAGCGATATTTTGGTGAGGAATTCTGCAACCCCGAACCTGATTTAGGGATATGGACATTGCTTAAACTTTAAGGAGTAATTATAAGTAAAGAGATACGATCTCGCGGCGTGTATCCTTCGCTCTGACTCACTAGCGTGAAAACTTGCGCATCTGATACGCACACACACATTCAGCGCGTCTCGAAAATCTCTCGATTTGTGAAAATCCAGATCTCTTCATCACTAATTAATTAATAACTCGCTAATTATACGACATAATTCATCCAAAATCAATAGGCTTCTGGTCCGAGATATGATGAATGCACATGCAAAATTTGGAGCAGATTCAACCACGCCTTCGTGAGATATCGCGTGCATCTAACAGACAGACATACATACAGACATACATACAGACAAATACCTATCAATATACTTACCGATCTTAAGATCGATAAGTAACAACCCAACAACAAATGATTAACAGCCGAATGAGCCACCTTGAGCAATCATCTTGCACAATATTGAATATTGTTTGGCCTGAACACAACTTCAATATCAAACAATTTAATATCAGCTCTCGTTTCCAAGTTTAAGTCTGAATGAACGCCCTAGCACAGGGGTGTGCAACCTGCAGCCCGGGCGCCAAATGCGGCCCACTAGGAAAAATACATGGAGAGGGCTAGCCAGTTATTAAGCATGAAAAAAGGTGTTTTTTGATTTTTCATTTACCAATGGCCAACACACCCCAATTTTGATAATGAAATAGATCCTACATGGAGAAATACAGTAATATAGCTGTCATCATAACATTACAAATTTTAATTCAAATCTCTTTTTTTATAGGTTTGAACCAATGCGCCCCAGATTCACAGCGAATGCCCCAGTTTGTTGGACAGAGGTTCCATTCAGCCCCAACCTGGGTTCTGGGGCTGTCAGTCAGACTGGACCATACTACACAGTCCCACAACCTGAGAAGGCGGGGTACAGAAGGCAAGGCGTGGCCCAAATGTCAACTGCTCAACAACAGCCTTATAGAAGACATTTACGACATGCTAATGAGCATTACCCTCCTGATGCTGTATCATATACAAGGGCTTGGAGACTTCAACCTGATTGGTAAGTTTTATATGATAATATTAACTGGTACTTACCTAATAGCTGTTACAAATCCACGATGCTCAGGTTAACGCATGCAACATTTTCTGAATCAGGGGCCAAAATTTTTGCATGCATAGACTGAAATAGAGGAAATGACCATCCTATGTGATTTAAGAGTCTTACAGCCCAAGAACACAAATATGATTATTGCTGGAACAATTCCTCTGATCAAAGTCAGGCCTCCTCAGACATAGGAGTTGAAATTTGTATGTCTGACATAGTCTGACCAATGGTTCCCAAACTTTCATGACATTGTGATCCCAATCTCTTCAGTAAAAAAACCTAGTGAGGGCTCTGTTTTAGAACCTTTAGTAGGGGGACGGGCACGGTTTTTGAACCGGGGCCAACAATTTTGCTCGTATAGACTGGCGGGCCATGTGAGTGTGACGTAATAAGTCACATTTTAGGAATATGAAGTGTTGCAAAAGCATGAAAGTGGAAAACAATAGCCTCATGCCAAAATCAAATTCAATCGCAATCTCAACAAATTTGTTGAGCTATTTTTTTAGCTGAAACATCAAAATTTTGTTTTAATTTGGTTGTGGCAGCGTCAGGCAAGCCAGATTGATATACCCAACAGGCCGGATTTGGCCCGCGGGTCGTAGTTTGCCATGTCAGCATTAGCATCATTCCCACCAATTTTGTTATTTGATCAATGTTTCAGTATTTAATTTCCAATATTTTCGTCGCATTTTAGCCTCAGTTGGAGTGAACATCTATTCGAACTAGTGTTCCCAAGGCCAACCAACATCAGCCATATTGATCTTAAGTTTGTTCTCTCAAGAAAATTAAAGCCAGGATCTGACATACAGGTTTGTTTATTGATATGATTGTCTATTATATATTGTGGACTTCTCACTACTATGAGCAGATTCACTTTAATTTATCACAGTCACTAGTTTAAAAATATGGATCAGCCTCCATCTCTTTTTTCATTGCTAACTTCCATTGTTTTTTCAAAGAAATTCAAGCCACGAGCTGATGCACAGGGCCATTACTAGGTTGTTTTAAAACAAGGCTCTGGACCAGGGGTTTCCAAACCGCGGCCCGCGGGCCAAATACGGCCCGCGTAAATTTAAAGTGGCCCGCCGAGCTTACATGAAATATTGTTCAACAGATTTTATTTCTACCTTTTTGCGATCTAGATACCGATAATTTATGTCATTATCAGAGTTCAAGCACGTGTTTATCGTAACAATTCAATTCTACCAGTATATCAATTATAGCTACCGGTGTTAGGATTACATAGGGCAGTAATATAGTTATCAGCCATATAGGAAAGGACAGAGACCAAACGAAAACTAGATTCAGAAAACTAACGTTTCTTGGATAAATGGCAGTGTTCGTATTTCTCCATTGAAAAGTATCAAACTACTTTAGAGATTTGTCTTCTTTGCCAACGAAATATTCCAGTTGTGAAGGAATGCAACATTAAGCGCCATTATGAGTCAAACAAACATGTTTCAAAAAAATGTCAAATGAAAGTGAATCCACTTTTGGGCACTACATTCCTCCGGCCCGCGAACATCTTTCCGATTCTAATTTTGGCCCGCGGCCAATAAAGTTTGGGAACCCCTGCTCTAGACAAAATAGATGCTAATATTTAGGAGCTTTATTGCTTCAGGGTTTGAAAACTGGAATCTTTCCTGTTTGGAACAATGTGATGCAATATGGCAGCATGTCCAATTTATTATACCCTTTGGGGGCAGCAAGTCTTCTTTGAGAAACTGTTAAGAACGCTTAGTGAATTTTATGCTTTTTGGGTTTCTGTAGTATATTTTAACTTCTTTTATCAGTTTTAAGTCTGTAATTATGATTCACGATTGAGGGAAATTCAGAAAATTGAGTCTTGACTGTAGGTAGTTTGAAAATCTACACAATTGTCTTTTTGACTCACTTGAATCCATTGATATGTCAGTACTTTTACTATGTCTACTATCTGCTTCAGTTTTTAGATAAATTTCACATCACTGATGAAAACATGCCAAGCGATGGCTCCTATTTTCACAGCCTTGTTCTGATTAAATGTAACTTGATATTCTTCCCATGCTTTTATTATTCTAATGATTACAGTCCTCCCCAGCAGCCAGTATTACATAATATTTTTCACTTTATTTCAGATAACACTTCTGAAGCACCCTGGACTTACCACCAGTAAGAATGAGATTCTACGAAACGAACAGCGGAGAAAATGGCGCCATCATTCAAAAGTCTCGGCCCCGGGGTCCAAGAAAGATGGAAAGTCGAGATTTGCTGCTATTGCTGATGAAAGATTTCCTAAAGTTATGCATCTGGTATGTGGAAGACGGCATGTTATATATCAGTATTTAACAAACTTTATAAGCCACGCCCCTTTCTAGGATTTGTCAAGTCTCGTGCCCCGCCTCAAAGTAATGAATGAAATAAATGAGTTTGAAATGTAAATATCTAAAATAAGGTGGGCAGGATCAAATCTAGCAAATATGTTGTTTTTTCAATTGGCTCCTCCCCCCCCCCAAAAAAAAAAACTTTTTATTCTTCCCTCACTATACATAAAATTCTGTTTTGTTTGGTTTGGTATGTGGAAGATAAAAAATTTATAAATAAATCATCAAAACTTTTGCTTAGAATAAGGCTTTGGGCAAGATGAAACTGATAGAACACTGCAGAGTTTGGCATGTTTCCTTTGTGTCACATTTTCAAATAGAGAAGACTTAATAAGAGCTTTAAGAGTTCAAGTTTGACTTATCTTGAGTGTACTCAGTGTATTACACCCTCTAAGCTTTGGGAGATTGGCTTTAGATTTGATCATATTGTGTCCAATTTTACGCAGGCAAATAAGTACCTTTTAAGAAATAGGTTTACACACAAAAAATATCTGTTGGCACATAACTGATGTGGTTCTACGCACAGTTTGAGAACCAATGCTTCAAATTCCCAACTTCAACTCTATTTTCACAGCTCACAATGAATTTTGTTGACAATTTAATGGAATCAGACATTGAAAACCCAATTTTACTTGTGGTTTTTGAGCGAAAAACATCGGAATCTATGGCAAAAGAATGGGTCATGATGGATGGGAGCAGAAAGACAGTAAGTTGATTTTTTATGTGATTCAAGCACATTGTGTTAACTGTAACTTTTTTTTCTGGCAACTGGTATTTTACCAGATGGCTGAGCCTGACCTATGATGTCATCAGTCACAGATGACTGATCATGACCAACCAGCTGTAAAGGTCAAGTGGTCATGTGCTCTCTGTACTGAGGCCTCATTGCTATTGGTGTGTCTTAGAAGTTACTTTGGTTATTGTTATGGAGATTCAATAAATGTACATTTATACTAAGTTAACACAGTACTTCACTTCTAAAATTTTTACCCTTGTAGCAAAAGTGGTTATTAGATGTACCCCCAATACATCGTACTTAACGGTGCTCATTTATTGAATAATGAAATTAGCAGATTACTTTGTTATATTCATTTAATGTGACATACTTATCCCAGTGGAGAGGAGCCAAGTCTGGTTACCAGTCCATGTCGGGCATAGGATTAGTTAGCCAGTTATTTGTTTCAGATGCATGGGTTGTTGATGGTGGCAGAAGCCGTTTGACCAGCATCGGTGAGTCCAGCTATCCTCTGGCATATGATTATCCCCACATGATTTGAACTTTTGAACTACACAGGGTAATCAGAAGTGCAGTGGCGAGCGTATTCCTAACGCTTGGCACGATGTGCCACACAGCCAAGTTCATGGGAAACGTCTTCTATTTTGATAGATAGATTTTGTTAGTGATCGTCTTTTTTATTAAAGGTATTGCTTCAAGTTAGCAACGCAGAAGCTCACAAAATCTGACAATTTAATTTTTCTTTCACAGATCATTGCCATGTGCAAAAAATGTTTCACAGGCATAAAGGTGGGGGATTTGGTCGTTGTCAATGGTTACATGAGAGTTTGTGTTGGGACGAGCAGTGTGAGAATTATTGTCGGTGCCTTAAAAATATGCACAGAAGAGGAGATTTCTTCATGTGAGTGTTTTTGAATTCAACTGAATTGTTATAAATTAAATTTTCCCCCTCTTAGTCTGGGTATGTATGGTTGGACCAAAATGATTTGGGTTCTAAGAAAGAGAGGGTCTGTTGAAGAATTCTTGAACTAAACAATGTATGTTATTTTTTCAAGAGCGTTTATTTAAAGCAAGATTATGCACACTCACACACTCGAGTCGGAATTAAGGAGAGTGATCTTTGAGCAAGGTTACCACTGAGATACAGGGGAGCTACTGATACCGTATTGAACTGACACTGGTAAACTATGACCTGCGAGCCAAATCCGGCCCGCCTGATGCTGCCACAAACACACTATAACCAAATTTTGATGTTTTAACTGAAAAATAGCTTGAAGAATTTGTTGAGATTACGATTAAATTTAGTTGGCACTTATTGTTTACCGCTTTTGCTTTTGCAACACTGTAAATATTATTCATAGAATGTAACTTTTGACGTCACACTTACATGGCCAGCCTGTCAGTGTAGGTGGGCTAAATTTTTGGCCCCTGGTGCAAAAACTTGGCCCACCCCTGGTATAGAACTATAGATGCTTATCACAACTTATCTTTAGTGTCGGCTGATGAACTCAAGTCTTTAGAAGAAGATGTTTACTGGTCCAGAACAACCAGTGGTGAGGAACCAATCAGCAACGACACTGACAATGATCCACCAAGTGATGGCGCCACAGGGCAGTCCGAAGAAAAGGGCATTGAAGAGGTAACGTCTTTGTTTTTTCCCATGAAATGAGATATATAATTGTTTAACTGGTACTCCCGAAGTATGTGAACCAAGATGGCGGACACCGGAACGTAGTATGTGTATTCGATTAGGGTTAGGCCATAATTTCAAGTACAAATACTACAGGGGTCACTTAGCTAGTCCTCGAACTCGCAATAGAACTAAAATAGGGAAAAATGGAATAAAATTACTGCCTGACTCTTAACCTGGTATACTTACTACGTTCCGATGTCTGTCATCTTGGTTCACATACTTCGGGAGTACAGTTAATTCAATAAACTTGATATTTTTTGCTATTGCAGCTTATAGCCTTTCAGGTTCAAGATTATCATATTTATTCTTAATATCAATAAAAAAAGCTAAAACGCAGTAATGTACGGCGGCCTTCAGTCAGTTTACTAATCCAGATCACTCACAGGAATCGCGATTATTTTTTCTATTTGGAAGAAATTGAATGTTGAAATAAAATCAGTAGTAATGCGAACCATGCTGCAACAAGTAACTCAACAAATAACCATTTTGCAATGGTTGGGACGGGACAGTGCAGTTTAAACAGTGCGTCGAATTATGACTTGAAATCTATCGAATCGATGTCTTGAAATCAGGGCGCAGCCAGGAATTTTAAATGAGGGGTTTCAAAATCGGAAATTCCCATGCATGGCTTTTTTTCCTTTAAAGTAGGGGGAGGGTAAGAGGTGGCAGAAGTGTCTTCCGCAAACAACATAATTCATCAACTATTCATTGTACTATCTGTGAATTGTGTATATCAAATATAGCAAATTCCAACTGTAAGAATGGCAATTCTGCTTCAACCCGTCTTCTCACATTTCCCACCTAAGGATGAGATGATCTGGTTTGAAAGTCTCCGCAGAATAGGCCTCATATATATCTCAAATTAGGTACATTGATTGCTTTTTAGCCTTCTGCAGAAGACCCTGATCAAGATGATGATGTCATAGAAGATAACAGTCATGCTTCAATGAATGAGTCCCCGCCTTCTTTGATTGACATGTCAGGAACTGAAGAACATGATGAGAGCATGAACCAAGATGGGTTCGTAATTTATACTATTTGTATTATCAGCATTAGCAGTCATCCTGATTACCCTTCGTGGGGTCACAGGTTTGAATCGTGGGGCGTGGGGCATATTATTTGCGAGAGGGTTACTGGAATCCTCGTGGCGTAGGGTGGTTCACGTTACCACTGGTCGCTTACCGCTTCTTCCATAACGTGGGTCCATAAAACTGTAGCAAATAATTGGCTAACAAATCCCATACACGAAATGGATTGGTAACAGGACAAGAGGCCGTCTGACGCCATATGATTAAGCCGTCTTATCGACTTTCCTCTCCCATGGGATAAATATGTGAAACTTATCTTATCCACTTACTACTGTCTTAGTTGTTACTTATCGATCTTAAGATCGGTAAGTATATTGATAGGTATTTGTCTGTATGTATGTCTGTCTGTGTGTCTGTCTGTTAGATGCACGCGATATCTCACGAAAGCGAGATTGAATCTGCTCCAGATTTTGCATGTGCATTCATCTTATCTCGGACCAGAAGCCTATTGATTTTGGGAGAATTATGTCGTATAATTAGCGAGTTATCAATCAATTATTGATATAGTGATCTAGATTTTTGTAAAGCGAGAGAATTTTGAAATCCGCCGAGTGTGTGTGTGCGATGCGCAGTGCGCAAGTTACAAGAGCGGATAAATCGAAACTGCAGTTTCTGTTTTGGGGGATCCCCTGACTATCGATCGATAAGTCTTCGGTTTCCAACCGATATTCTCGTTGTAACATCATGCCATCCTATCTTTTAATATTCTAACATGGTTTAAAAGGACTAATTTTATTTAAAACCAGTCTTTGCCAATCATCTACTGATTTCTATAGAGGCATTATGTCTTTAGAGGTAGATACTAAAATTCTTCTTGTCTGACTTCGAACTTGATATCGAGGCTTGTTCGCCTGTTCGTCGCCAGTTGGATGACAAATTTCCTGCCCAGAGTTGTCCAAGTCCGACAGAGATCGTCATGGCGATCAATTTAGTTGCAATTTTGATCCCAGTTCCACGGAAGGCTTCGAATAAGCTAGCGGAACGCAGTTTAAGAAACACTGTCCTTGATTATTTATTCCCAATAGACAATATTTCATATTTTCGACTGAATATACTTTCAATTTTTAATTTTACAGTTCTTCCGTCCTCTTTGGACCAGTCAACCTATCAGACTACACAGATGCGAGCGGCATTGGTGGCGTGGTTACGATTGCAAGTCGTTTCATTATTAAAGAACCGAGGCATAGAGCTGTTTTAGTGCAAATCCAGGTGTGAGCTTTGATTTTATAGTTTCATCTAGGGAGGGTAATTAATGATGTTTGCTCTGAGCAAGGCTCTGAAGCAGCCACTGATATTTAGGAAGCTATTATATTTTGGAGTGGCTGGTTGATGTTGGAATTTTTCCTATTGTTTAGGGTGTCCAAAAAATTGCTCACGATTTTATAGTGCCGATAATAACAAGTGTAAGTTCAAATAAATTTTATTGTATGATAAATGATAACTACAAGCACAATAAGAACTATTAATAAACAAAGGCAAAGAAATTTTTAATTGGTATTACTATAGAATTGGGTGAAATTTTTTGGACACTCTATACACATATATTTTATTTCTTAAAAGTTTTCATGTCTCCACTCAGAACAAGGCTCCACGCAAGTAATAACTGACATATTAGAAGCTGCCATGAATTGAAAGGATTAGATTCTTACCGGCTCAGCATTGCCTACCCACTTTATTACAATCTGGATGAGGTGGCAGTCATGGTACTTGTGAAACTGTGAAATTTTTAATGTGCGATGGCAACATAGCTAAGTTTGACTCTTTTTAGACTAGTTGGCCATGAATTGGCGCGGCGGTGTGGCTCAACGGGCTAAGCGTTAGGAATACGCTCGCCACCGCACCTCTAATTACTCTGCGTGGGTTCGCAGGTTCGAATCCCATGTAGGGATGGTTATGTGCGAGAGGATTGCTGGACTCCTCGCCGTCGTTGGGTGGTTCACGTAACCGCTGGTCGGTTACGGCTTCCTCCACCACCAAGTCCATGCTTCCGAAAACAAACAATATAACTAATCCCATACCCGACTTGGAATGGTAACCGGACGAGAGGCCGTGGTTCGCCATATGGATAAGCTGTCTTATCGGCTTTCCTCTCCCCCGGCATAAATATGTAAATCCTATCCTATCCTATTGATTGATACAAACCCTTCTTTTGGGAAAGATTACCTAACTTGTAAGCAGACAAGGGGCTGTTGTTTGTCGTATGATACCATATGATAAAACGTCTTGTACCCTTTCCTCTCCTGAATGAATTTGAATCATACCATATTTTGAATTGCTATTACTGTATGTAACAATATAGATTTATTGGTGAAACTACACAAGCAGGCCGTATTTAGCAGATTCACTTATCATATATATATTTTTTTCAGGATGCAAGCAGTGCAAAGCTAGTGAAAATAGGTAAGTTACTGAATCTCATAGCAGCTTGTTCTATAACAAAAGACGGGGCTCCCGAAGTATGCGAACCAAGATGGCGGACATCGGAATGTAATGTGTACTAGGTTAGGGTTAGGCCATAATTTTAGGTATAAATACTACGGAAGGCTCTTGGCTAGTCTTCGAACTGATAATAGGACTAAAATAAGGAAAATTGGAAAAAAATTATCGCCTAACCCTAACCTGTTACCCCTGTTACGTTCCGATGTCCGCCATCTTGGCTCGCATACTTCGGGAGCACCCAAAAGACTATATTTAGAGCATCGTTTCCTAACCAGATGCTTTGTGGGAGGAAATTTTACTTCTATTTCTTGTACTATTATTAATATTTTTTACCTATTTAATGTTTTTGTAATTGATTTGAAGTTTCATGCTGTTTTTGACATTTGTTTCAAAACCTTGATCAAATACCTTGATAAAATTTGAATGTCTGCAAATCTTGAAAAAATGAAGATTAAAATAATGTTTGCGACGTGTGTCTCTCACGGACGGACACAAACAATATAACAGGGCTCACATAACTTGGAGAGTTTTCCATCTTCCTATTACTATTTCATTTCAGGTTCTCTCTCTGATGAATGGAGAAAAAGAGGTTGCAATCGTTTGCAGGAGATTTCTATCACTGTAAATAAGTCTCAGAGAACGAATATTGCTCATGAAAGGTTTGTGAAGTTTCTTGTAGCAGGGTTAGGATAAAATACGAACTGTCCAAGATATTTCGCCCAATTTTATAGTAGTAATGATTGAAAATTTCTTTATTTTTGTATATTAAAAGTCTCGGCGGTGTGGCTCAACGGGCTAAGCGTTAGGAATACGCTCGCCATTGCACCTCTAATTGCTCTGCGTGGGTTCGCAGGTTCGAATCCCATGCAGGGATGGTTCTGTGGGAGAGGATTGCTGGACTCCTCACCGCTGTTGGGTGGTTCACCTAAGCGCTGGTCGGTTACGGCTTTCTCCACCACCAAGTCCATACTTCCGAAAACAAACAATATAACTAATCCCATACCCGACTTGAAATGATAACCGTACGAGAGGCCGTGGTTCGCCATATGGATGAGCCATCTTATCGGCTTTCCTCTCCCCCGGGATAAATATTTAAATTCTATCCTATCCATTGTTCTTGTAGTTCTCATTTATCATACAATAAAATTCATCTAAACTTACAATTGTAATTACTATAAAATTGAGCGAAATTTCTTAGACATCCTATGGTTTGGACCAACGATTTTAATTTTTCCGTACTTAAAACATGGATGAAGCTACTAGAAGGCTTTTACTTTATATCCTCGCATGTAAGCCCGGTTCAAAACTGAAAAAAAGTTGCGCTATGACACCAATAACAGTCTGTGATTGGTCAGTCAGTATGACTTTGAAGCATTTTGTGACCCTTTTTACCGTTATTAATTGAAGTAAAACATAACAATAATGGTTATCATTTACATTAATTCTCTTCTGCAACCATTTGCTGTGATGTGTGTAAGGCAGGTTACGATTTGCAGGGTCGGCTTATATGCGAGACTATAAGTACTTGCCTATGGTCCTTACCCAATCACCCAATATTTCACCCATAACTATGCTGTGTTATTTAAATCCATAGGAACACTTTTAATAGCATTTAATAGCAAAGACTTGTTATAACATAAGAATACTTTCCTAAAATGAGAACACTTCATAACACGAGGAACACTTTCATATTATGGGAACACTTTTTATGACATACGGAAGGACATTTGTTTGACCTACATAACCCTATTATATTTTAACATCTCTCTTGTTTTTAGGACTCAAAGATTCAGTCTTATGTGTTCCCGATCACTTCATAAAAAACTTTTGAACGGCCTCTGCGAACAGGAAACTAACAGCGCCCCAAGTGGCGAAATATTCGTTGCGGAATCTTTGCCACAAAAAGTCGTCGCACTCGACATTTTGAATTGGGTTGGAGCATTGGAAACGGCAAATCCAAATGAACGAAAGAAAAACAGTAGTGGCTCAGACAACTCTTCAAGAGTTGTCGCGAATACAAGATCTCTAGCGCCCTCAGAAACTTTGGCATGGCTTTTATGCTTTTTTGACGGCAAAATCAAGAAATCTTCGAGACATAGTAAAACTTTGGATGCTACCCTTGGGGAGGACAACCCGAAAAAAGTTGATGAAAAAAATGAAAAATCAACGAAAATTGTCGACGGTGTCTACACGCTGAAAAAATTCCTGATATCGTGTTTCTTATATTCCGGAAGAGATGTTTCTGTACGGGCTCTGCGTCTTATCTTCAATACAGTATTATGCGTTGATGTTAGCGGTCCAAATTCTCTCTCAAAGTCTGAAATTATTTCCGGAGTTGAAATTCTAAGTAAAGCTGTCTTAGAATGCTTAGAAATGGCATTGGAACGAAAAGTTGAATCTGCTCATGGACTATATTGCTTGTTTCAAATTTTGAGCGTTGTCATAGCAACTGAGGTTCAAAAGGGCAAAGGTCAGAGTTCATTGCTTATAGAATTGTTGGAAAAATGTGTTTCCGTGCTTGCGAAGTCTTCAACTTTAATGAGAGAGAGCATCCACCCTTTGCATGTTTTGCTGCGAGCGTCGCATGGGTTATATGGAACGCCCTTTGACCCTGAACGTTTTACTGTTGAATTCGTAGGCGGTTCACACAGGAATCTTACACCACCTAGTGGTTCCACTCCAATGGCTGTGACAGAACACGCAACGAAACAACAATCATGGGAGAAATATTTTAGCAGCGAGGAGTTGAACATGCAAGACCTAGTTACGCCACGAAGTCTCGGCATTCGACGTGGACTCGCAATCGGAGACCTGATTGACGGACTATCTTTATCTCGATTTGGACTCTTGGATTGCCAGCCGCTGCATTTTACGTGTGTCGAGTCAAGCGAAGGGTGTTCTGTCGGATTTGACACTGAAAACGACCTGGAAAGTTCTGTTCCGAATATTACAGTTGCAAATGATATTGTTGCGTCCAGCGCAAGCCCTGCCTTGGGCCCCAACCAACATCCCAATTTATATACAGATGCCATAAATGACATCCTGCATTGGTATTCCTCACCGGAACAAAGAACTGAAAAGCTGAAACTGTTGGCAGAAAAAGGTTATTGCGAACTTCCCAAAACTTATGTGAAAAAAATGCAACAAGATTCTGCACCGAAAAGAAGTTTACCCATATTCATGGAAGCGTCAGGTAAGATTGAATTGTTTATATCAGGGGTGTGCAACCTTTAACACAGGAGGGCAAGATACAAATAACTGGGTAAAACCGCTGGCTACGTCTTCATATAACAAAGACTTTCAGCGCTCCTGGAGTATGTGCACCAAGATGGCGCACAACCTGAACCCTAACCTGGTACACATACCATGTTCAGGTTGTGCGCCATCCTGGAGGTCCAGGGTTTCTAGTAGTTGCAGACACAAAAATTTTGGTTTTTGATCTTTCGTTATGCTTCGCACAAGCTAGCTATCTGTGGCCCGCATTTGGCTCGCAGGTTGCACGCCCCTGGTTTATATGACTTTTTTCACCTTGAGAAAGATCCCGTAGAGACCAGTACTGCTATCTAGTACCGGGATGATCTCTTTTCTGTTTGCTATTGACTAACCAGTAGAAACTAACCAGGTACAAGAAAAAATAAAAACTTCTTCTCGTACAAAGTACAAATAGGAACTTCCACTTCAATAAATAATAATTATTATTTAGTAGCAAAAAACAGAATCATCATTAATTGCTACCACAATCAAATTTGAATAATTCATCAGTGGCCCAGCTGTGGGCCATGGCCTGGTTTATTGCGACTGGTTTATTGCGACTGCCCTTAAAGTTCCAGATTGAAATAACTTCAAGTTATTTGTTTTTTTCAGAAAATTTACCAATCAATGCTGAGTTGAAGAGTACATCAGCGGAACAAAAAGTGTCGATGAATATCGTCATCCCCAATATGAGTTTCAGTTTACCGCCAACTAGTGTATTGACGGTGTCTCGAATGCACTCAGGTGCTCGCCGAAGCGTCGTGTTGGATTTTGGTCAAATTGTAGAACTAACAGACGTTCATATACCATCATGTCCGGATATATCCTCTCTGGTTCTTGAGGGTACGAAAGACGCGACGCTGAACAAAGCTGTTTTCACTCACGTTGGGGTTACGTTAGATATTTGTGACCACGATTTCGTCTTGAGCAATCTAGCACCTCCAGTGTTGTGTCGTTACGTGAGAATAACCGTGATTGGAAGATATGGAACCACAAACGCACAGACTTGTGTGAGTCTAGGTCGTTTCTATGGCCGCCCCGCTTGCGTCGGATACCGGAAAAATCATTTGAACTTTGACCCTCAGACTGCTGTTCCCTCACCCCCCAAAAAGAGCATGAAAGATTCTGCGGAAGAGACTTCCACTCAACAAGACGAGCATCCTATTCTACTTGATTTATTGGATGTCAGTGATTCGATCGCAGGAAAGTCCGCAGTTCAAAGGTCAATAGGTTATTTGAGGTCATATCAAGATGACATTGAGTGCAGATATAGTCTCGCATGTAACCAGTTGCGAACATTCTTATCTGCTACACATTCTGGAAAAAGTGCTGACTCATCAAAATTTTCAGATCTTTTCATGGAAAACTTCCCTTTTAATACCCAATCAAAATTCGGCAAAGGAGGACAAATGAAAAAACTCACAACAGCGTACAAAAAGTGCAGTCGTCTACAAGTCCAAATGAACAGAGTCTCTCATGCAATACGCTACATGGAATCTTTACTAGGGGGCGCTGAAGAGCCAAATATGGGCCTGAACGTACCCCACTTTGATCTACCAACCGCAAGGCCACCCAGTTTTACTCAATTACAAACTTTTTGTGAGTTGATGCTGAACACGATGCTTTCTGTATCCCACGGTGTCTATTTCAAACCAAATTTGGAACAAGAATTAGAAAACGGACATTCTGCTCTCATAAGCCCTTCATTATGTGCAACATTTTTTCAAAATTTAATCTGTACTGGAAATCCTAGACTCAAGGTGCAAGCCAATTGCCTTCTTCTGTCATACTCATCACCATTTCCGTGGTGGGGCGATTTTATCGCTGAAACTTTGGTAAAAACTTTGGCGACACGAACATCAGATGCAAAACATTCTTCGAAAGATCATATGTTCTCTATTTTGCTTGTACTCGGCCAGCGCTCGCTTGCAACGTCTCAGAAAGCTGAAAATTTGATTAAAAGTTTATTGAAACTGCTGGAAAATCTTTTCATTAAGGCTGGAAATGTTTCTTCGCCACAGAATCTTGATATGGGATTATTAACTTGGATTTTGCTGTATGCGTCGCACATGATTGAAACAATTGCAGTTCAAAATGAATGTTTTATGTCTGACAGCACTTCCGAGTCACAGTCTGGAACAAATGCCTCAAAATCTCAAGAAAAAGCCACGACCGAAGCAACAAATGTCACAACCATGACACCGCCCATGGGAACCAATGAAGCTGGAATCTCAAAAGCTTTTATAAGCACTTCAAAAACTACAACTGTACCAGGATTGGCACCAAATCCTATCTTAAATTTAATGGGCCCGGATGCAATGACTGGTGGCATCATAATGCCATCCGAGGCACCTTCAACCAGTTCTTTGGCACCACCAAAAGTCATGCCACCACCAAAAGTCATGCCACCCAAACCACCAACGAGCACATCTAAAGAATCAAAATCGAAGAATAGATGGAAGTTTATCACAGTATCAGGCGACGAAGGAAATAGGAAATTGTCCGCTAGCTCTGGCTATTTGAAGGTATGACTGACTGCATTTTTAAAAAAATATTTTTTATTTTTGTCTTGGGAAAAAGAAATTACGGGAGCTGTGTTGTGTAGGACTCTCCTAACTTGGAGCCTAGTTGGGTCGTGGGTAGGGCTGTGCATATCGAATCGAATAGTAACTTATTCGAATCGGTTCAGAGGAAAATTTCAAATCGCCGCCATCTTGTTTTTGTTCTTTCCACCAATGGTCGAGGTATTTTTCTCAATGTCTTTTTATTGAAGCCATATTTTTCCAACACAACTCTGACATATGACTCTTTTCTGTAGTGAGTTATTTGTGAAAGCGGGTTTTTAATTGTGTGTGAAGTGTGAACGCTCAGCAATCTGCCTAAGTGATGTATTCTATGTTTTCAGTAATTTATGTGTCTGGAGGGCATAATACAATAAGAAAGTTACATACAATTTTATATCTCCCAAGTATTTGAGATTCGATTCGATGAAAATATTCGATTCGATTCCGAAATCATCAGGTATTCAAAAATGCTTAGCCCTAGTCGTGGGTAATCAGTGTTCCGAGTCTTATTTATCACTGAACTGATCTTAATTAGGAGGGTGAAAGACGCCCTTTTCAAATGTGACTTTAAATGAAACTGTGTGATCTCAATCAGGGACGTGCGGGAACGGCTTGACTTTGCGATTTCCAGAACTCCCTCGAAAATTCCAGGCTATGCCCGTGCTCTCAGTAATAATAGCTGTTGTCGGATATAAAATATTCGAGCTGATATTAAATATCATACAAGGACATGAAATCGAAAAGTGTTTTAGTACCGTCCACTCCCAAGTTAGTTAGTACGTCAACTTTATAGTTCATAGTCGTCGCAGCAAAATTTAGAAGTCAAAAAGATTTGCTGCAACCTCAAGACAAAAAGTAACCTTTTATCCTTGATTTATCACATTTAATTTTTTTTTCCAGGTTCTTACTTCAATGCAAGCTGTCCTCAATCGTTTGAAATATCATCGGGCCGAACTTGTCCGGCTTTTCGAAGATAAGACTGCATTGATCATAAGGTCGAAAACTATGAAACAGGCTGGTGGGTGCTTGCAGTAGTGTTTATTTATAATGCATAAACGAGAATGTCGGTCGGAGACCGAAGACTTATCGATTGAAATTGCGGTTTCGATTCATGACTCTATAGTGACACAGCATGTCCCATCACTAATTAATTAATAACTCGCTAATTATACGACATAATTCATCCAAAATCAATAGGCTTCTGGTCCGAGATATGATGAATGCACATGCAAAATTTGGAACGGATTCAACTTTGCTTTCGTGAGATATCGCGTGCATCTAACAGACAGACAAATACCTCATACTTACAAATATCAACATACTTACCGATCAAGATCGATAAGTAATAAAGCAAGCACGCAAATTATACAAGTTAACTGAAAAGTCTATCAGTATAAATCCAGCGTGAGACAAGTTAGTGCGACCTGCTTCACTATTCGAACGTCCTTCAAGGATGTCCGCTACACAACGTGCTTGACAATGACGTCATACCTCTTGATCAACATATAGTGGCAATTCTCCAACACAACACTCGCAGTACCATATGTAACATATTTATTTGTGTATAATCCATGAATAAATTTAATTTCCAATATCCCAACCTTTTTTCATTGACTTTTTTCTTCATTGAGAAAACATGTTTCTAATTGCATTACAACTCAATGAACTGACTGAGTTATGAACTGAATCATATGTTTCACTAATTGAAGGGCCTATTGCAATTACAAATCCACATACAATTATGTCATTTGATTATTGAATTCGAATATCTTTGAAGTATTTAGATTCTCAAATTCTCAGATATTCAAAAATTTCATCCTAAATAATAATCTTGAACTTTCATTTACTACTTTTCAGGCAAACCTGATGAACACATACAAGCAGGAATCGAAAAGTTAACTTCCAAAGCGAATGAACATTTACGAGGGATTGTTGGTTTCAGAAGAGCCCTTGATAGAAAGACTGTGCTACATCAATTGTTTAAAGTGAAACCAAGTGATGGGCAAAAACATTTAGGTAATTACTTTATTTACAATTATTTTTGGAGACACAACTGAAAACTGACAAATAACACGCAAAAACGAGACAATGTTTACAACCCTGCTTGAATATTTTTCTGAGAGAACTAAGTGTCTGAATGATCGCAAAATTTGCAATTGTTATGTCATTGCTTCCTTTATGCTGATTGGTTTTTGGTACGGAAATAAACAAGGAAATCGATGTCCGGGGAAACATCCATAGCATTGGCGGTTGGCGCATCATGCTAAGCTTAAGGAATACGCTTGCTATCAAATTTCAGATTAGGCGGGCCTTGTAAGTGTGACATAAAAATATACATTTTATGCACAATATTCACAGTGTTACGAAAGCAAAGGCGGAAAACAATAGGTCTCATGCCAAAACTAAATTTAATCGCAACCTCAACAAATTCCTTAGCTAAAACATCAAAATTTGGTTTTAGTTTGGTTGAGGCAGCATCAGGCGGGTCATATTTAACTATCCAACGGGCCATAGCTTGCCCATGTCAGTGTTTCGAAAATTAAAATATACATAATCATTGTTTTTTATACCAGGCGCAGAGAACTTACCATGTCTGACAGAATTCGTGAATGTGTCTGTGGATTCTTGTCGCATTGTTGTACGTAATGTGCTTGGTTTGCTGCTGAAAATGGATTTTAATGTTCCTTCTGATTTTGTAGTTCTAGCTTGCAAGGTGAGCACTGCTTTTAACTGTGTGGGGAATGAATAAATTTCGATTCTGTATCATTTTTAAAAAATATTTTCAAATTTGTATAATACATTATAGAATGATTTGTTTGAAGGTGACAAAAAAAATACCCAGGTCATTTGAAACATGACTTTTTAAGGCCACGCCCCCTTTTCAGAATTTGACAAATTTTGCGCCCCACCTCTGAAATAACTAGCCAACGATAAGCTACAAATACCAGATAGTAAAGTAAAACATTTTGAAAAAACGTCGAAGGAACTTAAATATCTAAAATAAGGCGGACAAGATCACAAATCTTACAAGTATTTTCCTTTTTTTTAGCTTCACGCCCCCTCACATAATTGTCTACACCCCCCTTCTTTTAGGGGCGAGCCCCACTGTTTGAGAAACACTGTTTAGAGCAGGGGTGTCAAACTCGCGGCCCGCGGGCCGCATGCGGCCCCGGAGAACTTCCAATGCGGCCCTCCAACGATTAACAATAATTGTAATATTTTTATAAAATTTTTTCATCTAAATATATATATATATATATATTAAATTTTTCAAAGTGAAATTGATGCCACGTAATGGTAGGAAATGTCTGGTCTGAAAAGTCAGTCATTTGCTTGTTTACTGATCTATACATGAAATGACAAACGTAATATTTTTGCTTTACTGAAATTAATCAAACATTCTCAACGATCCAGTATAACCGATAATCATGTGACCTCGTTAATTAGAGTTGCTACTGTAAAATCATCTCAGCCTGATATTAGTAAGCTGCTGGCACACAAGAGATGCCAAACGTCGGGACATATTTTTGTTAATTTTAAGTTTATATATTTAGATTAAGTCATTTTTAGTGTAGGTATTATTCTTTCTTTATCAAAACTTTGTTCAAAAATGATTTGGATAGTTGTACATAAAAATTTATGATTTTATGTAATAAATACAGTAAATTGAAGTAATAGTGAAATGGAAAAATTAATATGTAAATGGCGTTTAAAATTCAAAAAAATAACAAAACTTTATTTGGCTGTTTAATTGCATCACAATATATGTCACAAACTACACCTGTATAAAAATATACTCCAAGTATACATTATTAAATATTTACCAGAAAATGTTTGCGGCCCTTTGAACAATTCCAAAAATGAAATGCGGCCCACGAGAACCCACGAGTTTGACACCCCTGGTCTAGAGAGGACGAGGGGGCCTCCCGAAGTATGCGAACCAAGATGGCGGACATCGGAATGTACTATGTGTACTAGGTTAGGGTTAGGCCATAATTTTAGGTATAAATACTACGGGAGACTCTTGGCTAGTCTTCGAACTGATAATAGGACTAAAATAAGGAAAATTGGAAAAAAATTATCGCCTAACCCTAACCTGTTACCCATGTTACGTTACGATGTCCGCCATCTTGGTTCGCATACTTCGGGAGCACCGAACGAGACTTTTGTTCAAAGTTTCCTGGTTTACTCAAACTTTTGGGTACAAACACAAAAAAGTCCAAAGTGTTGAATAAATTTACTAATTTAGGAAATTAAGTTAATAAAAAATTTTGGGTTCTGTTTTTGGAGTCCTCCTGTATGTTATGAATATATTCTGATACACTATCGGCGCAGTAAAACGGAAGTAGCCTATTTAACGTTTACATGAAATGGACATCTTCTGTCGTTATAGATTTCAAAGCTGATTTTCAAAGATGATACTTAAATGTGATTTTCTCTAAACCCTCAAAATTTGACATAAGGTCCTTTGTTTTTACTGTTGCGATATAGGTACTCCCGTAGTATGCGAACCAAGATGGTGGACACCCAAACGTAGTAACGTATTTCAGGTACAAAGATTATGGGGGTCACTTGGCTAGTCCAGGGAAATGAAATAGGAAGAATTGGAATAAATTATAGTCTAACCCTAACCTGGTGCACATACTATAATTCGGTCTCCCCCATCTTGGTTCGCATACTAAGGTAGTACTGCAATATATAGCCTATCTTTATCACCTTAATTGCTTGATTTGTTTCTAGTTTTAATAATCAATTTTTTCTTTAAATTTTAGCTTTCAAGTCAATTGTGTCGTTGGAGCAGCTCTCAATGTGTCTACAATGCGCGTGAAAAGTCGCAGTCAGAGGGCGCTAGAGTTATACCCCTTCCGCTATTCGTTGCAGGACTTGTATCACCTGACGAAATGAGAAAATTAATTTTTTTATCAACTGGGGGTACTCAATATGCAAATTCGAAGGGGAATTCCCATGCTGGTTCCACTATCTCACCAGGACCTTGGCCGAATCACGCGATTCTAAGTTTTCTACAAGACGCAATCGAGTCGGAGAATTTGGCGATCGTGGCTTGTGAAATGCAGCTGTACCCCATCCATTGGTTGAAGTTGCAAAATTTAAGAAAAAGAATGATGAATGAGGCTTTGGAGCAGATGTCTGCAAGTACTTCTGAGGTAAATAATTTTGTGTGGTGATAAAATAATTTTTTATTACTTATCGATCTTAAGATCGCTAAGTATATTGATAGGTATTTTTCTGTCTGTCTGTGTGTGTGTCTGTTAGATGAACGCGATATCTCTTGAACGCGTGGTTGAATCTGCTCCAAATTTTGCATGTGCATGCATCTTACCTCGGACCAGAAGCCTATAGATTTTGGGTGAATTATGTCGAATAATTAGCGAGTTATTAACTAATTACCGATCTAAGATCGATAAGTCTTCGGTCTCCGACCGATATTCTCGTTTATCTGTTATCTTGATGAGATAAATTATTTTTTTTATTTTGATAATATAATTTTCCTACCTATATTTTATCTTGATCAGATAATTTTTTTTATCTTGATAGATGAATTTTGTAAATTGTTTTTATCCTTATAAGACAAAGATAAACTTTTCTTCCCTTCTTTTTATCTCGGTGAGATTAATTTTGCATCTGATTTTTTATTTCGATAAGAGGATTTTTGTAACTTATTTTTTACCTCGATGAGACTATTTTTAGGTTGAGAAGATAATTTTTGTATCTGATTTTTTTATTTTGATAAGATCATTTTTGCATCATTTTTATATCATGATGAGAGAACTCTGTAACCTATTTGGTTATCTCGATTTTTTATCTTGATAAGATACATTTGGCAACCACTTTTGTATCAAAGAATGAATCCGCAAATATGCAACTCGTAAAAGTGTCAATTTTTCAACAGAAAAAAATTCGGGGCTCCCGAAGTATGCGAACCAAGATGGCGAACATCGGAATGTAATATGTATACTAGGTTAGGGTTAGGCCATAATTTTAGGTATAAATACTACGGGAGGCTCTTGGCTAGTCTTCGAACTGATAATAGGACTAAAATAAGGAAAATTGGAAAAATATTATCGCCTAACCCTAACCTGTTACCCATGTTAGGTTCCGATGTCCACCATCTTGGTTCGCATACTTCGGGTGCACCAAAAAATCTTCCTGTTGGGCAAAATATTTAATTCATGGCTGATATCAGAATTCAAAATATCTTTTACATTAAATTTCGGTGTTCAGCGTAGCTCGCAGTTGCTATGACTACGGTTTCAATCTCGACCCCCCTGGCTGAGCTATTGGCAATGACCATAAGACATGATTTATATTCAGGCAAATACTTCTCAAACTTCTGCAAAACCGGAAGAAATGGCAGAAAATATCAAAAACACAGAAAAATCATCCGAACCCTCTGATTTAATTGAAGAAAGCGAAATGATTGAAGACAAAAATGACGAACACGCTAAACGCTTGACTCTCGTTGACACCTACATATCATCAGCTGAAGAGTTTATTAACGATATTAAAAGAATCATGGTACAACATGGGGAGGACCCAGATATTGGAAGTGGAGGGGGAGGGGTGAAAAGTTCTGGTAAGTTTTTATGCTCATTACAAAATCCTGACTCTAAGCTTATGCCCACCATTTCACCAAGGTATAATTAGTGTCATAACCCAAGTTCAGTTTATTGTTTTCACAAATACTAGGCTTTAATTCACTTAAACGTTAGCAGCACCTTAAAGCAGTACACAATGAAATGATAAAGCACCAAGACTCAGATAAAACCAAGCCAAGTATGACTCGGCAAATAAATTACTGTTGCCAGTAAACAGATGAAGTTAAGAATACCAAAATATGCAAAACAAATTACTTAAATTACCACGATATGTTGGTTGGGCAATGCTGAAAAATTTAAAATCTTTTAAAAATAGGTGCTTGTATATTTTGGCTGCTTGTACAAAGCTTTGCATGGGGTGCAGGTGTGTGGATAGTGTCTCGAAAAAGATGTTGCGTTGTTTTGCTATAACTCAAAGTATCAATAAAAAGTTGATTAACATCATAGATATTCTTTTATTTCAGATTCTGCTCCATCTCCCAAGCTGAAGAAAACTGATTCATCGCCTTCACCAAAAGGCCAGGTTTACAAGCAAATGCGATACATATCAATCCTTCGTGCTGAGATGGATGGAATTGACGTAAAAATGAAAGTGAAAAAATCTCCTCAGGCCTCCTCAGTGGTTTTTGTCAATAATTCCTCAACGAATCCGATGTCATCATTTTTAAAAGAAATACGATTGACCGATGTTAAAACTGGGAAAAAAGGACAAATGAACTCAACTGGAGCAAACAGACAGTTACTCTGTTCTCATGTGAGTGTTTTAAAAAAAATTGGTTACGCAATGCCGAACCAGAAATATTCTGGTTCGTACTAAATACAATACCTCACTATCTAAGAGTTGCCACTTGTACCAAGACTTGTTATAATTGAAAGGCCTATAAAACATACTATAATCTAGTACGGTGAAGTGCGCCCTACAAGAAGGGCATAGGCATTTTTTTAAGGGTGGGTGGAGCTAATAAAATTGTTAGATTCAATCTTGTTTTGGATATTTACATTTCTACATTTCTGATATTTACGTTCCGTCCACGTATTTTCGACATGTTTTTGAATGAAACATACTTTCACCTTACTATCTGTTATTTGTAGCTTATTGTTAGCTAGTTATTTTTGAGGAGGGGCGCGAGACTTGACAAATACTAAAAAGGGGTTAAAAAGTTAGAGAGTTACTGTTTCAGTATATTCCTGTCTTGAGGCCTAATTTTTGTGTCAAATTTTTCATTCATTTCAGATTTACGATTCCAGAAAGATTCATGGTATATCGAGGCAATGTGAATTAAACCAGAAGTTATGTACAATGGGATACTTGAAACTGATATCAAAATCTATCACTAACCCTCCCACTATGGTACTTGAAGATGACAAACATATAGAAGAGAATATGGATACTAGTAAGTACTGATCATGCTGAGAAGGCCCCCTACTCACCCTCTCTAGCCCCACCCCCAGCTCTCAACCCCGCCCTTATGATCTAAACATGAACTCTATATTAAAATCTAACACCAACCCTCCTATTATGGTGCCACCCATCCTGCCCCTTATGCTCCCAATCCCACCCTCCTGATCAAAGCAACAAACTTGCCAACTTGAGATCAATCTAACCCTCTTATTATGGTAGTTGAAGATAACAAGCATATAGAAGAGAATATGGTAAGTTCATAACATTCCAAGCAGGTCCCCTTCATCACCCCTAGCCCGCAGCCCCACCCTCCTGATCAAAACATTGACCTTGCCGACTTGAGATCAATCTATCACCAACTCACCTAGATGATGGTTGATAAATAGGAGAGAATATGGGTACTGATAAGCGCATGATGCTTGGCACAGGCCCCCTTATCCCCCCCCCCCCCCCCCAATTTGGTATCCAAATCTTCCACTTGCCCACCCACTATGGTGTTTGGAGAAGACAAGCATATAAAAGAAAATATGTATACCAGTATATACTGAGCATGCTGAGCTGGTCCTTCCTCCCCCTGTTCTATTATTAAACGATGCTCGAACATTTTAGCCCACATGAGCTCGAGTGGGAAAATATTTTTTTAGAATGTATTCGGTTATGGCCATCCCTGCTAAGTATTCAAGATTAGATTTGAATTGAAAAAAATTATGAACCATTTTGTTATATTATAAAAAGTAAACATATACCACACTTTCCGGCTAATTACTCTACCCGGCAAATAAGACGAAGTCTATTTTTAGCATCAAAAAGAGGGTTTTTCCCTATGGCAGAGACACTTTGCCGTCGAATACATTATAAAGTATTGATCCAGATATAAAGTTTACACAAATCATGATTAAGAAGACTCATGCGAAAAATAAACCGACCCCAGAAACAGGGATGGCCAATTCGAATAAAGTATTCGAATGTATTCGAATATCTCGTCATTCGAATATCGGAATTAGCGTTCATAAGAATATCGAATATTTGTGTGACGTCACACATTTTCGACGCCGCTTCCAAGACGTTTCCGTTGAATGAAAACATTCTCGATAGAAACTTGCGCGTGATTGTTTTCATCACTCATCAGCGTAACGTGTTATTTGGGCCGTAAACGCTTTTACGTTTGTGTTATTTTCTCTAAAACGAAAATTTTCCACAAATTTGTTCCACGATAACGTACGCGCACAGAATTGTGAATCTGGTAAATACAATCATCGGCGGCGAGTTTCTAAAGACAACGCAACTTTTTGATTGAAAAGCGGCAATTTAAAATACTGAATATAAAACCGCAAACAATATAAGTTTTATTGAAACCCGTGAAAATTTATAAAACGCTTTTCTAGGCAGTGAAAATCGCAAAATTCTGTGGGCCTACCGTACACATTATGTTTGGTCGGGCGTTTAGAAACATATCGTCACGAATTGAGGGCGGGATTTGCCTGATTATTCATTACTTTGAATTGCCGTCGAATACTTGAAACGCGACTTTTTCCCGGGTTGTGAGGATGTATTTAATATAATTAATCTAAAGTATATTCAATCAATTTTATTGTGATGAAATAAATTTTACTCTGAGATGTTACAGCAGATTTATGGATTTTTCGAACGGTTTTATCTAAAAATAATCAGAGTGTCAGCATTTCGATTGAGCGGAGTGGAGTCACTGTTAACAAGTAGGCCTACATCTAAATATTTGCCGAATTCGCAAAATACGGATCTGAACATTATTTAATCGGGCAGTTTACCACACGTTTTTATTCTTATGATCGCGGATTGCAATGGTATATAAGAGTGGTGAGGATTTTATTTTGTCGACGCAACCGAAGGTTAAATTGGAGACAATTAAATTAATAAAGCAAGACATTTTAAATAGGCCCGTATCGGTCACGAATTCATCACTTTGCACAACAGAAAAATATATATTCGTTGTTATATTATTTGTTGTAAAAGTCGACTCCTTTAACAGGTGGCATAATCGCGGCAATAAATATGTATTTTTAATTTACTGCTCAACTTTGTATGTATATTCATTGTATGAAATGAATTATACACTACACTTAACAGGATTTTATATCATTATTTGAGATTTTTCTAACGGCGATACCGAGTTGGCAAGTTTGCAAAAATACGTATTAAAATTAAATACATCAGGCGGTTTATCTCGTACTTTTAGGTCACAGATCGCTGTGGACCGAATAATAATGTTTTTTTTTGACGTAAGAAAAAGCAACCGCGAGTTACGTTGAACACATTAAATTAATATATAAAGATATTTTAGAATATCGTAGTTGTCATGGATTAAATATTTTATGTAACAGGATGATCATTATACGCTGAAAAGACGGCTCTTTTGACGAGCGCGGAATCGCGGTGGGTATTACAGGCGGCAATGGGAATTTTTGATTTCGAAAATCCTGGCTGCGCGGCTGGCAGTGGTGGTCATCTATTCTCTGTTAATTTATTTCTAATTTCAAACACAACAATATGTTACACATATTAACAATATGGTTAACATAAATTAATATACAAATATACTGGTAGGTGGTAGAATACTCTAAGCTTAAATATTAGAATTTTTAAAGGCATAATGGATTTTCGATTGTTGTGGCTTGTTTCAGTTGCCTGTATTGCCAATAAATTTATAACTCCCAGAAAATATACACAATTATTTGAATACAAGTAGTATTTTTGTCAATAGACTTGACTATTATCGTAATATCATGGTACCAATAATAGAAAGCGTCACCCCAACTCCTTGGCTATCTTTTCATATGGTCATTTGTACAAAGTGAATAATTTTAATAAACTGACTGTGTCACAAGTTGCTATTATTTTTTATTGATAGCTATAAACTATCAATTACTTTGTGTACATATACTGTTGGTTTGTGGCTTCATTCTGATATTTCTATTGAAGCTTATTTCCTAATTTACTGGGTTTTAATGAACTAAAACAAAAATGTGTTATTTTCGATTTTAGAATGTATTCGGAATTCCAGATTCGAAAACATTATTTTAGAATGTATTCGGAATTGTTTAGTATTCGGAAATGGCCATCCCTGCCCAGAAATAATAAAATTAGCATAGCCACCCATTGAAGACATAAAATCAGGCCGAAAAATTGATTCCAGAAAAGCGACTTACCGTAATTACTAGGAAATACGATAAATACATTTTAAATTTTTTTTTTGTTTCAGAACCACAACCTGTACCGCCGTATCCTCTGAAAACGTTTAAGATGCTCCAGCAATGCTTTCTGTCTATATTAGATGATTCAGAGTCTCACTCCGTTCATTTGCCTTCATTACTGGAACTGATCATGCTGTTACAGGTATATTTTTTTTAATGGATGGATGGCCATTCAGTTTTAATATTCGAATGTATTAGAAATGAAAATTTTACATTTATTTTATTTTATGTTTTATTGTAATCGGAGACAGACATATGTGGTTCGTCATATGATAAAGCCATTTTGTCAGCTTTCTCGCTAACCTTCCCTTTTTTCCAAGCGACCCAAATTTTCTAACAAATAAATTTTGTCAAATCTCGTGTCCCAAGCATATTCTTAAACACTAAATGGCATGTAGTACTTTTATGGCCGCAAAATTGAATGACTAATATAAAACAAAGTGAGAAAGACATGCTAGTTTGCCGTCAGCGAGGTTTTGAAATTATGGTGCAGTTATTACTTAAGCAAAACAAAATAAATGTTTTTACTGTACTTTCCACGAATACAATGAAATTACCTTTTGGTTATTTTAAAGCAACCCAAAAATATTTTCAGGCGACTCAGTTTTGGGTTGCGACCCTATGTTGGGAAACACTGGCCTATAATATCAATAGTAATATTTTTATTCCCACTACCTTACAGAACTGCTACAGAGACGTTAAACTTTCAAGTGAATCAACTGATTCAGAGCTCATGCATTTGCTGTCACTAAAGGGCACTAGAGCATTGTTATTGTCAGTCAACAGTAACTATGGACACAATTTCCATAGCAACCCACAAATTTGGAGCTTGGTATTGAACCTCATTGGACCACTTCTAGAAGGCCATAACGTAAGTAAATTGTTCTCAACCCTTTTTTCAATAAATTCCTTTTTTGAATATTTTGAAAAGCCTGCATTTCAAGGTGGAAGGGGAAGTCCGAAAACCCATACTGGTTATTGGGCGACGGCACTCTAGGGCAGGGCTACTCAACTATTTTTATCGAAGGTCCGCAAACAAAACTTCAAAATTATTTGGGTCCGGTCTTTTCAGAAATGATATTTCGGCATCCTTAAACGAGCACTTCCTCGACCAACTAATGATTAGTAGCAAATTAAAAGTGTTTATTATGGTGGTATAGTTCTTTTCGTATACATTCAAAACTATGAAAGTCATTTTATAATAGGAAATTCAAAAAGTGGGGCTAATGATCCAAAATAAATAATTAGGTGCGGTCCAAATCCAATACTCGAAAGGTCCGGATTCGGACTGCGGTCCACCAGTTGAGTAGCCCTGCTCTAGGGGATGTCGTGATAAAATAAGGTCAAACTAAATATGTTATTTAATAAATAAAATTAAAGAAAAAAAATAAGAAACATAAGGTACGTCAAGGCGACTTGGAAAGCATGATCATGGAAATTTTAGTGTGAGAAAGGGAGCTGTACAATTTAGTGTATATTCCATATTTGATTTTTAATCTTTAATATTCCATTTTTAGCGAATATACAGCAAACCATTGATTCTTCGTGAACTCTTGCAACCTGAAATTGACCTTGTGCCATTCTTTTTCAATATGCTTTCATCCAAGGTAAGTGATAAATTTTGCAGGTAAATGGGTTGGTAAACAATAGCTGAGTAGTCATGGAAACTCCCAATTACAAATGCCAAGCCATTTATAAAACTCCCCTTACGTTAGTTGAAAAAAATTTGGACTTGGAGGAAATTTCAACTCTTAGAAAAGCAAATTTTGATCACAAAAACTTTCACATCTGCAAACCTTTTTTTACTTATACTGGAGTCAGTTAGTAGCTTCCTACATATGTCTGTTATATTGGCCTTTGTCACTTGTGATGCACAAATATCATTTAATTATATCAGATATATTACCACACATAGCAGCCATACCAGAAAGCAACATGCAGTTTTGCCTGAAATCAATCAATGGTGACTTACGACAGTCACATGAAAGATTGCAATATCATTAGTATCAGATGGAAAAACAATTACTGATTACTGGACAATTACTCAGATCATCCGTGTGCGGAGTATATCTCAAAAGTTTCCGGTCTCGAAAATATACAATGCCTGTCTGGTTAGAACCTCAATCAGAATACTATTGTGGGAAATTTATGAAAAAACTTATGAATAATTAACTTCCTTTTGTTATCTCTCTACAGATGGCAGCATCGAATTCCAGCAGTCGTAGTTTCAATCAGTCGATATCTTTGCTGGGAACATCGACTTGTGAAAGTTTCACAAAATTGCTTTCAACTTTCCACAACATTGTTATAGCTTGCAAAGATATTGATAAATCTCATACAAGGTAACAGCAAGTTTTTCCATTTCTATACGGTAAAGTTGGGAGGAACTCCTGGTAAAAGATTACACTCTGTAAAGCTGTTTTTATATGTTCGTTTTGTAGAGATTCCACTCATATAAATACATGTTAATCCCCCTACCCCCCACCCCCACAAAAAATAAACTAAGATTCGGGACAAATTCTATAGAGCAGTGCCCTTCAACAGGGTATACTGTATACCCAAGTGTATACCGGATAGGATAGGATTTACATATTTATCCCGGGGGAGAGGAAAGCCGTTAAGACGGCTTATCCATATGGCGAACCACGGCCTCTCGTCCGGTTACCATTTCAAGTCGGGTATGGGATTAGTTTTACTGTATTGTTTGTTTTCGGAAGCATGGACTTGGTGGTGGAGGAAGCCGTAACCGACCAGCGGTTACGTAAACCACGCAACGACGGCGAGGAGTCCAGCAATCCTCTCGCACATAACCATCCCTGCATGAGATTCGAACCTGCGAACCCACGCAGAGTAGTTGGAGGTGCGGTGGCGAGCGTATTCCTAACGCTTAGCCCGTTGAGCCACACCGCCGGACCATAAGTTAGGTATACAACTGATAAAGGGTATACAGCCTGAGTCAGGGATTCTGAACTGTATCATAATGAATTATAAAATATTCAAGCGGAGACAACAATGCAAACGAGGCGCACATGAAATATAAAATGGTATTCACGCAAATAACAGACTGAAGCACATTGTTACGTCACAAATTATATAGATGATGTGGGCACGTGTCTGGGCTGGTGATTTTGGCTGCCATGATATACATTGAGCATTATTCCCGTTCACGCTAAGGAAAGGCAGTCAAATCACAACGTTTATAACTAGCCTATTAGATTGCATGATGATATTGCAATACAATCTGTGCTTAAAATTTAATGTCCACTTAGGAATTGAATGAACATTGGTGTTTGTAAGGTATACAAAGTTCTTGAAAAGTTGTAAAAGGTATACTACGATAAAGAGGTTGAAGAACACTGCTATAGAGAACATAACTTTTGTTTAAAGCGTCCTAGAATATTAAACTTCCATAAATCAATCAATCATACGCTAAAAGAATTAGTATGTGTACCAGGTTAGGGTTATACGGTATCGATAAATTCCATTTTCAATTTCAAAAAATTTTTAAAGACTCTATGGACACCCTATATATTTTTTTTAAATCAAAACTTTTGCAATTTCATTTGCAGACAAATTCCACAGCTTATAGTTGAGTATAAAGACATGTTATTGCTGACATTATCTGAACTTTGTCGTGTTGATGCGATGGGATTTACGTCAGTAACTCCGTCTGATGCACAAATTGTTCTTGTGGATGCAGTGCTTGAAATTATCACAAATGAAAAATGGGCCTGGGAATTAAAGTAAGCTTTTCAATATTTATTTATATTTTATTGTAATGTTTAACCATCAACTTCCGTCTCCCGAGCTACACCACTGGCACTGCTTATTAATGCATGATGCATCAAAGGATGATGCTGACCCTTCGAAAGACTTTCTTAACCCCTGTGTCTCCCTACTCTTTTATCAGAATACATTGTTTTGTATTAAACGAGTTTCTAGCAGTTATTTTATGTGTCATGTTTAATATTGAAAAACCAACTAACGAACCAAATGAATGAAATGCATCATGGTCAAAGAATAAAACAAATTGGCAGTCATTTTACGTTAACCTAATGCATACATGGGCGAATTTCATTTGGTGAAAGTCTTTACTCATGACCCCAAGAGATCTGCTCCATGACCCGCAGAGATGTGACCCCCACATATCTCATTCATGGCCCCCGGAGATCTGCTTTATGACCCCCACAGACCCCCTTTAGCATCCAGTTTGAACAAACTACTCTAGCCTTTTTCAAAGTTACACCCTGTATGCTTTCAGATTATGGGAAAAAGACGTTGAAATCCTTTTAATGGTCATCAAAAATGTCACAGAAAATTCTTACAAGTACCTTCAATGGTCTGAGATTGCTGTACAAGGGGATTCTGATCAAGGGGTAAGTAAAGGGCTTTTTTCCGGACAGTGTAGAGTCCACTTGTTTCAAGCTTTATATACGTACAGAACAGGAAGGGGGGGGACATTTGGCAATGTTCTTGGACCAGGGGCCGAAATTTTGCCCCCCATGGCTTGCCATGTAAGTTTAAAAAATGTTATATTTTATGAACAATATTTGCAATGTTACAAAAGCAAAAGTGGAAAACAATAAACCTCGTTCCAAAACTAAATTCAATCGCAATCTCAACAAATTTATTGGGCTATTTTTTAGCCAAAACATCAAAATTTGGTTTTAGTTTGGTTGTTGCAGCATTGGGTGGGCCTGATTGAATTGCAAAACGGGACGGATTTTGCTCGCGCGCTGTAGTTTGGTATAGAAGCTTTCAATATATCAGTGTTTACTTAAAACTCCTATATTTTTTCTCATAAAAAATTTCTAAGAAATTCAATTCCAGCAGCCTATGGCAAACCTACATGAACTGCTGTGTTGAGCAATGACATCACCTACTTGACACGAACCAACAATTCCATCATAAATCATAAATACTTTTCGTTTTAGGTCGACCCACGTTCATGTATGTCTGGAGCTTTATCAAGCATATTAAACAACCCAACATCCAGCAGTTTTCCATCCAAGATTGAATCTCCAAGGGATTCTTTAATGTTAAAGTTGCTGAAACTCTGCTCTGAACTGGCTTGGGTAAATTGTTTGTGTACTTTTTCAACGTGAATCCTGAGGGGGATAATTTTTTGCATAAGGATTGCTGGACTCCTCGTTGTTGTAGGGTGATTTGTGTAACAGATAACCGTTTACGTCTTCCTCAACTTTTAATAACATTCATCTGGAACAAATAACTATATTTCATAGACACGACCTGGTACTGGATGAGATGTTGCGCAAGGGAGTAGGGAGGGGAAGGTTGAGGGTCAGAACCCCTCCTCCTTTCGAAATGTAAAAAAAAGCATTTTCATTTTATCATACATAGCAATTTTTCGTAGCTTGACACACATTTTAGATTCATCAAGACTCTTTTAGGACCCACGTTTTCTGTTTTCCGACTGGACTGGCCAGCTGGTACGGCCTAACTTGGCAATTAGAAATTTTAGAATCAACTCTTCAAAATTCTTGGCGACCATTCTAATGCTTCATTTTTTTTAGTTTGTGGCGCCTCTTCATCCTACTGCAAATGTACATCGAACTGCTGTCTTCCAAATGTACGTGGATCCGAGCTCCCCAGAAAGTGTTGAAATGATTGATGAACAAAATAAGGAAGAGTCGATGGACGTAGATAGCGAACAGCAAGTAAGTATATTTATATTTATTTTTTGTATTTATGATAATTAAATTGATTAATTCATGTAAAGTTTGGACGCTTTTTCTCATGTTTGTAACCTTATTCGGTTGTAATGAATTGGGTAGGCGATGCTATACTGAATTGGAAGAACCTTGCTTACTTGAACTTTTTTCTGCTCATCTTTTTTCTGAAATTATTGACTTATAACCTGTGTTAGCCGATTTCTACTAACATCACCAACAATAAATGATATGTAGAGCATTGATCGCTTGTGACTCATACATAATGTTAATGTTAAAATTTCTGAAATTTATGTAGGTTACATTCCTAGAATCTTTACCCTAGGATTTTAGTATCAGAGCCTTTATTATACAGTGTATATATGTTTAATAATTTCGTATGCCTAATCGTGTGACATCATCGTGGCGTATATGAATATGACGTCACAAGTGTATAGTATATGTAGCATTAAAAATTGTCGGGAAAGTAGGTTGCAGAACATGAACTACCCCAAGATTCAATCTCTGCCATTACCATTTTGATTCACCCTTTCTGTGAATTAAATTAAATTCTTAGTGTTTGAAGCAGCTCTTCTAATCCTCCAGATATCCCACTATGAGTATAAAAAATCCCATTTTTCTAATATAACTAAAATTTTTCAGAAAATGGACGTAGACGACGAGAAACCTACTGAACCAGTGAAAGTGGTGAAGAAGCCTCGTCCATTCCGCACGGTTGCAGATCATATCTTAGAAAACCATGACATGATGGGAACGCTGCTGTCTAGTTTGGTTATGTGCTCAGGGTAAGGATTGGATTTGTATCTTGAAAGTTGGTTAGTTTTTCCATTCCTTCTGGGCTATGTTTTCTTTAAACTTTTTGCTCTGTGTAAAGATTTCTTAGATTTTGACTTACCTTGTTTCTTGACGCTTGTCAGCCATATTTTTTAGCTTGATTTCATTTTATTCAAAGACACCCCACAGACACAAGAATTAACTTATATAGTTGTTAGTAATCAGTAACGGACAAATTGTAATAATTTAGCTGCCTCATATATTTAGACTGAATAAGATGAAGATAAAGATAAAAAGTTATTTTGGTACTTGGATTCGCACCTTATCGGAATAGCATTTATTCCAAATGTATTTTGCTTTTGTTTTTTTATAATTGTTAAACGTGGTGCATAAAATAACTCTTAAAACTTAAAGTATTTTTATAGAATGAATAGCAGGGGAGCCACAAGTCTTTGAAAGAGATCATGAAAGTTTTCGAACCACTGACTAAGTTAAACCAAATTCCAGGCTATCTTTAATGACTATTTTTTTTTCTTTCAGATCTTCAATGTACTCATTATTCAGTGGTCGAGACATCACACCCGGTGTTGTCATAGAGAAAGCAGCTTCATCTACTGGTGATGGGGTGTATGTGTTCTTGAGCGGACTTGTGGATGCGGCCACTGACTCTTCAACACCTTTGAAAGCTATATTGAGATACATGAGCAATGGAGAATTGGTGGATGGAAAATATGTCTCTGCAGAGGTTTGGGAGAGAAACAATTTTTTATTTTTAAAAATTCGAGAATTTCAGCTTAATAAACTGGCAGTTACTTTTTTTATGAGGCTTCTATGCCCCTCCAATCTGGACAAGACTATAGTTGAGGTATTGAACTAGGGCTTGAATCTTCCCTGCCTTTTACCCACTCAAGTTGACAGCGATTTTTTTAGATTTTGCTCTGTTCATATTGTGATTTTTCAATTTGATAACAGGCAACAATACACGTTTCTTTCCTTTCATCCCTATTATTTTTGACTGACTGGTGTGTCGTTAGCTTCTATATATCATGGCATGTTCGCTGTGTATGATATTACTGTCTTTCGTATCATTTAATTCAATTTTGTAATATTTGTGTGATCCTAAGCAGCAATAGCCCATTTAACGGTATCATACAAGGTTCAGGTGTAGGTCCCAACTTATTTTTTGTCTTTATTTCAGGACTCTATTTCTCCAACTTGTCAGTTATCAATGCCACTGTTATGGTTTCTCCTTTCCGTACTCGATACTTCAGAAAATGTGAGCAAGTTCTGTGCACTAGGTGGAGCTAGACTAATCGCTGATTCACTTGTAGCCTCTGCTAAAGAGACGATTGACCAAACACATGGGCAGACTTCAGAGGCAAGTATTTCATTTCAAAAAACTTGTGAAAGTGTGTAGAAACGGCCAAAAACAATCAAAAAATCGCTAAAACATGTAAAAACAATCAAAAAAATTGCTGAAACGTGTGGAAACCATCAAAAAAATTGTTAAAACATGTGAAAACCATCAAAAACTATCAGAAAACTCGCTAAAACGTTTGAAAACTGCCAAAAACCATCAAAAACCTTTCTAGTTTTGCTAATGTGGTGTCCTAGACAGAAAGAGTTACTGTAAATAGATGGCATTCTGCTGCTGCTAAGATAGAAGTCAACCGTTTTGTTTTGTAAACGTTGAAAAGTATTGCTGCCATCAGCTGCATATCTGGGATTACTGTAGTAATTTACATAACATATATTACCAGGGGTTTGCAACAGTCGGCCTTTGGTGTGGCCCCTGTCGACACTATCAAGCCTAAAATCATAATCTGGCAGTTTATGTTTAAAAGGGCGCTCGCATGGGTAAAAATACACAATGTTTTTTTGCTCTTGTCGCTGTGTTAAATTTTTCGTTGTTATGCCCGGTGACTTTTATTACAGTGAGGTTGAGCGATAGCCGTATTGTATATTCGTGAGGCCCAGGTAAATGTCTGAAGTTGGTTATATGGTCCACCGACAAAAAAGGTTGCACACCCCTGGTCTATTACATTGATAGTGAAAAATTTGGCGTATGCATGCCTTTTCCAATCCTCTGTTGGGTCAACTTGGCCAATTTTATCTTCTACGACTCCAACGTGTAAATACGACTACAGCTTCAATATCAATAAAAGCAGAAATTATTCTGGTTCAACAGCTGTGGATAAATATGAATCCTATTCATAAAAACTCCTCAAATCCTTTTTCAGGTTCTTCGTTATTTGACAGCGGCATCAGATAGAGCAACAGCTTTTGCTCCCCGTGCTCCTGTTGTTCTACATAATGATTCTGTGTGGCCTGGGTTGCCAGGTTCAGCGGGGAAAACTGTTCAAAAAATCACAACTGGCAGTCAAGGATTCAATTATGCCCCTGTGATACCATCTGGCAACCCTGGTGTTAAAGTACTGACAAGTCCTTGGAAAGAAAATAAAGAGTTTGATTTTGCAGCTGTTGGTAGGTTTTTCTTTTCAGCATTCAAACAGACTTACTCTGTAATATTCTGACATAATATTCATATTTCAGCGTATCTCGATTAACAAATTTTTAATTTATTTTCAAATACTACAGAGCCTGATATTTCTATTAACGCTGAAAATGTAGGTTTTCAAGAGGGGTTCTAAAAAAGTTTTTTAAACTCACAAAATTGCTATGTATGTTACATAATTTTGTTTTTTTTACATTTCAAAAGGGGGGGATTTCGACTCTAAACCACCTTCCCCCTCTACTTGCTGCTCCCCTATATTCGAGCTTTCCTGTTTTAAAGTTTTTCAAAATGAACTTCTCTTTATTACAGCAACAATAAACTGCTCTGATACTGCCTCCCAGCCTGCTGATTCACTCCTGAAACCAAAAGCTCTTCACAGGCGTTCCCGATCTCCGTCATGGTCTTATCATTTTCCTACAAAGAGCCATTGGGTGTCACTACAGCTTAATTTTCCGACTGCCTTCATTTTGAAAAGTGTGAAACTTATACCTATGACAATGTCACTATCGAGTGAGTATATTTTTTTAACCTGAATTGTACGCTGAAATAATTTCTAAGTTGTTTTGTTGTCGCTTTTTTGTGCAGCTGATGAGCTAATCAAATTCAAATTTTCAGGAATTGTTCGGAAAGTTTTATTTGTCTTGAAATTCTATGGGGCCCGATATTTTTCTCAAATTTTACATGTGTTAATTTATACCAGTTTAATTTGCCATTGTGATAATACATGCCGACGTCATCCACGCAGGAGCAATGAAAATACAATCATCATCCGCCCACCCTAGCCCAAACAATTTCCTTAGTCCCAAAAATATAGAACAGAGATTTATTCTTTCAGCCACTCCATCTGCAGTAATGTTAGAAAACAATCATATTCAATATATCTTCTTTTTATTAACCCCATCACAGAACTTTCTATATACTTTAAACTCCTTTACCGAAAGTTCCCGGCCAACCTGTTTTCATAAGTTTAGAAGTTTACTTTAAAAATATGCTGCAGAATGCAGAATGCTGAAGTGGTGTGTATAGGATAGTCTTCAACCCCTCATAAGAGGTGTCTTCTCAGCCTTGCCAGAAATTTTCAAATTCTATCCGTAGAAATTCTCGACTAAGAGAAGCTATGTCAGACTTGCTCAATTTTCAATGTGACTGAAATTCAAATCCAAGAACTTGAGGATTTTTACACTTCGCTCTTTCTTACTTAGCTACGCCATCTGCAGTGATGTTAGAGACAAATCGTACAGGCTCAGAAACTACTCCATACATACCGATATCTGTTCCTCTTGCTACAAACGGACTCAGTCAAATCATTATCAGCCCTCCATCTGATCTCGTTGTGGCTTCTCTGAAGATTCACATGAAAAGACCAGTGGACTCATCTTCTATTGGTAAGCAATATTAGTTTGGTTTAAATTTTGCTCTCAAAAGTTTGAGTATATCATCAAAAATCAATCAAAAGTGGTTTTTTTTTGGAACTGAGTGGGCATGTGACTTTGCTCAATGATAAATCTCCTTTAATTCGAAAACAAACTGAGAAATTTTTCATAAAAATTAACGAATCTCATCTTCTAGGTCTGACCAGAATAATTGTCAACGGCGTTCCAAACTTCATGAACTATTCTTCATCTTCTGGAAATTCCGGCAACAAACTCATCAACGACGCTCTCGGGCCTTTGAATCAAACTTTTGATCGACGATCTACCATGAATTGGTTGAGACTTCTGCATCATTGCTTGACCATTGATGTTGCAATTACACCTAAGGTAGAGATATTTAATTGTTTATATTTTTTTTTTCAATCTATTTGGATTGGTGCAGGGGTTCCACAACCTTATATTCTGCTCATTTATTGGACATTTTAGGCAAATTTCTATAATAACAGATGAAAAACACCTGAGACCCTAGGAACCAAATCAATGCATTTGCTATTCGAAATACTTCCAATCATGTGTGCCGCATTCTACCGCTCACAAACCGTTGACAAAAAATTATAAAAAAGGCATTATTTATTGGTGAGGATAGCAGTGGGAAACTAATATAAACCAACAAGAAAGTAACAAGAAAATAGTAATAAAAAGTCGAACTATTTATGTTATTTGGAAAAGACAATAAATACGACAAGGCGTTCTGGTATGCCTAGCAGTCGTGCGTTTCAACAACAACAAAAAACGCCACACGCAACAGCAAACTGTTGTAAGTAGTAAATATGTTGCACAGACCTTGTTACTTTATTCTCAATGAGTAGATTAATATTCTTTTTATTTCACAGCTCAACAATGTCATTCTTGAGGTCCCAGGTTTGATTCCCACCCTGTGTGCCATTCTACACCAGCCCATCATACCAATGCACCAAACAGCTGTGGAAATGGTTTTGCTTCAGTCTGGAACTTCAGAAAAAATCTCGGAATTGATTAATTGTATCTTGAGAGGATCTTCTGGCACAAGGTGATTAATATTAGTTAATCTATAGGGTTTTCATAAGGACCTAATAATTGTTTTGAATTGCAAAGGGAATTTATCGATACCATATATTGTTTTGGCCCTCACAGATGTATTTCAGTAATATCTGATCCAAGATTGCGGACACCGGAAAGTAGCATGTGTACCAGGTTAGGGTTAGGCCATGATTTTATCCCAATTTTCCTTATTTTAGTTCTATTACGATTTCAGAGACTAGCCTAGTGACTCCAGTAGTATTTGTACCTAAAATTATGGCCTAACCCTAACCTGGTACACATACTACGTTCCGGTGTCTGCCATCTTGGTTCACATACTACAGGAATACAGAATATATTAAATGAAGTAAAATACACAAACAATTACTGATTAAAAACAACAAACCTATTTAAGATACATTGAGAACTGACTTCATAACAAAATAAAGGAACTTTATGGACACCCTGTATATTTGGTGTGTTGTATCTTTGTTTCTTTTACGAAGTGGCAACCAGATCCTAGGCCAGAGATTAAGAACCATTTTTAATGCAAAAGTCAAAAATTATATTTTTATTATGGAGAAGAGATCATCATAGATTTTCAATTGAAGCATCAATGAAAAACTTGTTGCATATTTTCACATAAGTCCTTGGTGGTATTGTGTAGTTTTGAGCTTAGAACACGCAGGACTGAGGTAACTGGTATTTGACTTTATAAAATAAATGTGCGAAAAATGGATCGGCATGCATACGGAAAAATGTTTATATTGTTACGGAAAATATCTTCACAGTTTTAAAAGAGTTCGATAGATTTGTTTTTTTTAATTTTTTGATAATGCAGCTTTCCGCTAATGGCCTTAAAAGCACTACCATCGTGCTCCATTGGTATTTCATATTTCTGTGGTTTTTGTGTCAAACTAATTTTGTAAAATATAAAAATTGTTAATAGCATTTTTTTTTATTTTCAGCCATTTTCTTGGAGGTTTGTCTAATGAAGCAACAGAGTCTTCTATCAACCTGATTTATTCTTTGTGTAAAAATCGAACAGGAGATATTGAGTTGAGGTAAGTGGATCATTAGCCCCACATTTGAAGTTTATGTTTATAAAATCACTTTCATAGATTTAAATATATATGAAAAGAACTATAACGCCATAATAAACAATCTTGATTAATCATTAGTAGGGCTGGGCATTTCGAATCGAATAGTAAATTATTCGAATCGGTTCAGAGCTAAATTTCGAATCGCCGCCATCTTGTTTTTTTTGTCTTTCCGCCAATGATCTAGGTGAATTCCCCAATTTTTTTTTCATTGAAGTCATATTTTTTCAACGAAATTCTAACATATGACTATTTTCTGTAGTGAGTTATTGATAAAACGTGTTTGTTATTTTGTGTGAACGCTCAGTAATCTATCTGAGTGATTTATTCTATGTTTTCAGTAATTCATTTGTTGAATGGACCAATTACTATAATAAAGTCGCTTACAATTATATATTTTCAAGTATTCGATTCGATTCGAAAAAATTATTCGATTCGATTCTGAAATCACAAGGTATTCGAAAATGCCCAGCCCTAATTATTAGTCACCTGGGAAGTGCGTGTTCAAGGATGCCAAAATATAATTTCTAGAAGGACCGGACCCAAATATTTTTGAAGTTTTGCATGCGGATCTTCAATAAAAGTAGTTGTGAATCAAATATTTGTGTATTTCAATTTTTATATTTCATATTTTAAGTGTAATACTCAACCTCTCATTTTTCAAGAATAATGTAGAATATTTTTATTTTGCCAAATCAAATAAATACGCCCGATGGCCAGATAATATACTTTATTTTTGCCCTGGTGTTTGGCGCTGGCGCATTGTGTTAAGCGTCAGGACGACGTTTGCCAACACATCCCTGATTATGCTGTGTGGGTTGACAAGGTTGAATCCTGTTGTAGATATTTATGTGTGAGAGGGTTGCTGGACTGGCGATCGTGCGTGGAACTTTTCGTATTTTTACTCCTCTAAGATTAACATGAATTTGCTCTTATCCTATTCTTTAACTCCTTGCACTGCATCAACTAAGAAATCAAATCATGTTTGTCGCAGCTATTCCATGGCAAGCCTCATCTATAGAGACATCAATAATAGTGATCATTTCTTGTTTAATCTATATTTTCAGATTATCAGAAATGTTGAAATGGGTTTCGGACTGTTTTCTGCTTTCCAACCCAGAGGTCATGAGTTTGAATCCCCCCACTGCCAATTTCCAACACATACATGCTATAGCTTGTGGCTTATGGTCATGTGCAGGTACAGCTGACGCCAAGAATTGTGCAAATTTGGAACTAACAAGAACTGTATATCAGTGGGCCCAGGTAAAATAAAATAATATTTTTATTTTTTTTTATATGGTTACTCATAAAAAATTATGCAAGTAAAATCAAATAACCTACAATCATTACATTTATTTCAATAGGGAGTTCAGGGACGTATCCTTAAATAACTTCATTTAATGACTTTGATGTTTTTGCTGCTTTGTATTTAAAATATATTCAGAATTTTAATAAGTAACCTTATAGCTCGTGGATTCTCTAGGTGTTTCTCACAGAGCTCTCCGTGAGGAGCATAGTCAATTTTGATCAGAAGTGTTGCTTGTCCTTACGTGTAAGCCAGTATAAGCCTTGTAAAAAAAGTATCTATCACAAGAATTTTGATGTTCTGTATATTCCAGTCTCTACAGTCAAGCCAGTCCTCTTCTCTCTCAACTGGATTTTCGAATTCATCTTCATTGAAAAACTCATTGGATTGGTTGCTCTGTTGTTTATGTCATGTCAACATGGAAAATTATGAAGCCGTATTGAAAGAAATGGGTTAGTATTGTTGATATTGTTACTTGGGCACTCCAGAAGTATGTGTACCAATATGGAGGTAACTAATTTTGTTTGCCTACTTTACATCAAGTTGTGTAAAGGGATGGAAACCTATGGGCAGGGGGTATATTCACTTGGCTAACACAGACAGTTCCCGAACTCGTAATGGAACTAAAATGAGGAAAATCAGAATAAAATTATGGACTAACACCAGCCTGGTACACACACTAGGGAAATATCGTTGTTTGTATCCATAGATTTTGTTAGAATTGGCAATTTTAGTTGAGCATTGGGGTTTTAAAATTTGAGCTAAATTTCAAACATATGACAGTATGAAGTCAAAATTATTCTGTTGAAATTAAGAATGGTTTGTAAATACCGATATTACCATAATCAAAATATTCGTACACTCAAAAGGAGCCTGATTTTTCCAATCGGATAGTATTTCTGATATTGTTACATCTAGGGGTGTCTGAACTCGGAGTGGGTCATATGCCAAGGTCGTTGGGGAGCAACCAAATTGTACAAAAGAGGGGGGGTCTGGGCGTTAAAAATCGCATACTGTGACTCAAAAAATTTTTGTATAGAATTTCAAAACAATTGCTATAGAACACTCCTTAAGAGTTAACTATTTCAGCTGATGATAATTTCTTATCATGAAAAATATACGATTCACCTCATTGTCAATATAAATATATACAGGGTGTCAAAATGATAAATGAGACCTAAAAGCACAATGGGAAATATTAGTAAACAAAGGCAAAGAAATTTTTAATTGTTAGTCCTAAAAAATCGGGCGGAACTTTTTGGACACTTCGTATGATATATAATATTGTTTGATAAATGTAATGAAAAAAAATTATTATATTTCCCCTTTCCCAGGTTTAAACAATATGGATACAACGCGTATCCCATTGTCTTCAGGACAGATCAAGACATTGACTATTGTATCACAGACTCCAGAATGTATAAAGGTAAAAACAATGCAATATTTTCTCAGTCTTATGGGGTACGGTAAAAAATTTCAGTTTTATTTCAAGTCATGTATTACCAATATACCTATTTCATAATTTTATTGCAATAGCCATTAAAATAATTCAAACTTTTTTGCTTAGCTTAGTGATAGGTTGACTTTCTGCAACTTTCGAAACAATGTTCCCTAACCTTTTTAACACATTTTTGCCCGTTTTCAGAATTGTTTAGGAATTCATTTTTTCCCCACTAATTATCTAGAGCAGCGTTTCTCAAACTTTTTTTGTCTCGGAACACCTAACCTTTTTATCACGCCCTGCGGAATACCAAGAAATTAGAAGATAAAATTAATAATAAAAAAATTGTGAAATGTATCTACACTCTCACAGCCTGCAGAACACGAGTGTTCGGCATAACACAGTTTGAGAAACGTTGATCGAGTGATACACGCAACTCCTACTCTGGATTCTGCATAGTTCGAATACTTTATAATGTGTGCATAAATATATATTATATTAATACTAAATTACAAAAAAGTTAGTTTTACTAACTGCAAAGTAGAAGTTCTTCAATGGGAGGAATTTTTCCTTGTTTGTGAAACTCTGATCTAGATCAGGGGCTCTCAAACTGGGGCTCCCGAAGTATGCGAACCAAGATGGCGGACATCGGAATGTAATATGTGTACTAGGTTAGGGTTAGGCCATAATTTTAGGTATAAATACTACAGGAGGCTCTTGGCTAGTCTTCGAACTGATAATAGGACTAAAATAAGGAAAATTGGAAAAAAATTATCGCCTAACCCTAACCTGTTACCCATGTTACGTTCCGATGTCCGCCATCTTGGTTCGCATACTTCGGGAGCACCCTCAAACTTTTGGTGTTACAGAGCTTGTGAAAGTTGACTATTATTCATGGAGCCCCGCAATCAATTTATCAGAAATAAAACAAAAAACACATTGGTATCAACCAATTAATGTCCCTGAGTTATCTAAAATTACTTTATTTAATGACTCGGTTGTATTCGCTGCTTTGCATTTAAAAAATATTCAGTATTTTAATAAATAGAGGAATAGGTCACGGAGGTCAGTATGGAGCCCTTTGGAAACCTCTGTTATCGACTAGTCACTGTTTCAGATACTGGGGAACCAATTAATTGTGCAAGCATTATCGAACGGACTTCAAAAATTCTGTCAACGAGTGTTGGAAGTGTATCAAATAAACACAGCTTCAATTGAGATGACCTTTGACCTGGCCTCTGACCTCATACTGGAAGTGAATGTACATAACGTGATTGCAGTCGTCAACTTCTTCAGGTATTTTTTAAGATAATTTATCCTGTTTTTAGGTTGGACTTCGATACTTTTTCAGCACTGTTGTGCAAAATCCGTGAAAACCACGTAAACCTTGTGCATCGTGCTTAATGTTAGGAGTACGCTTGCCACCGCACCTCTGATTACCCTGCGTTGGTTCGCAGGTTCGAATCCCACGCGAGGTTAATTATGTGCAACAAACAACTAGATAACTAATCCCATACTTGACATGGAATGGTAACCGGACGAGAGGCTGTGGTTCACCATATAATTGAGCCGTTTTATCAGCTTTCCTCTCTCCCTGGATAAATATGTAAATTTTATCCACTGACAATTACTCTATTTTCCAGTGACCTCTGCAATCTCCACATTATACAAGACTTTCTCGGATCAGATCAAGGCATGAAAACATGGCAGACATTACTGACAACACTGCATCAAGTTATGTTGGTTTCAAACAGACAAAATCTTTTGGGTATGTTACAGTTTTATATTATTTTTCATTCACTTTAATATTGAAAATACAGGCGACCATAGCAGAATGAATTTATTTACACAAAGATGGACACTTTAATAATTAGAAAGATAATTACCAATCAGTAGAAAAAACAGCATGTCATTTGCTGATACTACAGTGAAAGTTTAACTAATTGATCAATTAGCAATCTTGGTCTTTAGCAATTTTTAATAGGTTTGTGGCCTACCCAAATATATAGTGTGGCCCAGAAGTGGGAGAAACTCTGTTTTAACTCTAGGTCATTACTTATCGATTTTAATCGGTAAGTATGTTGATAGGTGTTTGTCTGTCTGTCTGTTAGACGCACGCGATATCTCACGAAAACGAGATTGAATCTGCTCCAGATTTTGCATATGCATTCATCATATGTCGGACCAGAAGCCTATTGATTTTGGTTTAATTATGTCGTATAATTAGCGAGTTATTAATTAATTACTGATGAGACACAAGGTGTCACTATAGAGTAAGAGCGTGATTTTGGGGGATTCCCCAACTTTCGATCGATAAGTCTTTGGTCTCTGACTGATATTCTCGTTGCAAATTTAATATGTTGCGCATGCAAATTATTGTAAATTTTTTTTTATTTAGGCACACTCCCATTAAGACTGCCCCTCCATGTCAGCCATTGTCATATAAGGAGATATTTTTCCAAAAGATTTAAAATTTTTGGATTCTATTTTGCCTACCCTATTTATCACATCTGGGGTGAAAGGTTGCAGACCTAGGATTTCAATTCTAGAACTATGACCGGCGATGCCTGTATAGTTAAGCCAAAGACTATAACCTCTAACTAGGTCATCTTATAATTAAAACTATAAATGTAAATGTGCATGTGAATTTCTGTATACCGTATATGCTCGTTTTACCGCCGATCGTGATTAAGGGCCCGTTTGAATAGCCGCCCGTGTGAACAGAACAAAAAAATAAATAAGGGCCGGTGCTTGAATACCCGCCCGATGTAAAAGCTGATTTTTCAGTGGTAGAGAACAATAGGAAATAAGTATCCATTTTGTCACAACGCTGTTGAATTTTGGGCGCCGGTAGATAACACTTACGCCTTAGGCGTCCAAGTACATAACAGATAGCATTGATTACGTAACACCGTGCTTCTCAAACTGATATTGATATTGATCAAACTCAAATATTGATAGAACGCCGCAAAACTTTTCTTCTTTTGCGGATTTGTACATGCAGTGCGTAGAAAAATTCAAAATTTTTGTTATTCTCGTTTAAATCATACTTACGAACTAGAAATAACAATATATTAATTATTGTAACGATCAAAAATAACAAGCGCCCCTGCTTGAATAAGGGTCGGTTAGTGAGTTGGTTGAAAAAAATATGGGCCCAGGCTACAAACTGAGCAAATACGGTAATCTGTAAGTTTTCTTTATTCAGGTACTCCTTCATCAAGATTGCCTCGCTATCTCCTTTTGGAATTGCAAGAATCAACTATATGTTTACTGAAGCAAGTCACAAAATGCAACGCTCGAAATCAACAACTTTTCACTAAAACATTATGTGATATTGTCAGGTATTGTCACCTGTTTGTATAGATTGTCTAGGTCAGGGGTGTGCAACCTTAAATATGGTAGGGCCAGATACATATAACTGGGCGAAACCGCGGGCCACACCTTCATTTAACATAGGCTTTCTAGTAGTTGCAAGCACAAAAATTTTGGTTATTGATCTTATGATATGCATTGTTCGTTTTGCACAAGCTAGCTGTTAGCGCATTGTGAGAGATTGGAACACGTACCAGACTAAACTAATTTAAAAACTTGTTTCACGGGCCGCACGCCATTCAAAATTGGCAATTCTTCGCGGGTCGCACAATTTTTCTTTGTGGGCCACATTTGGCCCGCGGGCCGCAGGTTGCACACCCCTTGTCTGTATCGTTGGCTCCAACCTTTTATGGCTTGTGGCCTCCTTCCTAAGTCATTTAGCACTGTCATGGTCCTCTATCATTCCGGTGGTATTTATAGTGTTGTTTCGATTGGTAGATTCCAAATTCCATTATGTTCAAACAATTCATACTCAAAGTAAAATCACCCTGTGAAATAAACTTGTCAAGCTATGAAACTAGTAGGAAGAAAGAGTTTTCTTGGGAGGAAAAAAGTAAAATCGATGTTTGCCTAGCATTATGGTCTCCTCCAACTACTCTGTGGTCTTGTAGTTGAGAACTGCTGGGTTAGATCTTATCGATGTTATGATATTTTTTTCTTGTTGTCTTCTAGATATCGCCAATTGTTACATAATTATCACAGTTTAGGTATGTGTATATTCGTAACAATTTGTTTTGAAATTTTAATTATCCTAATTATTCGCATCCATACAAGTATCGCCCTCATGTCGGCGCTCCCCCCCTGCCCGCAAAGATCCCACAGCTTCTAATTTTGGCCCGCGACCAATCAACTACTGGAATCAATGTATCAGTGGAAATCCAAAGAGTATTTGTAGGTAGTTAGGCTAGCGTAGACCTAATCGATAGTACCTATTGCTCAAACTACCAGCAATTAGTAAAAAACCTCGCTATCAGCAGTTATATTTTTATTATCAGAATAAATACCTTTGAGTTCAATCTTAACTATTTCTCAAATCATTCTTCAGTCTCAACTCTGACAACACTGAAAATCTTGGTCAATTGACCGGCTTCGTACGCTCTCTGCTACTTCGTGTGGTACTTGAAGATGAACAATACATCGTTAACTTGATATCAGGAACGGGACAGAAACCACAAAGAGGACAAAGTAACAGCCTAACAAGGTGAGTGCATAATAGATATAGATTTTATTGTTGGTTAAGCCTGGTGTTCTTAAACTTTTGGTGTTATGGAACCTATGAAGAGATGGCTATTATTCACAATATGTTTATAAAAATTAACTATTTGAGCTTTGATAATGGCATATTTGAACAACTGCGTTGTTGCGACATTTTGCTGCTAATGTTGTCAATTTGTTATTAATTCTTTTGGACAGTTACAAATTTTATCATATGGCGGTTTTTGCCATATGATTAAATCGTCTTATTGACTTTCCGCTCATCAGAATGAATATAAAAATCCCATCCTAATATCACGATATGGACTAAGTTTTATCATTTTTTTTCAACTTTACTCTCTTCTCACCTCTAGTGGAAGTTCTACTCTGCATCATCCAATGTTTGCAACAGGACACATGACTAGAACATTTGAAGTTGGGGTAAGCAGTACAATGAAGGATATATGGTCCATGGCTTCAGGTAGGCATTTGAGTCAGTGGTTTCTAATCAGCGTAAATTACATTGGGATACATAGGATGGGATTTACATATTTATCTCGGGGGAGAGGAAAGCCGATGAGACAGCTTAACCATATGGCGAACCAGGGTCTCTCGTCCGGTTACCAGTCCAGGTCAGGTATGGGATTAGTTAACCAAGCATTTGTTTTCGAGGAGTCCAGCAATCCTCTCGCACATGATCATTCCCGCATGGGATTCGAACCTGGGATCCCACGAAGAGTAATCAGAGATGCAGTGGCGAGCGTATTCCTAATGCTTAGCACGATGCGCCACACCGTCAAGCTTGGTACATTGTCTCATTGTGGGTCTCACAGAAAAAATGGCAATACAAGTGGGTCGCAAACTGAAAAAGATTTGGAAGCACTGGTCTAAATAATGGAATAATTCGGACTCGTCTAACTCAGGATAGCCAATGTCGAACTGAAAGATTTTGATCATTAGAAAAACAGTAGCACCACGTTGTATATCAGTAATGCTTGCACAAAGCTTGTTCAGAGACGATTTGACACAACTTCATGTGAAAACCGTACAGTTTTTGGTTAAACCAATTTCTTATGTAATTGAAAATGAAATCTTCCCTCATTTGCTGTATATTATTAACATCACATTCTCTTGCACTTGAAAGAAATAATTATTTTTAATTCATGTTCAGATGCTCCATTGGTGATTGACAGAATCCAAAATAAACTGACATCAGATAGAAAGCAAAGTAATTTGGGAACAACTGACAATAAAAAGGTGGTGTTCCATAAGTTATTCTTCGTTTGGCGCTCCGGAAGTATGTGCACCAAGATGGCGCCCAACCTGAACCCTATCCTGGTACACATACTATGTTCAGGTTGTGCGACATCTTGGTACACATACTTCGGGAGCACCCTTTGTTCGACTTATTTGTTGATTATAATGATGATGAGCTTTGAGTTATAATTTCTTTCAAGATGGAAGCTGGTTTGAAATCACACTGGCTCCGACCCTAGAATAGATTTTATTATTTGTATTACATATTAGAAAAAGGCGCTCCGGAAGTATGTGCACCAAGATGGCGCACAACCTGTTCAGGTGCACATACTTCGGGAGCACCTAGAAAATGGTTTGATGGTTAGGAGCTGAAACCACCTAAATTTTTGGTAGCGCCAGTTCCATTTCCATTTATTATGGTAAAACATGGCTCCAGCTTCATAACTGATTCTCGTCTCTTTCAGCTTATTAGTGTGTTCATATCGAATCCATGTGCAGCTATTTGTTACATCCTATTGTGATTTTACTTCCCCCAAGATAAATATGAAATTCCTTATCTTTGTCCTTTTTCGGCCGTTTATCAGCATCTCAAAAATGAACGATTATCGTATTTCACTGACCGTAAGGCGCACTTTAATTTTTTTTTTCTCAAAAATAAATCGAGTATCGTAAAAGCCAGTGCGACTAATGTAAAGATCAGCTATAATGCTTCATACTTTATCGCCTACAATCAAAAGCAATAACGGTACTGCTTCAAAATCTGTTGCGTCTTATAGACCAGGAGTGGGCAACCCCTGGCACGCTCATTTATTTGGCACGCGAGCGAGGCCTCGGAAACGAGATCATTCTCCTTCAGTTAAAGTGTTTCAAGACTCTGAATTATCTGATGAAACTGGGTGTTCGCTTATTCATTATCGTTTTTTCAACAATCCATTACTTTTTTCAACTCTTTTTGTCCTTTTATGACGTATGGCTACAAAGAAATATATCATGACGAAACGAATGAGTGGGCTTTTGAGAAGAGCGCCGCATTCATTTTGCTACATTCTTACATAATATAATTCGTCTGTGCCACCCTTTTTCTTCATTTCTGCTTGATTTTTGAAGTTGTAAAGCTGATGTTGGCTAGAGTTACTTGCTAACTTACTGTTATAAATTGATTTTAAATGAAATATAAGCAATTAGGGAAGGGAATACAAGAGAGGAGTGCAGAAAACGAATTATTGCATGATTGGGATGCCATTCCCCAAAAATTTTTGTGTCTTAAAAACTTTGCAACTGCATTACTCTCCATGTTTTCTTCTACATATGCTTGTGAATCTTGGTTCTAAGTTATGAACTTCATTGAGTCTCGCAATAGGAGTAGCCTGAAAGATGAAACCAGTAGTATTCTCTGGGAGTTATAAAATATAAAATTAATGTAAAATCTCTATAAGTGGTAAGGCAGCAGCAGAAATCTCCTCGATATAGAATAAGAAAAGTAATCAAGTCTATTTGCGGACTGATATTTTCTCTGTCTGTACATGTTTAAAAGATTTACTATTGTGTATTTTTGCTTTGAAAGTGGCAAAGCATTGTTTTGAGTTTTGGTCGGCATGCGGAAGAATTTTGTCCTTAAATTTAGCCGATTTTGGCATGCGAGCCGAAAATGGTTGCCCACCCCTGTTATAGACCAACGTGCCTTATGTATGAATGAGAATCTAGACATTTTATTGAAAGTAAGTAAGTCTTATGATCCAGATAATACAGTAGTCTGCGTAGAAAAACTCAAATGATTAGAATTATTTCTGCCTCTTTTAGCCTGTTGCAACGTTCACACAACACCCAGGAATGGCCATGTCATCCTATGCCAGTGTGTTGAAACCTCAAACCCCGGCAACCAAGATTGCTAAAGAACTGAACAATGCCAAAGACTTCATTGATGTCTTAATCAGCGGACAAAATGCTCAAAAGAAAAGAAAACCTAAGGTAAGATATGGTTCTACGTGCACAATAATAATTTCAAATCTAGTGAACACAAAATGTTAATAAAATAAATGAGATAACTTTCTTTACCATTAACAAACAAACTCCTCAAAACAAATCAGTTAGTTCATTAGTTATGAGATGACGAAAGACAACAAAAATATTTTTTTTTTAAAATGACCCATAGGTCCATTAGGGATAATTCAACTCTGCCCACCCCATCATGTTCTAGACTGGCCGTCCTATGATTTATAGGTCCATTCATTGTGCAATAATCATTTGGTGCTCCAGAAGTATGCACACCAAGATGTCGCACAACCTGAATCTTTACCAGTACACACATACTGTGTTCGGGTTGTGCGCCATCTTGGTGCACATACTTCTGGAGGTCCAATTGTTTTAATTAAACTTACATCCTCTTCGTTTTTAGACTGGCCAATCTAATAAAGAGGAACAGGCTTCAACACCAGAACCTACTAAGTTTGGAATTCCATATGTCAGATTGAAATGTCCTTCACTTGACCTTGAAAAATTGGATGATGATGTCACATTGTTGCAAGTTATATCTTGGCAAAAGGTCTGTCATAAAATATTCCTCATATCTCACAAAAGTATCATTGCATGGATGTCCACAAACAGAACATACTCGATTGCCTAATATGATTCTACGAGACCAACTGTTTAATATTATTATTCTTAAAGATAAGTTTTTGTTGGTTTTATTAGTCCGTGTGCCAGTTGGCTACTCTTTTCTATTCTCAAGTTTAATCACAAATACTATTAAATCTGTCACAGGCCGAAGAAAATCAGCCATTCATATCAGTCATGGATTTTGAGTTCCATCTCCACAAAGATCTCAAATCTCCGATACTAATAGGAGTAAAAGTTGGCGGAGAAGGCTCGAATGTTGCCATGGAAACAGGAGCGCCAGAGAGTAAAGATGAAGAAATGTTGAATGTGAGTGCTTTTATATGATTGAATGTTTAACATATTGTATTTACTATAAATGTTCAATTTTTGTTATATTTAATGCTAAATTCATTTGGCTTTTCTATGTTGTTTACTTTTTGTTTCGTAATTTCTTTTTTTTTGTGTAAGTGCGTTGTCGAGTTTTTTTTCTGATTAATTTGGTACCACACGAACAAAAAGTTTGGAAACTGCTGCCATAAACCAATAACCTTCAGCGCCTATTCTGTTAGACCTAATGTGGTTTCGTTTTCGCAGGATGAAGTGGACGATCCACAACCATCAACATCAAATTTAAAACCAGATGAAACTGAATTATCGACTCCTTCCACTTCTGCAACCAAAGATACATTTTCATTGAAAAAAGATTGTATGAAGACAATGTTAGAGGTAAGATTTTCACAATTGGTGCATTTTCACATCTGTGCACTATATAAAATGTACAAGTGGTGTAAATGGTGCAGAAACAAAAGTTTCAACTTATGATGACTGAATCTAGTTGGAAGGAAATACAGTTGAGGTATTTTTGCGCATAAACACTTCACAAAAGGTGCGTATGGTGTGAGTGTGACAAGTGGTGCGGTTATACATACTATGCTGAACATGTTGTCGCAATAAAGGTTCAACAGACATGAGATACAATTAAATGAGATTTTTAGGTATTTCACATCCGTCCTTTATACATATCGTACAAGTGTGGCAAGTTGTTCAAAAAGTGTGAACAAGGGAGAAAAATGGGGCCAATATCATTTTTCCTTACCATTTAAGGACCAGTGGTATTGTCGTCGCTGTTTTTTCATCCTCTTTTCTTTTGTTTGGGGGGGGGGGAACCATAAACCAAATTTTATTACTTGCTCAAATTTTTTCAAATTTTGGTTGATGTTACATCCATCTCACTCCATGGGGCTGGCTTCATGTCATTTCTACCTAATTTCTGTTTTGTTGTGAATAAAACAGTGACAGTCAAAAAAAAATGAAATTTTTATAATACCACTTTAAATTCATTTTTTAGGTTTTTGCCAGTCTAGGAGGACTTGCCCTTGTTGCACAAAGATTACCAACCATGACCCTTGACATTGGTCACGAATCATCGAGCACCGATGATGCGAAACCGTCACCAATGCAACCACCAATAATGTCTCACATACAGCATCAAAGCATCGCAGAACATTTTGGCCATTATGGCAGCACTGTACCTGGATGGATGGAAGATGAGGATTGGTTTGGGGTGAGAATGAGGTTTTGATGTTTATAACAAAGATTCTAATCTGTTAATCATTCCCATATCTAACATGGACCGGTAACCAGACGAGAGGCCGTGGTTGGTCATATGATTGAGTCATTTTATAAGCTTTTCATTCAAGCGTATTTATGTTCCCGCATCACTTTTGTAGATAGGAGTGACTAACAAGTGTACGAGATTCTTTTTTTAGGGTGGAAAGGAAGGTCGCCCTGAACTATGGAGCTTTCCTATGTTATAATGAGGGCTCCATATTATGCTACTTATTTAGGATTCGTAGGCGGCAACTTCCACAAGAATGTTTAATAGTGTTTGAGTGATAAAAAAGAGTAATATTTGTGATAGGCCAGTGTTTCTCAAACTTTTTTGGCTGTTGGAAGGCAAATTGACGACGGAGATCTCCCTGGCGACGAAATAAATCGCAATTCCGATCTTTGTCCCACAGAGCATATAAACATTGAAGCGTCCAATCCAAAAGTACAAGAAAAGCAGTTACAAACGACCACTGACATGCTTGCAATTTATTTGTTTATTTGCCAATCACTGATTCAAATTATTGTTGCAGTTTGACAATGAGTTGGAAGCAGAACTGCCAGAAGAATTAGGACCAGTGGTGAAAATCCATCCGAAACCAGGCACGAAAAAGCCGCCAACTTCGGCGATTGTAAGCACAACGTCGCATCCCTGTGTACCAGCACACACGATGTCAGCATTGTGTTTGTTTTTACGTGTCCCCCACTTTGCAGATGAGTTTTTATCAGAACAGAAACAAGCCCGCTGTTTGCTACGTTTGATGCTCGGAGTACAAGATGATGGACAGGGAGGTGAGTATGTTATCTTTATATGAAGCATTTTAAGGACGTTGGATTGGGGATTAAATATTTATCCCGGGAAAAGGAAAGCTGTTAAGACTGCTTAATTAATCATATGACAAACTAAGGCCTCTTAGCCGGTTACTAGTTCATTCAGACACATGGACTTGATGGTGTAAGAAGCGGTTATGTGAACCACCCTACGACGATGAGAAGTCCAGCAATACTTTCGTACTTAATTATCCCTGCATGGGATTCGACCCTGCGAGTGTATTTCTAACTCTTAGCATGATGAGCCACACTACCATGCTTTCACTCTACACAAGACTTCTCAGGGCTGTGAAGTCTGAAGAAATTTACCACACGACCTGAGTTTGAGAACCACTGCTCCAGTCAATTCATTTCATCAACATGATATCTTTTACTTCAGAACAAATTTTGAAACTGGATCTTGCGCAATCATTACCTATGTTGCCATTCACTGCGATATGTTCTCTATTATCGAAGCACGGACCCGACTCGGCGTCAGGGATGTCTGTTCGTGAAGCAATGACTTATCAAACAACTTCTATTCATCTCGTACTAGCCTGCTTATCAAGATTCACTCATATTGAACCTAATGAGGATACGCCTGCTGGAAGGCTTCTAGCTTCTGTAAGTGCATATATAAATAGTAGATCCTTATCCTGTGTAGCTTGTAGTGCTGCGACCCTGGTAAATCTCAATCTTGGGATCACAGGATATTTGGCTTTTAAACGATACTAAAACGGTTTTCACTGTGCATTTTGTAAATTGTAGCAAATTGTCAGTTGAGGCTGAGCATGCATTTACAAATCAGAAATGGTTTTCAATGATGACACTCGATAAAAAATGCCAGAAGTTCATTTTTACGTCACTGAATTATTCAGACATTAACATCAATAAAACATCTTTATACAACTGTTTTAAATCTTTATGATTTTTTATTTATTTATCTTCAAAGTATTTTTGAACATTCCAGCTACTCCCAGAGCAAGAAACCGCGCCCATCAATGTTGCCCCGCCTTCTTATAAAGGACCAATCAAACCACAAGGAACCCCTAAGAAACCAATGGTCAGTGAAGGCTTAAAGCAAACTGAGAAAAACTACTGGGCTAAAGGAACAGGGTAAGTTATATGGATATTTTTCTCAACATATTTTAGCTAGGTTTGTTGTTTTTTAATCAGTAATTGTATTTTTACTTCATTTAATACATCTGTGAGGGCCGAAACTATATATGCTAATATATTAAGCTATGCTCAAATATATGGACACGTAGCGCCACCCAATGGCAATAATTTTGATGACGTCATAGCGAAAAAAAAGTAATAGCCTTCTGGAAAAAAAATTTATCTTCAAACACTGAAATTTCAAAGCAATTGGTTTTTCGAAGAGAAAAGAGATTTTTTAAAAATGATGGAGACAAATAATAACAATAACAACATAATATTGAGACGGTATGGACACCCTATACTTCTAAAAATCCTGATAGAAGAACGTAATTTAAGGTCACTTCATGAGAAAATGTATGTTTAGTTAAGTTTCTAAAAACTTTGCCTACAACCACATGATCAAGTTAATGAATGAGTAAAGTACTTTTTTATACATGATTCCCAAGTTTTTATGGTTTGTGACCCTCTCCAGGAGACTTTTAGCACTCATGGCCCCTGTTTATCATTCCAGTGGTATTTATATTGCTACTTTGTTGGTAGATTCCAAATTGCATTATGTTGAACAATTCATGCTCAACAAAATGAAAACATCCTGTGAAATAACCTTATCAAGCAATGAAACTAGGAAAAATGGGGAGTTTTTTGTAAAGAGAAAGTAAAATGAGTTTTGCGACTTGGCATTGTTCCCTTGGGGGTCATAGGTCCCCGGTTGGGAACCGCTGATTTATACTATTCTGTTCCGTTCATTCTTGCCAATTTACCTTTCTTAGGTTTGGAACTGGCTCAACAACCAGTGACTGGGATGTTGGTAATGCAGTAAAGAAACAGAAAAAAGATGAAGGATATATCACTGTTCTCCTGGAGGTAGGCAGTATTGTATTCATCTGTTTTTATTCATTAAAGTTACTGTCAGTCTTTTCTACATTATTGTTGCTATTGGGCTTTACCCCCAGAATATACAAGATTATGTTGATTACAGGGGCAGGGTCAAAGTTTAGATTTAAAAAGTTATTCTGTTTATCTGTTTTTGCTTAGTTCTTTTCATAAATCTGCATTTCTTAGTTTATAAAACCCTGCTCGAGATGGGCACGGTGTGTGCACCCAAGGTCTTTTAATCTGCAACTACAATGAAATTAAATATAAAGTTCTTACCACTGAGACATCGTGGCTGCATTCTTTTCTAAATATGCATTGTCCATTTGATAACTCACTGAATGGGGTTGCATGCATGTTGTTTGCACTCAGATTTTTTTAACCTGTGAATTTTTCATGGTTAGTGCAACATCCACAATTCTTGTAGGGAGCTCCTAATTTTGTAAGGGCCGGTATATTTTATGATAAGCCTACTAAGTTTATTTATAATAATATCTGACATAGTTCAGCGTTCACTGGGGGACCTGTATAAACACATTGAATATCAGTTCACCAATATTTACCAATTTTTTTTACAAATAATTTCATTTCAAACCTCATTTTTTACAAAAACTTCCATCCCATTCTCAGGTCCTGGCCAACTTTGTGTGCCCAGAACCAAAGGTCGAAGGTGAAAGTTCAGAGGGCAAACAACCAATTCCAATTGAAGACAAATTTGCAACTTCAATAACTGAACTACTTTCTGCATCTGGTTTGATACCAGCTATCGCCTCTTATCTAAGAAATGATTCTGGTGAGTTTTTTTTATGACAAACCTTCACTCTGAAAAAGGCTCCAAACTAGTGGTTCTCAAACGTTGGAGGGCGCCCCACATGGGGAACATTGACCTCCTTTTGAGGGAGCATAATTAGAAATAAAAATATTAGTCAGATTTGATCTTCCCTCGCCTTATTTTAGTATTCACATTTCTACATTTTAGATATTTACGTTACATCCATGTGTTTTCAACATGTTTTTTGAATAAAACATACTTTTGCCTCACTATCTGTTATTTGTAGCTTATTGTTAGCTAGTTATTTTTGAGGTGGGCGCGAGACTTGACAAATTCTAAAAAGAGGGTGCAAAGTTTGAGAACCACTGCTCCAAACAATTGGCAATTGATAATTATTACATTGTAGTTTAAAATAGTATTTTAGTATCTTTTTGAATGTATTACAGCCTTAAAGTTGAAAAAGGCATTGTTTTGTAGATAAACGGTGACTGGTATCTCAGCTGTCCTTTGCACTTATCGGTGGCAGTTATTTTGCTTGAAAACTTTTCGCTTCCAGCTATTTGTAAGCACAGTTATTAAGATTTGATTTGATGATTCATATTCTGGCCTCTGGGCTATGATAAGTATGGTCTTCTCGATAAACAATCAGGGTAAACTTTGAAGCATCAGATTCTTTTCATAAATACCAACCTGCAAATGACATCTTGGAGGCCATCTTGTTATTTTCTACAATTTTATTTGTTTCAGTACTTGACATGGCTCACCATGTTCCTTTATACTGTTCTCTGTTGAGTGTTATTCGATCATTTGCTGTTTGTCCCGTCCTATGTCGCCTCCTGATGGATTCAAAGATGACAAGCAAGCAATCTCCAGATGGCAGCAAAGAGAAATCATCAAGTTCAGATTCAATTCTCTCACTTTTGTCAAAAATGAGGAAATGTATAGATACATATGCAAGCAGGTTAAAGTAAGTGAACTTAGCTAAGATCTTTATTGTATTGTTTTTTAATGTAGTAGTCTCAGTCACTGCCATGATCGTAGCCAACCCTAATTGGATCTTGTGTAGTTTAGTGCTACAAGTATTTCTTCGGCGCAGCGGTGTGGCTCAACGGGCTAAGCGTTAGGAATACGCTCGCCACCGCACCTCTAATTACTCTGCGTGGGTTCGCAGGTTCGAATCTCATGCAGGGATGGTTATGTGCGAGAGGATTGCTGGACTCCTCGCCGTCGTTGGGTGGTTCACGTAACCGCTGGTCGGTTACGGCTTCCTCCACCAACAAGTCCATGCTTCCGAAAACCAACAATATAACTAATCCCATACCCGACTTGGAATGGTAACCGGATGAGAGGCCGTGGTTCGCCATATGGATAAGCCGTCTTATCGGCTTTCCTCTCCCCCGGGATACATATGTATATCCTATCCTAGTGCGGTTGTCATAACCATTTTTTCATAGATTATTCCGAACTCCTAGCTGACTACTCATGGATTACACAATCAGATGGGGGTTAGGAATACCTAAACTACACTTGACCTCCGAATTGTTGGGAGAATGCAAATTGTATAATGCCGCAATACAAAACTTACTCATTCCTTTTTCTCCGAACAAAGTCAGATGAAAGCTGCCCCTTATATCTAGAAATATCCTAAAGCAGCGATTGCCAAACTTTTTGTTTGTGCGGCGCCAAGTGATGCATGCGTAATTTGTGGTACGTGCTACACAAATTATTATTACTAACTCATTATATATAAATAAATATGCTTAATAGTTTCATTGAAGGATATCGTTTGTTTTTCTATTCCAGAGCCATTAATACAACATTAGAAAGCCAAGGAGAAGAAGGTTTGACATCATTTGTGTTGAACGTGCAAAAAACAGAATCAATGTTAACGAAGATTGCTAAAGAACTCAAATTGAAAGGTTAATTTTCTTGCAGTATTTTAAAAGCGTTCTCATCAATTTTTTTGTTATATCTGACGCTTTTTACGCATTTCATTCAAAGCCCTATACTAGAAACTACTTATATTTAACCTGGTGTAAGGAGTTGCTATTTTTGTAAAATGGAATTTTTTCTGTTTGACGCCCCTGCCAAATTTATTGCATACATCCTGGGTAAGATGGTGGGTCTGGAATATGAACTTATCAGCTTACACCCCTTTACGCAGGGCTCACAAGCTTATTAAAGCTCAATTGGAAGGAACTGAATCATAATTTTTGCGCTTGAATTTGTTTTAGCTCAAGCTCAAAGCCTCATCTTTGAGTATCTCATCTTGCTACTTATCATTGAATGTTTGCCTGTGTAGGGCTTCTAGATTGCATGTTTTAGGCATTCAAAGTGTTGGCAAATTCCTGGAATTCTTGTGTTTGCGCTGTGTGTTGTGCTCTTTTTTTTACCATGGTTTCAAAATAATACATCTATAATTCATTCATCTGATCTGGTAAAAGCATTTCTTATGTTTCTCAGATTCCCAGCGAGCACGGAACTCAAACTCAACAAGCAGCACAGACTCTGGACGTGCATCGCCCTCCGGTGTGATTAAACTTTCTCTCTCGTCTGATTCGTTAGAAAGAAGATACATTGATGACATGAAACAATTGCAATTTGATACTTCGGAATTAGTGGTAGAAGAAGACAATGGTTAGTACATCAATTCCGAATCTTTTTTCATTAGGTTCTTTTGTTAGCGTTCCCAGAAGTATGTGTACCAATATGGAGGAAACAAATTTTGTTCGCCTATTTTACATGAAGTTGTGTAAAAGACGCAATCTATGGGCAGGGGGTTTATTCACGAGAACTAAAATGAGGAAAATCGGAATAAAATTGTGGCGTAACCCTAACCTGGTACACACACTATGGGAGTACTGTACTCATTTTTTGTCTGTTTTAAAATTCTTTATTTCTCCCTCATGCATAAAAATTGTTTTATTCATTACTTATCGATTTTAATCGGTAAGTATGTTGATAGGTATTTGTCTGTCTGTATGTCTGTTAGATGCACGCGATATCTCACGAAAGCGAGATTGAATCTGCTCCAGATTTCTCATGTGCATTCATCTTATCTCGGCCCAGAAGCCTATTGATTTTGCGCGAATTATGTCGTATAATTAGCGAGTTATTAATTAATTAGTGATGGGACACAAGGTGTCACTATGGAGTAAGAGCGTTGTTTTGGGGGATCCCCTAACTTTCGATCGATAAGTCTTCGGTCTCTGACCGATATTCTCATTTAATATTTAATAGATTCTTAGCTTGTGTTATGCGCAATTCCAATACGACAGGTTATGTTTAAAAAGATGCCCAGATGTATAGAAAATACATAGCGTTTTTTTACTCTAGTTGTCGTGTAAAGTCTTGCAGTTTGGTAATTTTTTAATTTGTTGTGTACATGGAGATTGAATGTTTTTTTGTGGCTCGGCTGGATATCTGAAGTTTGCTATACAGCCCAAATGACAAAAAATGTTCCACACCACCGCCCCTGCCTATACAACTTGTTACACACTGGCAAGGTGGTAGACATGAAATTTGACCTAAGTTATGTAACTTGCAATGCCAGGCTGAAAACTTTTCAATTTTGAAAATGTATATTCATTAGTTAACATCCTGACCCCAAAAAACGGAACCTGTCAGATATGTTTTGAATGGACTGGGTGTTAACTTGTGTTCTCATTCACATTTTGTCTGGTTGGTTGTCATCTTGGAATAACATGCTCTAATCCCATTTCCCACTCTTTAACTGACCAATGACAGCACAGCATGATGTTATGACATTGTGGGAAAAACCACTAAAGCATGCTCCCAGGGTGTAAATACTGTCATGCTGGTCTTCAGAGGTCATTTAGTACTTTAGTATAGAAGAGAGGCAACATGTGTCTTATGTCTGACTTTATATTTTCTGTTATTTGTGGTGGCAATTATTTTCTGTTTTGGTTGAGTGTTGCTTGTATTCAATAAAAAATTAATTTACACCAACAAACAGTGGGTTCCATTTTTTGGGGTCACCCTGCATTTTCTAGGCTTTCCTCTAATTGACACTCACTTTCATTATTTCAGGAAAACTGCGCTTTCCGTCTGGACATCACTACGCATCCCACATCAAGGATGCAGCAAATGTTGCAGACGCATCAAGGGCAAGAAGACTCGCACAAGAAACTGTGACGTTATCAAACTCATTGCCCTTGTCACACAGTTCCACAGTATTTGTGAGGTGAGAGAATTTGTATCATAACTATCTGTGTGAATGTATAGGGCAGCTGATTCCAAAAATTTACCTTCTGAACAGAGTTTAGCGAACGCGAGTGTTTTTTTCTAGTATTTCAAAGGAAAATCAGGCAGAGATCAGAAAGAAAGCCTTTATTTATTAAAACAAACCATGATTACAAACTTTGAAAGGCATAAAGTACACTTCAACAATCTCTAAATTGAGTTTTTTAAAGACATTATTTTTGTGTGTGAGTGCACTGTAAGTATTTTTTTCTGATAATTTGGCGTAATGATTGAAAAGTTTTGAGATTCAATACTAGAACTGGGCATTTTCGAATATCTGATAATTTCAGAATCTCGGATACATAAAAGATATGTGATTTTATTTGTTTTTATTATTGTCATGGCTCCTCCAGACACATAAATTACTGTAAACATTGTATTTTTCAATCAGACGAACAGCTGTTCGAACGTTAAAATAAATTTCCCTAAAAGTAATTATGAAAATCATGGGTTCTGTTTCTGGGTCACCCTGTTAATAATATTTCCTTTATTTCAGATGTGATGAAGAAAGACTGGATGTTATGAAAGTGCTGATAACCGGACCATCTGAGACTCCGTACGCCAATGGATGTTTCGAGTTTGATGTTTTCTTCCCTTCAGATTACAACAATTCTCCTCCGCTTGTTAACTTACAAACTACTGGAAACCACAGTGTTAGATTTAACCCAAATCTCTATAATGATGGAAAGGTTTGTGTTTCACTTGCCATATGCCTATACTTCATTTTTCAAAAATATTATTTCATTCCGGTAATTTATTCTATTTTCCATCCCTGGTGCAAGCTTCGATATAATTTCTTGCATGACAACTTCTCTGAAATTCCATCCGGTGTGTTTGTAAGTCTTTTTAGGCGCTCCGGAAGTATTCATACCAAGATGACGCACAACCTGAACAACCCTAACCTGGTACATGTACTATGTTCAGGTTGTGCGCCATCTTGGTACGAATACTTTGGGAGCACCACTTTTTGTACCATGGCGTAGATCAAAATCAATGGTCTTTTTACACAGTATACCACATCCATTACCCATTTTGCACCAAAAAATGTTGCGGTTAATTTGATTCCAGAATTCCTCACTTCAAGTCCAGTGATTTCTTTTTGACTATTTCAATTCAAGATTTTTTTTATTCAGGTTTGCCTCAGTATACTGAACACTTGGCATGGAAGGCCGGAAGAAAAGTGGAATCCACAGACATCTAGTTTCTTACAGGTAAGATATTCTTCTTTTGCCCAGTAAATTTTTAAAAACGCTACGTGACCCTTGTAAGGCATCTAAAGTTAATGAATTACTACTCCAGAAGTGTGTGTACCAATATGGAGATAACTAATTTTGTTAGCCTACTTTACATCAAGTTGTGTGAAGGGACTGAAACCTATGGGCAGGGGGTATATTTGCTTGGCTAACACAGACAGTCCCGAACTCGTAATATAACTAAAATAAGGAAAATCGGAATAAAATTATGGCCTAACCCTAACCTGGTACATACACTAGGGGGAGTTCCCTACTTTCTGTGCCCTAACTGACAGACATACTATATGTTGCAGTTGACTGTATGTACTCATCCTAGTGTCGTGCCAATCCATATTTACTATTGCATACTGCATCACCATATATCTACGACATGTCCGTGGTCGCTCATAACTTAGATGAGAGTTTCTATTACTTGTGAGTGAGTCTGCATAATGCAGTACCATAATCCTATATGGTTTCGATGGCTCTTAGCAATTCAGTGGTGCACATAGCTTTACACAGAGATGAGTATTCATTATTTTTTAAATTTGAGTGCAGGCAATGCACAACCATAGTTCTATATAGTCTCTATTCTATATACCAGATTTGCTCGTTTTGTAGCCCGGGCCCATATTTTTTTAACCATACTCACTAACCGACCCTTATTCAAGCACGGGCGCTTGTTATTTTTTAAGTAAAATTATACACAAAAATTACAGTATCTTTGAAGACAAATATTTGACGGCATTAATTCGTTATGACAAAAGCGCTTCTTATTTCCTATTGTTCTCTACCACTGAAAAATCAGCTTTTACATCGGGCGGATATTCAAGCACCGGCCCTTATTTATTATTATGTTCTGTTCACACGGGCGGCTATTCAAAAGGGCCCTTAATCAAGATCGGGCAGTAAAACGAGCATATACGGTAGTAGCTATTGGCATTTCAAAGGTTGCACATAACTTGACTCGGTGATCAATCTTCTTTACTTCTGAGTGAGTACACATAACCTTGCTTTGAGCAAATTTTTTCAGTATTTTTTGGCATTTCAGAGGTCACCGGTAACTTTTCACAGAAATGAGTTAGCTCCCTCTGAGTGAGTGTGAGAGATAATCTCGCTTTGAGCACAGTTTCTTAAATAAAAACACATGCGCACTCATTTAAAATAATTACTCTCTTATTAAATTTTATATGAATAAACTTTATTTCTCCTAGATCCTAGTCTCAATTCAGTCTCTTATTCTCGTATCGGAGCCTTACTTCAACGAACCCGGTTACGAGAGGTCTCGAGGAACGCCTGCTGGGAAACAGAGCAGCCAGGAATATGATTCCAATATTCAACAAGCTACTGTGAAATGGGGAATGCTGGAACAGCTAAAGAACCCTTCACCCTGTTTCAAAGAGGTTTGTTTGGATATATATCAAGCACTTAGGCTTGACCATTACATTTATTCTATTTGTCTGCTTTAAGTATTATATTGTTCTTGTGTAATTGATGTAATGGCATTGCGCGAATCAACCAGTATCCTATAAATCTTTATGGCTTTTCACATTTCCGTATTTTATTTATACTCTATCATTGTTGTTTCTATGTAGTTTAGTTTAGTATTTTGAAAGCCCAATTCTTTTTCTATATCTGCTTCTGTAATTCAGCATATAGGTGTATAAGTAAATATAGATGACTCGATAGTCCAATTAGTTGAGAACTCTCTCTTGAGAATAAACAGAATGTACTCACATACCACCTGGAAGATCCTCGTGTACTACAGGTTGGGAATCACTGCAATAGAGTTATTTATTAATCATGTGCGAGAGGATTATTAGACTCTTCGTCGCCATATAGTGGTTGATGTAATCGTTTGTCGGTTACAGCTTGTCCATGCAGCTGAAACACAAAGCTGGCTAAACTAATCTCATACCAGATATGGACAGGTCATAGGTAAGAGGCTGTGGTTGGCTGTATGATGAAGCCATCTTATCTCATTCCAGGTTATTGAACACCACTTCTGGCTCAAACGAACAGAAATCCTCGCTCAATGTGATCAGTGGTTAGCTGATCTTAAACAACAAGCAAATGAAAGACATGGCCGCAGAAATATCGCTCATAATTATACAGCATTGCAGAGGCATGTGACACAACTTCAAGCTTTATTGACGAAAATGAAATGCCCTGAAGGTTTGGAGGACACTCAGGTGCAAGAGTTGGAGAACACCCAGGTAGATAAAGTAAATCTATGTACTCCCAAGATGGCGGACATTAGAACGTGGAATATGTACCAGGTTGAGCTTAGGCCATAATTTCAGGTACAAATACTACGAGAGTCAATTGGCTAGTTCCTGAACTCGTAATAGAACTAAAATAAGAAAAATTAGAATAAAATTATGACCTAACCCTAACCTGGTACACATACTACGTTCTACCACGTTCTGCATCTTTGTTCACATACTACGGGAGTGCCTAAATCTGTGGTCACAGACCATAACAGATTATACATTTTATCCCTCGTGGCTTTTCCCACTTATGGGGTCACTGTTTATCATTCCAGTGGTATTTATAGTGTTATTTTGATTGGTAGATTCCAAATCCCATTATGTTCAAACAATTTCAACAATAAAAGTGAAAATGCCCTGTTGAATAACCTTATCAAGCAATGAAACCAGAAGAAAGAACGAGTTTTTCTTGTTAAGTGAAATATAAAATCAATTTTGCGTCTAGCATTGTGGCCCCTCCCAATCGCTCTATGGCCCCCTGGTTTGCAACTGCTGGTCTTCAAGAGGTGTTTAATACTGGTGGGTAAAAATAGTTTTTGGAGTATATTTACTTCAACACTCTGAACAAGGCTGTACGATTCGTTTCTCACTTCAAAGTTTTGTGTGATGACGTCATTCATATTGAAAATTGTGTACTCCCGAAATATATGTACCAAGATGGCGCACAACCTGAACATAGTATATGTACTAGGTTAGAATTCAGGTTGTGTGTCATCTTGGTACAATACTTCCGGAGCGCCAAAAATTGTGCCCTGTGCCTCGATAACGTGATCACATCTCAATGTTCTGCTGGTTATCAGATTACCGGTACTGTAAAAGATTTCATACTACTTTGTTTGGACCGTCGTGTCTATTTGTTTTAAGCATTTATCTCTTGCTAAAGTATTGTCATTGTAAAACATTGTCTTTTTTAGGGTGAGACAACGCAAGAGTCATCAAAAAACCAGGACATGACAGAAAATGATGCCTCCTCTTCAGAGCAAAATACAGCTTCGGATAGTACGAAAGTTCAAGTTTGGGAAGTTTGAAAATTGGACTTTAGCTTCACAGAGAGAACACGCCGGACTGTGATTTACCTCCACGCCTCTATAGGGGGTGGCACCCCTTCCCCCTTATAAATTTCGAACATCCCCCTTAATTTTGAGGTCTGACACCACAATCTAAATTTCTAATTTAAATATAATTGAATATTCAGAAAGTGGCTCAGATGCTCGTGTAGATGATCATGAAAATACAACATAGCATTTTTATGTTTTACAAATAGTTTTAACACTAACAGTAAAATTATACCAGTTCTGTAGATTTGGAAACGCTTCTCCCTAAAATGAAAAGCTGGGAACACGGATTCAAACTTCATAGTGCTAGCTCTGTGTTACAAAATTTATGACTACAGTTATACAGGGTCTCCATAAAGTAAAAAAAATCAAAAGGTATTTATTGCTAACCAATGTCGTTTGTTGGCCTTTACAGATGTATTAATTGAAAATATTTGAACAATTACTGATTAAAAAACAACAAACCTGGTTAACATATGTTGAGAACTGACTTCATAACAGAATTGAAATTGTAAAGGGACTTTATGGACACCCTGTATCATTACAATATTATTATGAAGCAGGTTCTTGTAAATATTTGTGATGCGTTTTTAGTGCAATTTTCTTTGCTTCTAGAAAGTTCCACGTTTCCTAGTCCTTGTATTATAGAAAATAACTCAAAAATATTGGACCCCATAATTTCCTAATTACTTTCTTCTCCCTGTGACGTGAATAAAAAATTCGGCACAAGATGACGCACAACCTGAATCCTAACCTGGTACACATACTATGTTCAATGTTCATAGACTTGAAATATTATTGACTTCTTCTTTGAATAAGAGTTATGTTAATTTTTAAATTCAAAAATCAGAATTATTCTCTCACACCAGTGTTTCCCAAACTTTCATGATTTGGACCACAGACTCTCAAAATTTTTTGCTTTTCAAATTTCAATGTGGTTTCATTAGTTATTTCATAATGATAAAGTATCCTTTTGAATCAGAAACTAACTGAAGAAGAAATAGATTTTTGCCTTTGACTCCAGGCATGGATGGGTTTTTGGTGTTCATAGCATCTCTGTATATAATGCAATTAAAATTATTTTGCAATTTCGGCGCTGTCCCGAAAATGTTATCCCAATTGTGTGAATCTCATTCCATATTAATTCCCAAACCGTCAGCCAAAGGATGTACAGCTATACTGACACAAGAGCGTCGCTTCATATGATTACTTAATCCCACCACATCTATATCTACTGTAACTCAAAACAGTGGAACAGAAGTGCTGAAAATAGACAGGTATAGGGCATGACACTTTTGAAACACGTCTATTTCGGCATGAGATGATGTGCTACTATCTAGTTTTTTAATTTGTGTGTTCAGTATAATTAGGTGATTTGTGATTATTTTTTCGTTCAAAATGTGTAAAATTTCTGCTTTTCGTCTTTTATTAATAATTAAAAAATAACCGGAATATAAATCAAAGCCTGATGACACTGTTTTTGCTTCGGGGATTCATAGGAAAAGTTATGCTTTACATCTGGCTATGAACAAGACTAGGCCAGGGTTCATGACCTCCATTCTCTCTATTTGTTGCCAATTTCAGAAGTCAGTCGCATATTTTTTATAATTTCACTTCTACAAGTGGCTCACTGGTCATGAAAACGACTTTGGAAGAAGTAATTGCGGCGCAAACCATTAAAAACCATGCCTGACAGGGACTGGTAACCGGGCCAGTCAGTATCTCTTACCGGTTTCCCTCCTCCGGGACAGATATTAAACCAAACATTAAAAACCATGCCTGACATGGACTGGTAACCGGGTCAGGCAGTATCTCTTACCGGTTTCCTCCTCCGGGACAGATATGAAACATTAAACCAAACATTAAAAACCATGCCGGACATGGACTGGTAACCGGGCCAGGCAGTATCTCTTACCGGTTTCCTCCTCCGGGACAGATATGAAACATTAAACCAAACATTAAAAACCATGCCTGACATAGACTGGTAACCGGGCCAGTCAGTATCTCTTACCAGTGTCTTATCGGTTTCCCTCCCCCAGGACAGATATGAAAATCCTATCGTGTAAATTAGAATGTATTGAGATCAAATATGTACAGATAAATCACACACATATTAATAACAAATAATAGGGTGGAGGTCCATAAAGTCTCTTAACAATTTGAAAAAATTATTACAAAGTGAAATGACGAGACATCGTAATGAGGGTTGTTTGGATTTGTAGAGATATGACCACCACGTTTATCAAACATCATTCCCTGTACTTCTTTTTTTAATAATGTGAAGGATATTGTGAATCAAACAAAAGTACGGGACGTGACTGGCCTAAAACAAAGAATTTCCAATGCTCTTGCAACCAATAATGATGTGGCTATACTACAACGAACATGGCATGAAATTGAGTACCATCTAGATGTGCTTCATGCAACTAATGATGCCCGTGTTACATATAGTAATGATATTTTTAATTGAATGTTTAGAGATGTATTAAATGTGTCAATAAAAATTTAAAAAATACAGATAAACAAAAACAACTCTTATTGTGATATATTATCATTATGGACACTCTTTATGTAAATCGGTATATTAATATATATATACAAGAGTTTTTCAACTTACAAGAAGGGTGGGAAGAGAAATTAAAAAGTATGCACAAAATTTCAATTATTATATTTCTAGTCGGTTGGCCTTGGATTAAAATTGAGTGTATCCTCAGTAGATTTTTTAAATTGGGCTCATCAAATTCATTTAAAAGATTGATCAACACGTTTAAATGAAAGAAACTTTGCATGCAGATCAGATTAAAAATCTGCCTATGCTAGAAAACTTTTTAAATTTAAGATGTATTTTGATACCTTTAGAAATTCAGATGCTACTATAAACAATGGAAAGTGCGAAAGTAAAGTGTGGATGTCATAAGGCCAGATAAGCAGAATGTTATTCATGAATAACCTTTCTATTTATTTTCGACAAAACATCGCAGCTATCGCAAGCTGCATAAAATTGTCTTCAAGGCTGCAGTTTTTTCTACACCCCACCTAAAAATAATTACTCAGCGAAGCATTATGAGACGATCAGTAATCGATTATTACTACAGTAATGAGCAATTAATGGCAAATCTAAAAAATATCATACAAATCATGATAATTACTCTTTTTTTAAAACTACTTTTTGGATTTCATCTTTTTCTTGATGAAATCCTTAAGCTTGACTGCGCCAGCCACAACTCCACCCAGCACCAATCCCACTAAACCCAGTGGTGTCCAGGCGGGAGGAGTGACGTTTATCGCTCCCATCGCTAAATACTTTCCAACTGTAGCTTTATCTGCTGTGACAGACCTATATTCTCTATTCCCCTCATTCTGTAATTCGGCCTCTTCGGTTTCCTTTCTTATTTTTTCCTTTATTAATTCTTTAATTGCTTCATTCCCCTCTTGAGCGTCAACTTGTTCAATGTACCGCTGCTCAACCAGTTCAAAACCACCGGTTTTCACGTAAGCTTTCAGCATCAGCTTAAAAATGTATTTATTGTATTAGAATAGCCAAAGTCCCACGCAAAAGGTGCAATGAAATGTGTAGACAGTGATGGATAGGACAGGATCTGCATATTTATCTCAGGGATAAGGAAAATCGATACGATGGCTTATCCATAGGGCGAACCATGGCCTCTCGTCCGGTTACCATGCCATGTCGCGTATGGGATTAGTTACTTGTTTTCAGAAGCATGGACTTGATGGTGGAGGAAGCCATAACCGACCAGCGGTTTTGTGAACCAGCCTATGACGGCGAGGAGTCCAGCAATCCTCTCGCACAAAACCATCTTCACATGGGATTTGAACCTGAGAACCCACGCAGAGTAATCAGAGATGCGATTGCAAGCAAATTCCAAATGCTTAGCACGACAAGCCACGCCAGGTCTTTGAAAAAATGAGTATTGCACTAATGAGAAAACATATAAAATGATGCTCACCTCTCTTGAGACCTCTCGATACTCCAAAACATACGCTTCCACTGCATCGTTCACTCTTTCCTGCAAAAAATCAAATTTAAGCATTTTTTACTTTTTCCATGTACTAGGCGCTTAATGTATTTTGGAGATTGTTTTGCCTGCCTTTTTACATTATACAGAAAGTACATAGATTGTATCAAATTCTAAAAATTGAATTTGGCATATTCCAGATTTTATTCATTGTTAATATCTTATGCTGTTGATGTTTTTTCACCAAAGGTTTGTTACTTAGTTGAAGTCACAAGTGAAAAGTCCAGACATGTCTATTTAGCTCAAATGAGTTACTCTTGGGTGGCTTAACTATCTGAACCAGGAGTGATCAAACTACCTCCAGAGGGCCAAATCCGGTCCGTTGGGTAATTCAATCTGGCCCGTTTGATTCTGCCACAACCAAACTAAAACCAAATTTTGATGTTCTAGCTATAAATAATATATCAAGGAATTTGTTAAGATTGCGTTTAAATTTAGTTTTTGTACAAGGCTTATTGTTCTCAACTTTGCATTTGTAATACTGTATGAACTTTGTTCATAAAATGTCACTTTTACGTCACACTTAAATGGCCCGCTAATGGCAAAATTTTTGGCCCCTGGTCTAAAAACCTTGCTCACCTCTAAACAAACAAAAACACAGCCCAACCATGTCAACATTGACAAGATATGGGGGCCACCATGTTTAATGTGTGTTTTAAAAGTTCGAAAAGTGAGTTATAGATGATCGTGCTGTATACATATCAAAGAATAGGTTTGTGTGTTTGAACGTATGCATATGTTTTTCTTAAGGAATGGAACTAAACTCATTTTTGTGTCAAATTTAAAGGATTTTGAAGGCCTTCCACACTATTTGAAACAGAATCCTTGTATACAACGAGCAGAAATATTTGTTTGGGCAACAATACTTTTGTGGCTGATAATTGGGACGTCTAACAAACTACTTTTCTCTTCACTGATTTGTGGAAGTAATTCTACTCTGTGTAATACTTACTCTGTTTTCATTGTTTCTTTGAATTCCTCTAATCAGTACCTCATGCATTTTTTTCTCCAAATTGATTCTTGCCTCCCATATTTCGTCATTAAAACAATCTCCTAGACATTCCGTTTTTATATCAAATTCTTCTAAAACTACTAGCATGGTGTCGTGGAAGATCATTTCGAAGTTTTCCTCATATCTATTCTCATACTGGAATTTAAATGAGAAAAGTAAAAGTTTCTGAAAACACCAGGTACCAAACTCCTAATGGAGATCAGGCTTGATGGTTAGGGAACCATGCTAAGTGATTGGAACATGTTCCATTGATGATTCTTCATCATTCTTCCTTGACCAAGTCCATACACGAGAACAAATTTAATAGGCTATTAGGCCTACTATACCTGAACTGAACAGGTAACTAGGAAATAGACTGTCATTATTCATATATTTGAGCCATCTGATTACTTTTTATTCGTATTGATGAATATCTTATATGTTTTAAAAAGTCACATTTTTCTATAGATCAGGGGTGACCAACACGTCTCGGGTATTCGATCGCGTCTGATGTTGAGTGAATTTAATAACATACACAAAAAATTGCCTTTAACCAGTTTCATGCAGCACCTGTGTGTTTCAAAGAAGGACTAATTACTGTACATGTGCAAAATACAATATGCATATAAAGTATTTGAGTCTGGGCAAGTCTGATATAGCGTAATATTACGTAACAAATGAAAGTTTCGCCGCTTTCAAGGTTTAAAAATGAAAGTGCCAAATATTGTGTGTCTTGGCTGACAAATAATCCTCGGACTTGGAGGAAATTGTAATTATGGTTTGAGACAAGCTTCAATTAAATAAAGGATGAAAATTAACTTGGGGTACAATTACATAATCAAATTAACAAATCAAATGGAACAAAAAAAGACAAGCATTTGTGGCGATTTTATCAAAAATGCACCCACAGAGTGAAACTTTTTGGCAGCGATGGAATTTTTTGTATGTGGGTGTGTAGTTATCTGCATATCAAGTACTACCGTAATTTGTTTTTTGGGCATGACCTTTTTACCGATCAGTCAATCACGAGCTATTTTGAAGATTTTAGTCGAACACAATTGAAAGCAAGTTGGCCACCCCTGCTATAGATGATCATGTCAGCATATCATACCGATTTAATCTTTCGAATAAATTCAATTGTTCTGATTTCAGAATTGACTTGCAGATTTCTTATGCTTAATCCCTGTAAAAAACAATGCATAAGAAAAAAAATTCCATTCTTCATGGAGAATATCGAAAAGGTAATACAACACTCATACACATTGTGTGTTTCGATGTATAAGCACACATGGCCTATATAATAAAGTATGACAGTTCATAAAACCTAAATTAGGTCATAGTTTCTGTCACCATTTAAGGTTATGAATTGGGAACAATTTTAGAAGCCTTTTTGCAAATTTTAACTTATCACTTTCAGAGTCTGACTCCTCAATCAAATTTTTGGTCTGGACTATCTGATATAAATAAATTTTGCTTAGTTCCAACTCCAATGTAGGAAAACGCCAAATTTTGACAGTGATCCACAGGTGAGCTTGTTGTACAAACTATGTTGCTATGCAAAATCTCGGGCTTAAGATCAATACCCATCTCATTCATGGGATGTAAAAAATCCAAAAAAAGTAGTTTCCCAACTGTATTTTGAGCCATGTTTCAGAAAGAAACTTGTCTTGAGTAAAAATTATTTTTCATCATTCAGTATACTGGTACTTGTATTGCATCAGATAAATAGAGGATTAATTTCAAACAAAAAAAGTTGATTTTCATTTAATCATTGACAGGATTTACGGGTCGTAATAATAATAGATGATGGATGAGTGATAAAATTTGTGATTATGAGATGCCCATGGTTTTGGAGTGTTCGCTTGTTCATCTTTATTTCCTCATTGCAACAATACACTGTGTTTTTATGAAACACTGGTATATGTTTTATTGTATAATTTGGATTCAGATCCTTTCCCAAAAATGTGGGGGGATTGGGGAGACCTCTGACATCTATAAAGGGCCTAAAGCTGTATACAGTTGAGTAATCACTGGTCTAAGTTAATATATTAAGTATTTGAATTTCACAAAACCACTTGTCGGTTGAGATTTAGTTTACAATCTGAATTGGTCTACAGGTGAGCTACAAACCAGCTTCAACTGATAACAAGACCTAATCAGACAGATTTTTTGAATTCTCTTCACACTATTCCTTTAACAAAATTTGTGGATGTGGTTAATATTGTTTCCATAGCCCACATATTAACATGAAGTTAGGGGCAGAAATCGGACAAAAAAAGCAGAACATAAAAAGTCCGGAAACCTCTTGTCTTTTTAAGAACTCTCTTTCATCTCTGGTTCTTTTATTCTCTGCTTCAATTTTCAAATAAACCTCATTAATTTCCTCCTCCAATTCTTCCTCATCTTCTGCAGTGTTTCTAAAAATTGTAAAGAAATGTTTTTTATTAAAAACGAAAGACTGCACACTTCTTGACCTGAAAGATTTGTATAAGAAATTGATATACTTTGACATAGGTTGTTAGGACATAGGTAACAAACAGTTGAATTAAATTATTTCATATTGCTTGAGCAAAAAAATTCATGTTCTTATTAAGCCAATAAACAACATATGACTAAATCATGAAAAATTGTTCCGATAAACAACAATCATTCTACTACATCAACGGTGCACAACCTGCGGCCGTACGACTTCATGCCGCCACCTTAAAAAAATAATGTGGCCGTCCACATACGAAATCCTATAAACAAAAAAAAAGTTCAAAATATGAGATTTGGCGGCTATGCTGGCGTATATTGAAGCAAAACAGGAGGACTGCAAAAAAGTGAGGCGACACAATGCGTCACAATCAGGGTGGTGTATTTGCTGTTGGGGATTTCCCTTCACGGTTCAGATTGATCACGCGTTTTGGCAGCCTAGCAACGTAGCAAGCTAGCCTAGCAAGGCATCCGCAGCTTACAGCCGAGGAAATTGTAGCATTTCTAATTGATTCTGACTCTGATTTGTATGACAAGCCTGATAGTGAATCATTAAAATATTTGACATTTTATTATACTTTTGGGGACAAGAAAATAGGGGCGACCGCCCCTCCCCCCCTCCTCCCCGACTTTTGATTTTTTTTCAAAATTGTGCAACCATTATGCAACTTGCTGCAATATATCTGCTCAAGAATATATCCACCGAAAAGAAAAATCTGTTTAAAATGCGAATATTATACTTCCAAGTAGTCCTACATACTTCATTATTGGGCAGACTGCACTTCGCATGGGTCAAATACGCGGTTATGACGTCATAAAAGCAAAATATTTCGCCCCCGGCACGCTCATCAACCCCCTTGAGGCCGTATTGGATACAAGTACCGGTAAATGCAATGTGGCCGCCAATAGCAAAAAGACTGTGCACCCCTGTACTACATTATTGCGCTGCCGCATATTAAAAGATATTTTACAGAGAAGAAAAAGCCAGTGAGCTGTCACAACCCTATGGCAAAATCATCGCCTAAAAATTGTGAAGTGGGATAGTTAATTAGATTATCAATTCAGATACAAAAAGTTGGAAGATTTAGGAAGCTGTATCTGAACAGCAGTTACTTAACCACCTTGCCAGCACCAATATGTCAAAGCTACCAAACCTGCATATAACCGGGTACAACAAACATGTTATTTAATCAACACTTATACTGTCCATATATATTACATACTTTGAGTTCATTAATCTTGAGAACTTCTCTAGTACATCTGCTAACATCATGCTATGTTGCATTTCCATGTCATCATCCTCAGGACAGTAGCGTTCAGTCCACTGCATAAAATAGGAGTTGGTAAAACAACAAATGTTAAACAACAGCAAAAAGTGCTTAAAATGTTATTTTGCCCCAAACTATTTGCATTACAGAACAACAGAAAACTCAATTATGTTGTCAAATGTAATTTTTCAAAATATGAGAAAATAAAACCAACTATAATCTCAAGTTTCACTTGTGAGGAGTACAAATTTAAAACTAATGAAACTGGAAATCTTTGACATGTAAATACAAACACGAAGCTACTTTCTAAAAATTATTTTTCAACTTCAAAAATTATCCACTTTGGCATGAATTCTCAAATCTATACAATAATTTTTTTCCAAGAAATTGTTTGTTCCAAAAAAGCTCTATGTCCTACTTACTTCCATCATGGTATATTCATATTCATCTGTCAAAGACTTGATGTGTCTTCGTTTCTGAAAAAAAAAAAAATTATTCAAAGCAACGTGCCCGCATCTTCATATTAATATAAAAACTCTTGCCTGCAACCGCCTAAGATAGGGTTGTTGTATGAGAGGAAAAACTATAAGCAGGCTTATCCAGAAAATTGTTTTCTCCAAATAGGAGTCAAAATTTTTTATTTTTGAGACACTAAAACTCCAATTTTTTTTACTTTGAGCTAGCATTACCAGGCTCTATGTCCTACTTACTTCCATCATGGAATATTCATATTCATCTGTCCATGACTCGATGTGTCTTTGTTTCTGAAAAAAAAAAAAGATTATTCAAAGCAAAACGTGCCCTCATCTTCATATCAATATAAAAACTCCTGCCTACAACACCCAAGATAGGGTTGCTGTATGAGAGGAAAAACTTTAAGCAGGGTTACCCTATTGTGTTTGTTTCTAAGATTTGTGCTTATTTTCTAGTCCGCCTTATAAAGTAATGATGTGCTTATTTCTAAGAAAAGTGTTTATTTTTGAGTTGAATGTTTATTTTGCCATGTAAACATGAATGACTTATTCATGTTTTGTGTACGAAGCTTTTGTGGAAACGAATGACGATGCTATCATTATACGAAACGCGTATTCGCGCTTTACTGTGTAATTATTGTGACATAATAATAATCCACATTCCACTGTTCCCTCATGCCTCGGACTCGCTCACTCTCAGCCCAAACTGTTTCTGTTAACAGGAGTGACAAACCATAATTTATACAATGAGTAAGTGTAAGTAATAGTTCTGTTTCGAATATGAAAAGGAATTTGCTAATGTCAAATAAAGTCGAAAGGGTAAGAGCTATGCCCATTGCTATTGTGACATCGATATCAACCTACCTAGAGGCTATGAAGACTACAACAATTAGTGCACACAATACTACCATAAAACATAAGAATTTTGCAAAAAGCATTGCTGGAAATCCAAGTATGAAGACTTTATAGCAGTGTGGCTTCGATTGGCAAATCCCTAATTTCATTGTGTTCAAACAATCCATGCGCAACAAAGTAAATACAAGAATGAAGCAAAGCAATGAAACTAGGAAGAACGAAGTGCTTTCTAGTGAAGTGAGTGAAAAAAAATTCAGTATTGCGCCTGGCATGATAGCCCCCCTCAACTTCTCTGAGGTCCCCCTGGTGGGCCACGACCGCCCAATTCGAAACCATTGCTTTAAAGTTTGCGTGTGGCTGGGACTCCGGGCCTTTCCATGGCCTTTTGCGATTTGCGGGCTGCATACAACCTTGTTCGAAGCGACCTCTAATAAAAAAAAATCAAGTGGATAAAAATTGGGGGTGCGTAAGAGACGAGACATTTCTTTCTCATTTTTAACCTGCATTCCTGGCGTTGTTAAGTACCCCCAAAAATAAATCTTTTTGACACCCGTGCTTAATTTGGGAATTAGACAGATGGTGATTCTGTCTAAAAGGCAGGGGTGGGCAACTTCTCTAGTCGGCGGGCCAGATGTGGGAAAATGAAGTCCTCGGCGGCCGGATTATTACAAAAAAAACTTCGGACCTCCTGAAGTATGCGCACCAAGATGGCGCACAACCTGAACTCAGGTTGTGTACCAGGTTAGGGTTCAGGTTATGCGACATCTTGGTGCGCATACTTCAGGAGTATCAAAACTTCGGTATCCGATCCTTGTTAAATGCTCGACACTCTCTGTCAACTTTACGTTTCTTGGGATATTCCATGGTTAATGAAATTAATATAAAATCCAATTTTCAAAATCTATTTCTATTTAGTATTTAAATATAACTGATAACAATAGTGGGGAATGTTTACAACGCTATCTGCTTTGACCTTATATTGTTTGTTCAACAAGTGCGCTGACGCAATTGTTTGTTACCTAAGGCGAATGTTTAGTCCACCAGCTTGCACTGACAGTGCGGTGAGAGCAGTGGTTCCCAACCTGTGGTACAAGGAAAATGATCAAGTGGTACGCGAGCAGCTTTGAATTTTGCAACAACTAACTTTTGAGTTGGCCAAAATATGCCGACAACGCTTTATCTTCCATACTGTATGTATTCGCTGAACGGCCTTTATGAATGTTTGCCCAGACATCAATTTCCTTGTTTATTTCCGTATTCAGCAATAATCAGTAAACATTGCCTCGTTTTTGTAGTTTTGGCTGTTATTTGTCAGTTTTCAGTTGTGTTTCATAAAAATAGTTGTGAATTAAATATCCTAATTGTCATTATGTCTTCAAAGAAGCATTAATTTAGTGGTGTAATCAAAAATGAGTCTCGAAAATGTGCAATAGACTAGTCTAAACTATCAGTGCCCATGAGCGGCACGTGATTGGTTCATTTTAATAAAAATGAGGGTTTCAAACACGTAAACCAGCTTATCAGCGCCAACACAACAAAACACTCCCAAAGTAAGTATAAAATTATTGCAATAGTAAAGTATAGGAAGAATTTTTCTAGGGTCAAGGGTCGGAGAAACGTGCCATGAACCAGTCCAGTCTTTACAGATTGCCTTCGCCTGCTATTTTCCACTAATCGATATGGGCATGTTTCCCTCCATCTTGTGAATTAGGTCACGAAGGATGTAGTGCCACAATATAAAACACTCCCATAGCGCCTGTCTTGTGCCATTGTACCCCACGCCAAAAAAGAGCTTTTTCGATGGTACACGGCCAGGGTCAAAACAGTGAAGTGGTACGCGGTCAGTAAAAGGTTGAGAACCACTGAAGAAGAGCGATCGGCAGCTTTCTGGAATGATGCGTCGGACCACATTACAGAGTGTGGTTGGATCCAGTCAGCGGGTCGGTCAAAATCTCGTCGCGGGCCGTATGTTGCCCACCCCTGCTATAAGGCATGTTGTCTGGTTACCTGTCCATGTTGAGTGCGGGATTGTTTAGCCAGCTATTTGTTTCAGATGCATGGACTTGATTCAGATATTTATTTTCATTGTGCAAGAAACAATGCAAAACAATGAACACACATAAAATTGAACAAACAAAAAAAAAACAGGATACATTGAATCCAGCAATTGATGAGGGGTCGCGAAGGACTCGGTGAGTCATCCTAAGTTCAAGCAGCAAATACAGGGAAGAAACATTTTTTTTAACTCAACCCAAATACACAATGATGAAAAATTTAACGGAATAGTGAGAAAACCATTGTAATATATATTGTATAGATGACGCATTAGCGACATCTATTGAACAGAATATACCTCGATGAGTGCAAGCACAGCAACATATTGCTGAATAATATGACTAGGCATAAGAAATGACGCTGCTGCCCAGCAAAGAGGATCGTTACTCGACAGCCGTCACCAGACAATTAACTTATTGACTCAATGAAATACTTGGAATAAGAAACATTTATGCATTTAGCTAATGTCACATGATGAGTAGTCAAAAAAGAACATGACTAAGCATAAAACAGATAAAAGCAAAGTGAATGATGCACAACTTTTCTGAATGAGGCTGCAGTAATATAATAGAAGAACATAAATGGATAAAGTGTATGGAAAATGAAATTTCAGACGTGTCGCATGAATGTCTCTCCAGACTACTGGTAGGAATCAATATATAGAGTTTTCAAGGAATGTTTGTACAAATTATAATTCATTGTTTGAGCACTGTCAGGAAGCAAATTCCATAGTTTGACACCAACAAATTTGATTGAGTTTTGGGTAAGTTGTTGGAATATCAAGTAACATAATTAGAGCATCTGGCAGAGGACCATGTACTATATGAGTGCAGATCACTCTGATTTGAGAAATAGTTGGTGAATGCGGGAGGGAGTTTTTTGTTGTGGTGTTGGTGCATTAATTTCAGCCTTTCGTTTTTATATACATCTACTATTTTAAATATATGAAGGCTATGGTAAATAGGACTAAGATGAGTGCGCTAACCAACATTTGAAATAGCGCGGATTGCTTGATTCTGTAAAAAATTGATGCGATGCAATAGAGTCTTATCCAGTAAACCCCATGCCACTATGCCATATTCAATATGAGAATGAAATAAATTGTAGTAAGTCATACGTAAAGTGGTTAGGGATGTAAAATGTGGAAGCTCATATAATATTCCAACTGACTTGGATAATTTGACAGCTAGATTGGCTATTTGAATATCCTACTTAATTTTGTTATCCATATATATACCAAGATATTTATAGGAGTTGACATTTTCAAGTATCATACCATCAATCCTGATGGACAGATCATTTTGTGAGTTGCTTCTATATGGAGATATTAAGTGGTTTTGATTTATCAATGTTTATTGTTTATTTGTTGGCCCTGATCCAATTTGCTACTTTTGAAATTTCAGTCAATTGGAGACTGGAATGAGATTTGTTGTCATCTGCAAACAATTTGGTGATGGAGGAAGCTGTAATCGACAGACAAGAGTCCAGCAATCCTCTTGCATAAAACTATACTCCACAGGATTCAAACCTGCAAATCCATGCAGAGTAATCAGAGATGCGGTGGTGAGTGGATACCCAATGCTTGAGTCAGGTGCTACTCTGCTAACAGGAGGAGAATCTTCGTAACTTTACAAGCGTGAGTGGCAAGCATCACTCAACTAGCCAAGTTACCCGAAATTCTAACCAGTTTTCCCAGATACAGAATATGAATTAAGTCATACAGTCATATCATAATTATTTTGCTCACTGTGCGCAAAAGTTGAATTCCTGTTTCTACTCACATGTAAGATTATTTGCCTGAATGGCTAATGAAATATTAATTCGATTAAGTTGACTTGATCTAGGAAAGAACTTTAGAAAAATTATATCTACCTCTGCCCATTAGACAACACTAATACAAAATGATAAAAACAATTATTTCGAGAACACAAGCTGGCCAAAAAAATAATCCATTCCTCTGCAGACCAAACTAGCATAATACAAATAATTATCATACCTCGCCATCAGGATTTCTTCTATTTATTTGTCTATACTGGAATAATTTTTCTCTCATTTCTTTCATCAAATTTTTTCTGAAGTTATCTTGTGAGCAAGTTCTGTGCATAAATAGTCACATAGTTTAAAAATATGATACACATAATAATTTTATTACAATGCTATTTATATAATGATGGTTCAAGAGTTGGCATATTGTGCTGGCAATTTAAAAATACGCTTGTTACAATAATCCATACGTAGTTATTTTTACAATAAGATATCGTAGTTAGATTCTAAAATATTTAACTCTTAAAATAGCTTGGGGTGAGAAAACGGTGAAAGAATTTGGTGGGTGTGTGAGTACCAAATATCTCTATCAAATCCGCTGATTCACTAAGAACTAAAAATGCACTTACACATGAGCAGTCAAATCTCCAAACTGACGAAGTGCTTTAAATTCAAAGAATTCGTGTTTCTGTAGCAGTTCTTGTTCTGAATGAATCTTTCCATTTTGCAGTAGCTAAATATATAACATTTCAGCTCAACAGTCTCTATGAAAATTAGTTTTACAAATGCTTTGCATTGAGGCAAATGTGTAATAGTTCCTTTGGTTTACTCCTTTTTATATAAGTTTGTTGAAGGCAAAATTCCAAGCCGGGAATACTTTGTTTTTCACGGTGAACAAGTGATGTTAACATACCACTATTATCCCATAGAAAATTTTATCAGAGCAATTCAAACCTAAAGTACCTGTTCCATGTTGTGAGTATAAACTCCAAGAGCAGTCTTCGCATGGTGAGCACATTCCCTTGAATCCTGTGCAGAAGGTATTGATGATTATGATTATTTTTACAAATGCCTTAATTGGTTTGAAGGTAAATATACCCATATAGGATAGGATTTACATATTTATCCCGGGGGAGAGGAAAGTCGATAAGACAGCTTAACCATATGGCGAACCTCGGCCTCTCGTCCGGTTACCATTCAATGTCGGGTATGGAATTAGGTAATTATTTGTTTTCCGAAGCATGGACTTGATGGTGGAGGAAGCCGTAACCGACAAGCGGTTATGTGAACCACCCTACGGCGACGAGGAGTCCAGCAATCCTCTTGCACATAACCGTCCCTGCATGACTTTCAAACCGGAAACCAACGCGGAGTAATCAGCTGGGGCGAGTGTATTCCTAACATTAGCACAATGAGCCACATCACCGCGCCTTGTTATTTTTGACTGTTATTCAAATAGCATATTGTTTGTCAGGATAAATATTAAAAACAACATGAAAATTTTGCTGTCTATTTAATTCTATGCCCAAATAACCTGAACTGGTATCCAAACAAAGTCCTATGATTAAATTTTTTTCTCTGTGATGAATATAAAAATCATATTTTATTTTATTTATATCACAGATATACCTCCTCCATTTTTTGTATCATTCTTCCTCTGTCGTTTGTCGTTTTATAAACCTGATATTTTTCATTGATTGCCAAATCCAACTTCATCTTGAATTTATCTTTAACTGCTACTGGGAGATAACATGACCTGCAATAGAAAAATAGGTATCTGAATTATAATATTGCCCTCCATAGGTGGGATATAAGACAAAGTCTGTCAAGTTGAACTGTCGCATATTGCTGAAAAAAGGTGCATCATATTTCAAACATCTACACTAATCGTGAACCATTACCCCAGCAGTTCAGTGGTTCTTAACCTTTTACTGACCGCTATTTTTACTCGGGCCGCGTACTACCGAAAAGCACCCATTTGGTGTGGTGAACAATGGCACAAGACCCCCGCTATTGGAGTTTTTTATAATGTGACACTACATCCTTAGGGACCTAATTCGAAGAACGGACGAAAACATGCCCATCTCGATTCGTTCGTGGACAATACTTTACTATTGCAAAATGTTTTATGCTTATTTAGAGAGTATTTTGATGTGCTGGTGCTTATAAGCTGGTGTACCTGTTTGAAACCCTCATTTTTATATCACCTGATCATCTTCTGCGTACCACAGGCTGAGAACCACTGATGTAGTTGGTTTGCCCATCCTGCATTGTTCCTTGGGCACTCCCAAAATATGTGTAACAAGATCGCGCACAACCTGAACTTTAACCTGGTACACATACTATGTTCAGGTTGTGTGCCATTTTGGTACACATACTTCGGGACCTCCGTTTCGTGTATGAGCTATTGAGTATTTGCTGAAAGAAAACAAATGCAATAACACGCTGATGTTGCAGTCCTCGTACAAAATCCACGACTTTAAAAAGTTTGGGAAAGTCTTTATGTATGCATAAACTCATGTGGTATGTGAACCAAGATAGCGGACAGCAGAGTGTAGTATGTGTGCCAGGTTAGGGTTGGGCCACAATTTTGTTCCAATTTTCGTTATTTTAGTTCTATTACGAGTTCGGGGTCTAGCCAAGTGACTGTAGTACTGTAGTATTCATATCTGAAATTATGGCCTAACCCAAACCTGGTACACATATTACGCTCCGGTGTCTGCCTGCTGGGTTCACATACTAGGGGAGTACCAACATGGCCTTCTTTTTGAGTAGCCAAAAAGCCTGTTTTGCTTTTTGAAAACAAGGTTGAATTTGTTTCTTCTCTGTCTCAAAGCAAAAAAATGCATCCTGTCTCACATTAGATCACAATCTACACATTACATATTAACTTCTAGAGCGCAAAATCTAACTCTTGATGCGCTGATAGTAAAACTGGAAAATATAATATTGACCGAGGGTGTGTTTTTGAACCTGGGGCGAAACATTTTGCCCACCTAGACTGACGGGCCATGCGTAGCGTTAAAAGTTACATTTTATGAACAATATTTACAGCTATACAATTGGAAAAGTGGAAAACAATAAGCCTCGGGCCAGAACTAAATTTAATTGTAATCTAAACAAATTCTTGAGATATTTTTTAAGCTAAAATGTCAAAATTTGATTTTACTTTGGTCGCATCAGGCGGGCTGGATTAAAATAAATCACTCTATGAGCCAGATTTGACCCGCGGGCTGTAGTTTGCCCATGTCAGATATTGATTAAGATTCACTTACATGCGCTGAAGCAAGTCATCGAACCTGCACATTGCAGTTTTTTTAAATTCCGAGTGTTTCCTATCAAAAAACATTTCCTGATATGACTGATTCTGTCTCATCAGCTGAACAAAAATGTATTTTTATGAGATGTTTCCAGGGAATACTTAAAATGAGTCAGGGCTAAAAAGTTAACTTTGACCAAAAGGGTTAAATAATCTTGTTCGAATGCAGGGTTCATTGCTTTTTTATAATGATCATCCTACCACCAGTAATTAACAGCCAGGTTGGCTTCCAGAGCTTTGATTATACCTATATCGAGACAGCAGGATGCTGATCTCATATGCAAACTCTAATTCACTATCCACAGATTAGCACATTATTGAGCAGGATTTGTGTGTTACGTGGCTTCCTAGCATTATGAATTCATGCCCCTGGGACAAATAATTGGCTACCTAGGATAGGATGGGATTCACATATTTATCCCGGGTAATAAAAAAGATGAGGAAAAAGAAGGACAGCTTAACCATATGGCCCGCCATGGAATTAGTTAACCAGACATTTGTTTTTAGATGCATGGACTTGATGATGGAGGAAGCCTTTACCGATCAGCGGTTACATAAACCAACATAGGGCGGAGAAAAGTCCAGCAATGCTTTTGCACATAAAAATCCACCACAGGATTCGAACCTGCGAACCCATGCAGGGTAATCAGAGATATACATGAAACGAAAATCTAATCTTACATAAAAAGGAATTCTAAACTTACATTTTTCATCTTTTCATCATATTCATGTGCAGCAGTTTGGGAAAGTTCAGCACATTTGGACTTCAGCATTTCCTGATAATGTGTAAATTTAAGAAATTTTTAAAGTGATTTGTTGTCAGAATTACCAACCAGTCATATTCTACAGAAATTCTCTGTTATATATAAAATATTAGTTCTGCACAAAAGTGCTTACGATAGATGTAGCTATGCCGTTATTGTAAGTCGAAGATCTCAGACTCTAGCATCTCAACCAGAGTATATTGAATTCAAGATACTTTAAAAATAGTAGCCCCATAAATATCATTGACTGAGTCGAGCCTTGTTTGGAGTTATGTCAAAATGCCTCATAAAAATCAATCCAATAAACCATGTTCTGGAGTGGGCTGGTTTTACTTGTAGTCTTACCACTTAGACCTATTTCCATAATAATCTTTTATCTCTCACAAAGGTAGGTGACCAGGAACCAACATTATCAAAAAATATATGCCAGTTTACCATGTTGTGTTTGTTCTTTTTAACAGCTTTTTTACAATGATCTTCCAATTTCTCTTGAAGGTTGTATCCACATTGCTCGACCTGTAAAAATTTAGAAAGTCATCATCAAGCTTTTTACCTTTGTTTACAGCTTAATTTGTCAGCGTTTTTATCACTTTCCCATTATGAGTGCATGAGTTTGATAGTGTAATCACAAATGAAGATCAACAGACCAACCAACAGGAAAGTGTATCCATAAAAGTTGAAAGGAACCAGCTGTGCTCTAAATGCTATATATGAGCTTATCCTTGAAAGTTGCAACACTTAAGTTGCAAGTTGATACTGCCAAAAAAAATTTAATAAAAAAATATTAAACCATTTATATATGAAATTCCTAACAAATATATTGTTATTCCCATTATAATGTTGTCTAGCAAAATGCAATTTCAAAATACCTCATCCTTGTCTGTGAAGCTTTCACAATCTCTGCCATACTTTCGCAAAATACTTCGCTTTTCTTTTCGGCAGACTTCATCTATTCCAGGTATAAATTCACCTAAGATCTAAAAAATGGAATAAATTTGTAATGACCAATGAAAATTTTTTAGTTCAAAAAAGTTATTCATGCATCTGAATTTTTTTAATATAGAAATATACATATATATATATATATATATATATCATATTGAAGAATGAAATTATTTTATTACTTTGTTCTAAACAGTGGAAAACAAAATTCAACCAAGATCAGGATATATCATGGTTTAAAGTTGGTTGGAATAAGGATCAGAGACTATTTCTGATATATATATGTCCAAAAAGTCTTGAAAGATTTTGAAATTGCAAAGGAAATATATCAATACCATCCACTGTTTTGGCCTTCACAAATGTATTAAATGAACTAAAAATACTAAACAATTACTGATTGAAAGCAACAAACTTGGTTAAAATATATTGATAACTGACTTCATAACAAAATTTAAATTTTAAAAGGGATTCATAGAAACCCTGTATATTTAAATTTGATGATTATCTTACCTTTGCCATCTCTAGCTGAAAAATATCAAAGCAATCTCGGGCAACCTTTTGGATTTTTAATTTCTCCTCTTCCTTGAAATAAACACAATAATTCATAGTTTATGTAAAGAATAGAATATGTTGTTGTTGTTATTGCTCTTCGAGATTGGGTTTCTGATTGCAACAATTTGAATTCATGCATTTGTGAAATTATTAGTTGGTTAGCTATTTCCATACTATATCTGGACTTGGTCACTAGACAAAAGGATGTTATTTGCCATTTCATTAAATCTTGCTTCTCCTTTCAAATCTTACCTTTGCAAAACGCTTTATGTTTTCCAATGTCTTCCGTTGTTGCTTCAAACCTTCGAAAAATGCTTCCATTCTTGCCATCAACTTCTTCTTTATATAATCTTCATCGTTTGATAAAATGCCCTCGAGACTGGTAGCATCCCATTCATATTCATCAATCGCCTGGCTGTAATATTCTAGGTGTCTCACCTCAAGTGTTTCGAACGAGATGTCCTGCAAAACAGTTTGCTTCATAAAATTTACAAAAAAGTAGGACATTCCTGGACAAACAGTAGTCATCTTACAGTCGGTATGAAATTAATTTTTTTCTAAGAATTAGTGCAAAGCAATTTCATGCTCACTCACTCAAAAGTAAAAATGAATGAAGACCGAGCAGGGAGCTGAGCTCTCGGTACATCAGAAGTTGCCTGTATCCATTTCTATTATTACCATTTCACTCTTAATTTAGGACTAGAGATCCTGATTTAATCAACTGTTGGGTGAAATTGTCCAAGTATTTCTTTGAAGTGGTTTAGCACAGTTAAGAAAATATTCTGATTAGTTGACAGTAAAAGAACTCATATGCTGTTAAGCGTAAGCAATTGCTTCATTCCTAGCCTTCAGTTGCAACAGAGTCAAATAGCAGCTTAATGGTTTAGGTATCGACATAGTCTTTTTTAACATGCTCGTCATATAATTTCTCTGTGTGGCTTCGCAAATATTTGTGTATTTATACCACAATTAATTATTAATAATCATCATTCGGATAGGATTCGGATTTACGTATTTATACTCATGAGAATAAAGGTGACAAAATGAATTAAGCCCTCATTCTGTTACCACTTCATTTCAGGTATGGAAAAAGTTGCTGAGTTATTTGTTTCTGCTGCATGTAGTTGCTAGTTATTTACAAAACATACTGTAGGCAACTTGTTCATTTTATCTTCATACTCTTTTTCCGTCTTTTCTGCTTTTGCCCTGAGTTTCTCAATTTTTTCTGCCTGGAAATTAAAAAGGAGTGGAATTTTTAAAAACATCCTAAACATATGATTAGCCATTGCTTATTATTCGTTCATTTCCAGTATCAGTAGTAAAAAAGGAATATTTAATCTGCTTATCGTTTCAAAATCACAGATTTTTTTAGCTTTATGAATATAAACTTCCGTTGAAAATATTGATGAAAATGATGTCATAATGACACCGATTGTTACATTGTGCTTTTCATTTTATATAAACATTAGCCTAGCTGATGTAAATATTCTGTTTTTTGTTCATAGTTCCTCATATTGAGTTTTGAGCCTTCGTCCCAATAACCAAGTCTATCATATGTAACTGGCCCATTCAGGAAAGTAATTGGCTACCCCTGTTTTAGATGGATACCCAATGAACAATACCTTTCTTAATCTAATTTCCCCTTTCACATCCCGGTAATACATTTTGCATTCTTCTTTCACACGATTCCAAACATCCTGCGTTTGCCTTCCAGATCCTAATGTTGCCATGCTATGGAACAATTCTTCTGCTTCTTCGAGTGTTTTTTCGTGATGTCTTTGGAGTTCCCAATCAGAAGGAAATGAAGAACCAACAAGCTTTAAATATAGATTAAAAAAATTTAGTTACATTCCAGATACACATAATATCCGGGGCTGAGAAATTATAACAATGGGCCAATAAAAGTATTGATGTCTTTATTGTAATATTAGGAAAAGTAGGGATGGGCAATATAAAATAATTTACTATTCTAAAATAGTTAAATCAGATCCAGAATACCGAATCCTATTTTATTTTTATATTCATTCAATTGTGGGAATTCATTCAGTATATTGAAGAATTACAATTTTTAAAAAGCAAAATTGTGAATGAACCACAACTTTGTATTTGATTAAAAATACCCTGAGCATTGAATTTTATTTGCTACCAAACAGGATAATTGAATATAAGAATTTTAACAAATTACATTTTGCCTTAAATTGTTCAAAATTTATGTGATCCTCAAATACTTATGTTAAAATAAATACCGCAGTATACTGCTAAATACTAAATTGTAAAATACAAAAAATAGGTAAAAAAAAAACATTAAATCATTATTAATGTAAGAGCGCCGAAAATGGGGGTTTTGTTAATTAATCACGTAAAAAAAAGTTTAACAACCATAAGTTATATTCAAGTATGTCAGCGTGTTCATTTTCTACAAGCAAGACTCGAATCCATAGACATCTATAGACAAATTCATTTCTATTGCAAAATTTTAATTTTTAGGTATTATCGGTTTACATATATCTACCCTGACTTGGCGATACGCTTTGCATATTGTCCAACAATAGTTAATAATACCAGATGAGAGAACTGTCTTCACCACGCGTGGCAACTTTTTTAATTTTATCGTCGACTAAAATTCCACCGCCAACTCTTCGAGCTTCGACGATAGGAATTGATTCATCGGCGCCTTAAATTCCGAAAAATATGTATTTTTGGTGAGTGCAAAATAAATTTAACGAAACGCCCTGTTTTGCGATATAACTTTGTAATTTCTGAAACAGGGTGACATGAAAAATAAAATTTGATCCGAATTTATTGCAAATAATGTTTTAACATCTAACACTGGTACACATTTCATTTCCGAGAACTGGAATGCCACGGAAAATCATTTCCTTTAAAAGATAGAATGTTTCACGTTTTCTGAATATTTAAAATTGTTGCAAACTGGTAATCGGAAAATTGCCATTAAGTCGGCAGTCGGCACCAACAATAATAATTATTATAAGCCAACTAGATAGTAGAATTGTAAAACACAGAAATGGTGCAGTAACGCCGTATTCGCACCCTAAATGTGCAAGCTGGGATTGCGACATTTGATATCTGCTGCTTTAGCGGTTCTTTGCGAAAAAACACGAGTATAATCAAGCAAGAGAAATTTCATCGCAGATATACGCTCTGCATTGATTAATAAATTACAAGTCTAAAATATAATAATTCATGCAGGCGGAAACCGAATTTCCTTATCGGATCCTCCAGATTCAATATTCTATATTGCTCACCCCTAGAGAAAAGCGCCTTTTATTATATATAAATAAAAAGAACAATTTAGTCATACATGACTATCCAGCTATTCATTAAGAAACTAATCTCAGTTACTTGCCAAAATATTGAAAATGATTGATTGATGATGAAACAAGTTTTTTCATTTTAAATATTAATTTCAAAACAGTTACCTCTTTCAAATGCCAGCGATATTTTGACACAGACTCCTGCAGAGCGGTCGCATTGTTTGCCTTAATGGTGCCCTAGATAAAAGTGAAATTGTTTGCATTATTATTATTTGAAAACTGCTCAAAACGTAATCCTATCAAGTTTTTATAACCATAGTCCAGCTCCTGGATATAACTTAATAAAGAATAACGCTAAAATTGTGGATAAATCATATAATATTGTAATCTTTCCAGAAGATTCCACAGAAGAATAAATTTAGGATATAAGTATTTCTAATGAATTTGACATTTTACTCTCAGTAAGACTTCAGGCGATCAGCCACATTGAGTAACAGTTTTGTTAGAGTGGTGTCAAAGTTCTGATTCAACAGTTGAAGTCAGGAGACACAAAAAACACAAAATTCTTTGGAGGTGGAAGAGTTATTAGTTTGTCATCCCTGGCCTGTAACTTGAGCAAGATCTAAACTTCCAGATGATGTTATCAAAATTATTTTAAAAATCTCCTACCTCTAGACATGTCTCAATTTTAGGTTGCTTTCCTGACTGAATCCAATTGCTGAATTCACTTATGAGGTTTGTCAGGCCGTTTGCTGAGATAGGCTGCCCGAACATTTTCTTCACAACAAGATTTTTCGGATGTAATACTGATTCAACAAGCATGATGATGTGTTCTCGAAAATTCCCTGTAATGTCTGAAACAATAACAATAGATAAAAAAGTGGGAGTATGTTACAGATGATAAAAGGTAAGCGGTAGAAGTTTAAACTTTTTGCGTCGTAATTGGAGTTGTAGTTTGAAAATCCTGTGGAAAAATATCTACAACTGCATAAATAAAGAATAGGGTAGGATTTACATATTTATCCCTGGGAGAAGAAAGTCGATAAGACGGCTTAACCATATGACGAACCTCGGCCTCTCGGCCGGTTACCATTCCATGTCGGCTGTGGGATTAGTTAGATATTTTTTTTTTCAGATGCATGGACTTTATGATGGTGGAAACCAAAACTGACCAGCAGTTACATGAATCACCGTACAACGGAAAGAGTCCAGCAATACACTTGCACATTACTATCCCAGAGTAGGATTTGAACCTGCGAACCCACGCAGAGTAATCAGAGGTGCTGTGGCGAGCAAATTCCTAATGCTCAGCCACACCATCGCTCATATTTAATATCACATATCGAATATTTACCTGAATTTCGAATATCTTGGGATCTTCCACCACCATCAATTTTTCTGCTTGGTCTTGACATCAAGAATCCATTAACATTCTCGAATCCCTTATGAATAGATTTTTTCACTTGTGTAACACTTTCTGGTTGATTTGAATCTGTTGTTCTTAAAACTTGTTTGACATAAGTATCTCCACCATGTCCAAACTCATGTTCACGAGCATTTGGCCAATCTCGAACCAAGAAAGTAAGTTTCTGTTAAATACACACCTTTTATGAATCAAAATAGATACGCATGTCATAAAATAAGCACCAAAATTAAGTGAGTTAGCTTACTGCTTTAGACGGATACAAATGTTAACTAACTGTTTGGTTTGAAAAGCTGAAATGAATAATTGCAAATAATATGCTTTATTGTGAAAATAAATGATGCTCTTCCTGTTCAGAAATCAATAATACATACCTGAAATGACTTCTCTTTCTTTTGGAATTTATGAGTAGCAGCATGTGCATATTCTAATGCAAGCTGAAAAAGGGTAAAATATTAAATAATATTCATGTAAACATAAACATAAAAAGTAGTATTTTCACTATTTATTATTAACACTTGCTGTTTACAGTTTACTCATTGTATTTTGTGACTTTTTATTTTTCCATTTTCATTGCCAATTTGATTGGGTAATTAAAACAAAATTAATTGGGTAAGAAAACAAAAAAAGTCTTGATTGGTTATTTATTAATACCGCAGCTCTAGCTACACATAAACAGCAAACACAACTCGAAAGCAGTCGGCAACCAGCCTTTCTCAGCGATAAGATAGCGAAAAGTATATTTTCTCACGCCTCATGGGTGGATGGATTGCTGGACAATAATTAGACCTAATGGAAACTGCCTAAATCAAATGTCTGTGAAATCAGCACACAGAGAAATATAAAAGATATTAACATAACACAAACACAGGCATTAAAATCTATACAAACAGATTAATACAGTGCTTTCTAACCAGGTTGATTAGATTTATTTTTTATTTTTAAAAAGTTCCTCCTAAATTTTTTTTAAGTAGATTTTAGGTCGTTTATAGGATCTGCATGCCTAAAATAAAATACCTAAATGAGACTACTACAGGACATTGCGATTCAGTGTGCAGAAGACGAACAAAAAGCCAAAATATACTTTTTGAGGTAGAATATTTTACTTGCAAATGTTCCAAGTCTGTTCCACGCACATTTCTCTGAAAATTGAGAATTTGATGTGAGGATAGAAGACTGCTGATTGACATAATTTTCGCATTTGTGTCAGGTGAACTTCTATCATCAAATAATCCTTGGGTGTCCACAATCAGAACTCCAATCTGAAAAATCAAAAATAATTTAGAAAATTCACAACTTCAGAAAATAACATTCGTTGATATAGCGTTGTATAGAACAGAAATGATAAAACATTACATGTATTCTGGTTGGAACTGTGTAATGTGTCAAGAAGTCAACGTATTATAGGCGGTTTGTAATTCCACATATGGGCTATTCCAAGTGACACTACCGGACAATTCCAGAAATTTTCCATGTTGTTAGATGCAATATATTTTTACATTTTCAGCTACATGTTTTGTTCCATTGTTCAATGAACTGCTTTATTAAATATGGAAAAAATTGCACAAAAGTAATACACAAGACTTATTTGGTGGATATAAAAAATAACGTAAAATATAGCGTGACACTACAGGATGGCAAATCCACCTTGTATTAAGGTTACATTGTGTTGTGCTGTAAATTTTTGGTACAGCAGGACCCCATAATATTTTCTGGTGCAATAGCTGAAGAACGCCTCTATGTGTTGCTCAAGTTACTTAATGTAACACTGTAAATCCATCCCAATAATATGCACATCGTATGTGACACTACAGGATGTGAAACTGCAAAATATTTTTCCACTTTGAAACAGCGGCCTCTACCATCTCTTAAAATTCTGGTAATAAATCATTAAATGGGTGAAGACATGTCCTACAGCACTGCAAACATTTAAACTTTATTAACTGAAATCCAGTGCGTCTATTTCATATGAAATAACTGTATCACACAATCAAACACTTCGTGCTACGAATCATCACAAAATATGTCAATTACAAAAAAATTTCTACATTTCAGGCCATTTTCTAAAAAACCATCAAAAACTTGGGTGAAATTTAAATTTTTTCGTCGAATTGAATGTAGTCCAATAAAATTCCAATGTCTTTTGATATAAAAAATACAAAAAAATTACTTTCACTACACTTTTAATAAAATTGATGGAATTCAACTTTTGCTTGGAATGACCCATATGTGTGTCTATTCATGAATAATGAATTTATGGACATATAAACTCTGTCCTGTCCTGTCTCTGTTTGCTTATACGCAAAATATGACCCCGCGGGCCAATAACTGTTGGATAATTTCACAACCAAACTAAAACCAAATTGTAATGTCCAGCTAAAAATAGCTTTAGCAATCTGTTGAGATTGCGATGAATTTTAGTTTGGGCACGAGGCTTATTGTTTCTTTTACTTTTGCTTTTGTAACACTGTAAATATTGTTCATAAAATGTAACTTTTTACGTCACACTCCCATTGCCCACCAATCTAGCTGGGCAAAAATTTCGGCCCCTGGTCCAAAACCTTGCCCCCCCTGGTCTACCGCTTTAACTGCTAAGCAATCATGTATTATCACAAAATGTTAATGAAAATTGGAGCGATTTTGATTAAATTATGTTTATTGGGTTGCCAGACTCATGCAGCAGTTTGTATTCCTTGAGTTCCTTCAGTCTGAATGTGGTGCATCAGATTTGAAATCAATGTAGTGCTCGACCGATATCACTTTTTGACGCCGATACCGATATCGATATATCAGCCAATTGGTGGCCGATAACCTACCGGTATATCGCAATGCCGATATTAATATAAATCATATTTTGAACAACGCTTTTATGATACACCTTGTGAGTCTGTAGTTTCATTTTAATATTTGTTATCATGGCAGTAAGACTTTTATTTATCTAACTTCAGTTAATGCTCAAACAAATGTTATTCTGTAACTTTTCCTGCTACTTCAATATCAGTCTTGCTATTTCCAGGAAAAAGAATTGTAAATCAGACGTTTTTAAATATAACTATGGACATATGTTAAGGGTATTAAAAAATTATAAATTGATATATTTTAAAGTGAATCGTGATAATGATCCTTCGATATTGTGAATTGTGATAGCATATGTGCAGTTACATGTGAAATTTTTAATAACTTTGTTTCCAGAGACTCTCAATACCTTATTTAGTCAATAATAATAGATTAAGTTATTATTTTGTAATTTTCAGCAAAATGATAATAAACAACCATCAATATAGACAAAACTGTTACCCCATAAATTCAAAATTTGAATTTTGAGAGGTCACAGATTCCGAACTGACATTATTGCTTTGAGCTACCTGTACCATGTTTCTATGATTACTAACTCACCAGCTTCCAATCGATTCTACTTATAGAACCACCGTTTAATGCTGTTACTAAATTCGCCTTTTTCTCATTGTGTACTCTCTAAAAAACGTCACTTTATAAAACGTCATTGTTACTCCAGATAATAACTTTTCAGTTATGACCATGCATGAAATGGCTAATCATAAGACACCGGGAAGCGAGAGAAATATGCGCAGGGGCGAGAGCCGTTGCAGCACGCAGCCCGGCGCTTGCCGAGTATGGCCGATATATATCTGCGGTATACGGCCGATATGATATATCGGCAAACACACAATATCGGCCCGATATATCGGTTGGCCTATATATCGTTCGAGCTCTAGCAATAAGTCGAAATTTGGTACAAATACAAAGACCTACCAATATTTGCAATTTACAATGTACCTGTTCCCCATCTCTTTCAACATAAAATATCTCAGGCCAAACATAAATTCCCAAAGTATGAGGTATCGATCCATCTCTCCATTCAAAACCATCTTGTATTTTCATATGATCAGGTCCAAACCAGTTTTTGTTGTTCCACTATAAATATAAATTAGTATGTATGGCTCCGCTTTGTGGTGCCTCGTGCTGAGTGTCAGAAATATGCTTGTCACTGCATCTCTGATAGGTCCTATCCCTGCGTGGGTTCACAGGTTCGAATCCCATGCAAGGTTGATTATGTGCGAGAGAATTGTTGGTCTTCTTGCTGCCGCATGGTGGGCAGGATGGAAACTACTGGTCGTTTACAGCTTCCTTAACCATGATTGGTCCATGCACTCAAAATAACTGCAGACTAATCTCATACCCAACGTGGACTGACCGGACAAAAGGCCGGGGCTTGCCATATGGTTGAACCTTCTTATTACTTTTCTCTCCCCCAGGATAAATATGTGAATCCTATCTTATATTAAAGCTGTTCAATACCAAATCTATGGCAAATATTAAATACATTCGGTGGGAGGTAGGTTGAACCTCATGCATCACAGTTCTAAATGTTCATAAAAGAAAACAAACTTGGTCAATTTTTTCCAAATTTATGTCAATTTCAAATTCAACTCAGAGATACATGACACTTATTAACAACTTACAAACTAGCCAGTTAACACAAGAAACTATACAATATTTGTACTTTATTTGCTTGGAAATTAATGCACCACAACTTATCCTACTGAACTGAACCTGGGCCATCTGGCTTCATTTTCTTCAGTATAAATAAAAAAAAGTCCCATACCATTTCATTTTCAATGATTTGATCGGAGTTTCACTTGAATTATGTCAAACTCTTCGACAAGCATGAGGGAAAACAATTTTTTCAGGACAAGAAAACAAATTGACTGAACGAACTTACCCCTCTTCGGCGGAGATATCGTATGAAAAAATTCAGCATAAATGATTTCCCTGTTCGATATGCTCCAGCCATTGAAACGATTGCTAAATCTTGACATTTTAGGTTGTGAAGTACAGCAGTCAAATTGCCGATATTTAATTTAAATTCTCCCGTTGCTGTGATTCTAACAATCAATTCAGCTTCCATGACTTGCATTGATAAAGAGAAATTTGTTCTCCACTATGCTGAAAAATTCAATAAGTGGTTAACACAGAGAAAGTTTATTAGATTTTTCAATTATTATTTGTCATTACTGATTCAAAACAGAAAACGAAAAAAATATATATATGAAGAGTTGCAGGCAACAATCATTGTACATGAATGATAGTTTTTGGTTTTTCAATCGCTTTCTGTATCGAGTGGGTCCTTAAAGCCCAAGACATGTGAGAAATGCGTCACGGGTCATCCAAGTATTGAGTTGAGGATTCGAGTCAATCATTGTGTTAGGTCAGGTTAAAACACTATGAATTGGATAGAGAAAGCTGTTAAGTTTTTTTTTTTTTTCATTTCCCCGGCTACATTTTGAACATCTGTGAGTGTAATATAACATATGCTTTTTAAAAAACTAAGTGATTATTTGTAAAAATAAATTTTTGTATTTTTGAATGAGAGGTATTTTTTATTTTGCTAGCACAAAAAGAAACATTATATCATGCCCAAAACATTCTATACTTTTTGGACTTCACTATATAAATATGAGATTTCAGATGACCAAACTGGTTTAGAATACAAGACTATGAAGATATTTATGTATGGGATAGTTTTAGTATTTATCATCATATTAGCCAATACTACTTTGTAAGATGAAAAATCTTTTCCGGACTGGAGCCACTGATACAACACAGTTACGACAACACTATTTCTCTAAAGTATTTACTATACTGCATTATATTACCAGTAATTTAAAAAGTCTTTTAAAATTCCCTCATTCTTGAACTGCATTTTTTTGAAATTCAAAATTATTTTTTTTAAATAAGCTTAACACTGTTTCTAAAATCAGGGTTTTGAATAAACTCCTTAGCTACCATGCTGATCAACCTTTAAAAGATATATTTGGATAACTACCAGTATATGCCTCTTTCATCATTCATGCGATATAGAGAGTGCTAGTGTCTTAATATGTTGGGGTTGTCACAATCTTACACCGAATAATAAATTGTGTAATACCAAAAATTTTGAATATCCAACATATTTGAAAAATATTTTTCAGCTACTGGCAGGTATTTGGCGAAACGCACCTAAGTTTACTATGACGGGAATAGAATTATTGTCTATGGCTAGAGAGGAACCCATATGTAAAAAGCTGGTATTGGTTTGATCTCTAATCATAACCTGGTATTATAGTTGAGCCACCTTTCGCTCCACATTAATGATGACTGGATTTACGTATTGTGCTTGATCTGATATGAAGTCTGGAGCATATTGAACTGGTGTACATGTTTGCACAAAAATTTATTTTATCTAGTCACGGTTTTCGCATCTAATCAAAATCTGCCTTTCTATTATGAACTCTTGTAAAAATAAATCAAAATATTTTACTTCCCTGAGAGTTATTTAGTTGTGGCACGACCGTGATGTTTTAAATTTTACCATAATACAGTGGTTCTTAAACTATCTTCAACATTTAACATGTAAATTTAAGAAATTTTTGAAGTGAAAATTTCAGAATTACCAACCAGTCATTTTCAACAGACATTCTCCGATACTATCTGAACCTTGAGCCAAACTGCTGAAAAATAATAGATAGTAAGGCGATTGATTTAGCTTCCATGACTTATATTGAATGAAAGCAAATTGTTCTCCACTATGCTGTAATTTTTAAGAAATAATGTACATATATATGGAGAATCTCAGGCATCAATCATTCTACATAAATGATTGATTTTGCTTTTTTAATCACTTTCAATCGATGTGGGTCCCTAAATCCCAAACCATGTGTGAAATGCGTCACAGGTCACCCAAGTATTGAGTCGAGTCAATGTGTGTTAAGTCTCATTGGTGTTCAATGCTAGCGAGTCCGACTCATTGCATTTTAATGACTTGAGTCACTTCAAGTATTTGGATACATTATTTTAAGCGAATAACTTGAGCTTTGCCAGCCTCTGTGGATAGTCGTTAAACGCCAGACTTAACAATTAAAAAGTAGAAGTTTTTTCGGACAAAATCTGGGCTACAAAGAAGCACAAAATCAATGAAAGAAATAGGAGTGTTTAAAGCACATGAATGAACAATTGCAACCAGTCATGTAAAACAGGCCATTGATATTACAATGAGATCAATCATTGGTTATTCTTTGTCATATTTATATACGCTCTCCACTTTCTACAAATTTTTGTAGCTAATATTCTGAACCTGCCTAACATTTTGACCACCATGCCATGATTTTCTATCATTGCTTGCAATAAAATCCTATCACCTGTCTTTTCTATGCAGTCAACCTCTCTAATCAGGCTGTAATTAATTGAGTAAGTTATTTATCAGTGAATGCTTGTTACAGTCTTGTGCAGAGTTCAAATTGTTTAGATTGGTGAAATTCAAGTTGCACAAGGTAAGATGTAACAACAAGCTTACAACAATTTTCAATTTTAAACCTGGCTTCTCTATATCAAAGAAACCCGAAAGAACCTCTAGTTTTACAATATCCTTAGCTTGAAATAAAATCCTGATTTTTTTTTGCAAGTCATCTTTTTATTCAGGCTGTGATTAATTAAGTCAGATACTCATCAGTGACCGCTTGTTGGAGTCTTGTTCAGACTTCAAATTATTTAGATTGGTGAAATTCAAAACTGCACAACGTAAGACGTAACAACAAGCTTACAACAATTTTTGAATTTAAATCTGGCCTCTGGTAAAGGAACATCTAGTTTTACAATATGACGTCAAAGAAAAGACTACTGTAATTGAAAATTGATAAATGTGTTGTTGTAGGATTTTAAACATTGAAAGTTCAGAATGAGCATGTACCTAGCTTGGCATGTAGATCACACATGGAATGTTTGTTTAAACACAGATAAAAGAGAACTAGGTGAAAATATTTGTCTGCTTAGGATAATAAAACATTTTGGCTACGCCCTTAATATCGTAAACTTTATATAATGCCTTATTTCTGCTATTTGTAAAAGGGTTTTTATTTATGATTCAAACATTATTGTTTGACTTGCCAAACTTGCCTAGACTCGTTCAACAAAATAAATTGCAGTAATAAAAGTAGTGGCACACTGAGGTCAACAAGTTGGGATGGTGAAATACAATAAATTGGATTAAGGAAGCTGTTAAGTTTCTTCAAAAACATATTAGCATTCAAATTATTATTACATTCATACAACTAATTACTTTTTCATACAGTGCTCAATTGCCATTTGCTCTGAACGAGGACCTACTACAGGGTGGTCGCTGCAAAAACAGAAAATTTAAAGGTCAGATAAGATCCCGAATAAAGGTGTATAGAAGACCGATATCACAAGTTAACCTTTAAAACGCTACACGAGCTTGGACTTCTAGGTTAAGACACTGCTTTGAAGTGCACGGACGACATTTTCAGCATCTATGAGTGTAATATAATATATGCCGTCAGAAAACTTTGTAAAAGTTATTCTTTGTAAAAATAAAAAGCTGTTTGATAAAATTTCTGTTTTTCTAGCGACCACCCTGTATTTTTGAAAAAAAGACATTTTTTATTATTATGCTAACACAAAAAGAAAAATTATATCATGGCAAAACATTCCATACTTTTTAGACTTCACTATATACATTTGAGAGCTTAGATGAGCAAATGGGTTTAGAATACAAGAATATGAAGACGGCACAGGTGTGCAACAATATTTGTGCTTGTGAATGGTGTAGTTGGTAACCTTTAACTATGCATCCTCGCAAAGCAATGAATGATTGTGGGATATCTCAAAATTCTGGCTCCTGGGTTAGGATAGAATTTTGAGACACCTTATTGAACATGAGGGCGATTATTCACTGTGCGCGATGGCCTTGTGGTAAAATTGACTGTATATAATAAAGTAAATCATTTAGTTTCAACTAAATTTCATTCCAGTATTTTTATAGCATTTCGGCATAAGCCAGGCTCTAGACTGGCTAACTACTATTTTTACAATCTGAATTTTTCCGGTTCAGAATTGCCTTCAGAATTGATTACATATTAGATGAGATAGTGAGTGTGTGGTTTAAATCACAAATCTTCAACTAACCCATCATATCGTTTCAGTATTTACTGCCATCTTCAATATTAGCTAATACTAATTTGTAATATCAAATCTTCCCTGGATTTACTACATTTCGGAGATGATAAGATTGATGGGCATATGATTTTATAGGACCGCTGTGCATTCTTTTTGCCTTGAACAAAGCCCTGTACAAGCAACCACTGATACAACACAGTTATGTCTAACACTCCAAAACACTCTTTCCATAAACCAGTGGTTCTTAACCTTTTTCAGTGTCAGAGCCGCACTTCAGTCTTTAAAGCATAAAAAAACGCAAATTAAAATAGCAACAAAACAAAACTTTTGTATTTAAAAGTATGTATTTGAAAATAACAACATCAACAAAACTCGGCGTAAAAACTGATTTACCATATAGAGGCAAATCTATATACATATACAGCCGATGCCTGATGCCTATACATTCAATGCAATATTCATACACATTCAATGTCATATGCATATACAACCAATGTCATACTCCTATGCAGCGCAATACAGTCAACACAATATTCATATACGGACAATTCATATACATCTGCAACTTGATCATATACAACTTGAGCCAACAAAATATGAACATGCAAATACACCCAACCAAATTTGTGTATAAAATGAAGACAATCATCATATACACAATTCCTACATATAGATACATATAGATATCACCATATATGCATACCGACATAACAAATGATTACAGTAGCCAGTGTCAAATGCATATACAGCCAGTGCCATACGCATAAACAACAAATATTATGTGCATATACAGCCAATACATAAACAACAAATGTCATGTGCATATACAAACAATACATAAACAACAAATGTCATGTGCATATACAGCCATTACATAAACAACAAATGTCATGTGCATATACAAACAATACATAAACGACAAATGTCATGTGCATATACAAACAATGCATAAACAACAAGTGTCGTGTGCATAT